GATGGCATAGGAAACAAAGCCATTACAGAATCTGGTAGTCCTGCTAGAAATACTTTGAAACCTCCTCCCAGAGGGGAGCAACAGAAACAGACCACGGAGTGGGTGTGTGTGAGTCTCTAACAATGCTTTGAGCTCTATGCACATAGCACTAATAAGTGGTATCCTTAATAACAGGAAGCGAGCTTCCTACAATCTTCTCTGCTGTTCTTACCACTCTCTGTAGGGACTTTCCATCTGAGGTACTGCTGCCTCCAAACCAAATAGGGAAGCAGTTTGTTTGTAAGAACATCCTTACTTCAGTGCAGTATGTCCAAAGGAGGTTTTGTATCTAATTTGTTCCGAAAATCAATGACCTAGCTCTATGTCTTTTCCATTCCTGGTAAATTGGAGATGCTGAGAAGCTAAAAACAAATGACTCAGAAAGATGACTGGCTTTTTTTTTTTTTTGAGGGGGGTTATGTTGGCATGCCTGGTTGGTGAAATTTGCTTTTATCCTATAAAAAAAACCCCAAATTTTACAAATGTCTAAGAATCTCCACCAGTTAAGCAATTCAGGGCTCTTGTTTATGAAAAACAATAGTTTCGTTTTCAAAAAACATTCAGTGGAAAAAAAAACATTCTGTCTTGTGTATTCCTCTGAATATTCTTTTAAGACACACACAATTAGCTAGTCTGCCATCAAATTCCCATCACTGCTGTGGATAAAAACCTGTCAAGAATTGTTCCTTCATGCCACCCCAACTCAGCTTTCTAAAGTTTTGAGCACAAACAGAACTTTGCCTTTTTTCAGGGGGAAAAAAAACTGAATTTATGCTGGTCTCTGTCTTCAAAGGAGTCGCCTTATTGTGATACTGGAGAACATTTCTATTCTTGTCAGACTTCAAAAACCAAGAAAGACATATTTTGATCGTTCCAAGCACATTTCTTCATTATTCCTCCCTATCGACAGAATCTTGCCAGACTAAAGCATGCTAACACCCCCAGAAGGCATAGACAACCGTTGTAACCGACTTACAGGAAGTTTATTTAGTTGTAGCATCCCCGTGGTCAAGTGATTCCCTTTTGTGACCTCCTGACAAGCCAAGTCAACAGGGAAGCCAGATTCACTTAACAACCATCTTAATATCTTAACAACTGCAATGATTCACTTAACAAATGTGGCAAGGAGAGTCGTAAAATGAGACAAAACTCATTGCATTGATTCTTCCTTCTCTGGAATGTGTCTCCTGCCTCCTGGCCAGATTCCATCACAATCCTCCGTGCACCTAAAACAAGCTTATATATTGCCTCAATTACTCTATAAATTTCCGGTTACTTGCAGAAAACTAAAAAAAAAAATCATTTCTTTCAGGCTTATAACAGTAATTGACTAAGAATTGCAGATGGAATTTCTGGAAAGATGGCTTACTCATTGCCATCAAGCGCCTCCTATAATGTTCAGCAGGAAAATGTTTGATGTGTCCCCGACAGCACATTTCTTTTTTCTGAATGATAATATGGATAGAATGAGCCCAAAAATTGTGGTTAGTCCAGGAGGAATTGACTGAGCCCATTTACTAAGTCACTGATAATGAATTTTACAGATGCATCCAGTTTTTCCCTGAACAGGTAGTCCTCAATGTACAACAGTTCATTTAGTGACAATTCAAAGTTACAACGGCTCTGAAAAAAAGTAACTTACAACCGTTTTTCACACTAACAACCATTGCAGTGTCCCCATGCTCACGTGATCAAAATTCAGATCTTTGACCCATATTTATGACAGTTTCAGTGTCCCCGGGTCCCGTGATCCCTCTTTGTGACCTTCTGACAAGCAAAGTCCATGCGGAAGCTGGATTCACTTAACAACTGTGTGTGACTAACTTACCAACATGATTCGCTTAACAGCAGTGGCAGGGAAGGTGGTAAAATAGGGCAAAACTCACTTAAATGTTTCACTTCACGACATAAATTTCGGGCACAATTGGGGTCGTAAGTCGAGGACTACCTGTACTATCTTTGAGCCATATATTGAAGAGTGATTTGTGTGCTGGGTTGCTAATGCCATGCGTCTCTTGATGTGTCTGCTGTTAAACACATTTGCAAAAGGTTTTGGGGACACTTAAGGTCTTTTGATCACATATCTAAGTAATGTCCCCCCCAAATAAATTACTAGTTCTGCTTATACTCTTCTAATCCGAATTAAATTGAAAAAAAGTGTTTCTGGTGAAACAAATGTGACCAAATACAGAGGTAGTCCTTGACTTACGACTGCAAGCGGGCCCAACATTGATGTTGCTAAGTGACACATTTGTTAGGGGAATTGTGCTCCATTGTATGACCTTTCTTGCCCCAGTTGTTAAGTGAATAACATGTTTGTTAAGCGAATCTGGCTCCCCCATTAACTTTGCTTGTCAGAAGGTTACAAAATGGTGTCAAATGACCCCGGGACACTGCAACCGTCATAAATACGAAGCAGTTGCCAAGCGTCTGAATTTTGATCCCCTGATCGTGGGGACCGTTGCAACTAGAATTGGGTATGTCTAGTTTAATGAAAAGAAGGACCAGGGATGACATGGTAGCAGTCTTCCAATATTTGAAGGGTTGCCTCAGAGAAGATGGGGTTAAGCCATTCTCCAAAGCCCCTGAAGGCAGGAGAAGAAGCAATGGATGGAAACTAACCAAGGAGAGAAGCAACCTGGAACTAAGGAGAAATTTCCTAACATTGAAAACAATTAACCAGTGGAACAGCTTGCTACCAGAAGCAGTAGGTACTCCATCAGTGGAGGCTTTTAAGAAAATATTGGACAACCATTTGTCTGGGATGGTGTAGGGTGTCTCCTGTTTGAGCAGGGGGTTGGTCTAGGTGACCTCCAAGGTCCCTTCCAACTCTGTTATTCTGTTTGTGAGAAAAATGGTCATAATTTACTTTTCTCAGTGCTGTCACTAAACGAACTGATCTAAGACTAGGACTGCCTGAAATTAGAGGAAGACAGTAGATCCCTAACACAGAAAGTATGAGAATATTTTCTTATAAATGCTTAAGGCATTAACACTTCTATTTACTATGGAATCAGATATCGTGGTAATGATAGCTAAAGAGGCTCTTTTAAGAATGGCCTAGTAGCAGTGAATTTATAGAATTTAAGGATGCTCAATCACAACTGCTTACATGTATAATAAAAACTATTCCTGGTTTGAAACTGGCTCCTCTTATGGGCTCTCTTGTTACTTTAATGCTAATTTAATACTAATAGTTTGGATAATTCTGGCAAATTAGAGAATCTGGTTTGTTTCTTATTGCGATAGATAGAAGGTCTGATGTCTCCTTCCGAAGTGTAAGTTAATTGTGTAAGTTAAGGAGCCTTGGTAGTACAGTGGTTTAAAGCACCCTGTTATTAACACAGCTGCCTGCAATTAATGCAGGTTCGAATCTTACCAGGCTCAAGGTTGACTCAGCCTTCCATCCTTTCAAAGGTAGGTGAAATGAGGACCCAGTTTGTGGGGGCAATAAGCTGACTTTGTATAAATATACAAAAGGATGAAGGCTATTGCTTAACGCATTGTAAGCCGCCCTGAGTCTCCAGAGAAGGGCGGCATATAAATCAAATAAAAAAAAATAAATGACGAAGCATTTACAGTATTAATAAAATTATTCCGTTTAGCAGGACCAGAGTAGATAGCATTGCTTATCAATTTGATCAATAGGCTCAAATAGGATGATTCTTGTTCCAGTGTGACTTGGATAACCAACAGAGTTTTGAATTTACAAATAGCCTTTGATTTACAAACAGAACTGGGCCCAAAATTCCCATTGCTAAGCGAGACCGTTGTTAAGTGAGTTTTGCCCCATTTTACGAGCTTTCTTGCCACCGTGGTTAAGTAAACCACATCAGTCGTTAAATGAATCTACCTTCCCTATTGTCTTTGCTTGTCCTATATTCAGACATAGGACATATCATCTCTTAAGTTGTCATTGAATGGACAGCCGTTAAGTGAGGAGTATCTATACTTCACACGGGGGGGGGGCATTTCTTGATTTTGGATGGGATGAGCTTGGGAAGGCAGTCTCTGACATGTGCTGCACTGTGTAGGAGTATGTGTGTATGATGTACATAGGTTTATAGGTGATAGCACTTTCATATTTCATATTTAGCAATATTCAGAAACGACAGATCTGCCACCTCTTTCCTGTCTGCTGTGTAAGCAGTAAGTGGATTCTTTTTGACAGCTTTTCCCCCCGTTAAGGTGTAAATTAAGCGCACACAGGTGACGGTTAAAAAAAAAATCCAGCCGTCTAAAGAATTCGCCGCTTGGTATCTTTTTATGCAGTTATTTTCATTGTCATTTGATCTTTTATGTTATTATTTTAATTGTGCATGAAGACAAACATTACTTGTGGAGAACTTGGTGGCTTCTCAATACCAGCCTTCCCTGCTCCTTAGGAAGCCACATCCTGTACAAAATTCTCCCGCCCACATTCCACACTCTCCAGATAGTTATTTAGTTAGTTACTTTAGAAGTCATTTTAATCATCCAAGCTCCTCTCTCTCTCCCTCCTGTCTCTTTCCTCCCTCTTCCTTCCCCTCCTTCCTTCCCTCCCTCCCTCCCTTCCTGTCTCTTTCCTCCCTCCTCCTGTCTCTTCCCCTTCCTTCCTTCCTTCCTTCCTTCCTTCCTTCCTTCCTTCCTTCCTTCCTTCCTTCCTTCCTTCCTTCCTTCCTTCGTCTTTCCTTCCTCTTTCTTCCTCCCCTCCTCCTCCCTATTCCTCCCCCCCTCGGTCCCTCCCTCCCTTCGTGGGAGTGGGACTGCGAACACCCACAGCGCTCGCACAAGTGGGATTGCGAGTCCCTGCAATGCTTGCGCAAGTGGGCCTGTGTGCGCGCACTCACACGGCCGGTTGCAAATAGGCCACTGTCCAGTAGTGGCCCACGGCCCACGGCTTGGGGACCCCTGTCCTAGGCTATCATCTGCATTTTGGTCTTGAATGTCGTGCCTCAGTGTCTGTTTCTTTCTCGTTTCAGATTTTCTATTTTGTACATACATTGTTTTGTATATACTGTATATGATGACTTCGGTGGGCAGTGAACGTACTCGGGGCACTCGAGAAAAAACACAGATTCCAGCCACGCAGCCGACACAACCACAGAAACCAGTAGTCCAGGTACGAATTCGGCAGGTTTGTCCTCAACCTATCCACGTTAGTAGCCAAGCAAGAAGAATGTCATCCTTGTGAAGTGTCTAATTACATTTGCCAGGAGGTATTCTGTAGATTTGAGGTGCGGGTCCCCCAAAATCAGCACCAAAGTTTGAAGAACTATTTCTAGCTGAAAAACCCTCTTCTTCTATTTTTATTTTATTTATTTTTTTATTGAAAAGTTTTTTAAAAATTTACAGACATTTCCCCTCCCCCCCCCCCCTTCCACCCCCCCCCTCCCCCCCCCCCCCACTTCCTAGAACAAAATACAGGGTATAACATTTGACAATCATAAGCTAACATAAGCTAACTATCTATAGCCTCCTATCCCCCTCTTGAACTTTTAACTCCCCTTTTACTAAACTAAATTTAAGTACTTTATAAAATCTTTTTGATCATTCATAAGCTATTTGAAATTTTTTAGTCCGATATTTGCCTTGAATATAATCAATCCATCTTCTCCATTCTAACATATATTTCTCATTTGAATGGTCCTTTAGATATGCTGAAATTTTCGCCATTTCTGCTAAATTTACTACTTTTAATGTCCATTCTTGAATAGTAGGTAAATCTTCCTTCTTCCAGTACTGCGCCACCAAGAGTCTTGCTGCAGTTATTAGGTTCAGAATCAAATTAGTCTCTATAGCCGTACAATCTGTAATTATACCTAACAAAAACAACTGTGGAGTAAACTTTATCCTTTTTTAAAAAATATTTTGAATAATCCACCTCTTCTTCTATTTTTAGTGTGCCTATACAGACAGTCCTTGACTTACAGCAGTTCATTTAGCGACCAAAGTCACAACAGCATCGGAAAAAATGACTTCTGACCCTGTTGTCACCCTTATGACCACTGCAGAATCCCCATGGTCACATGATCAAAATTCAGGCTCTTTGCAACTGACTCATTTTTATGACCGTTGCAACGTCCCGGGGTCATGTGATCCCCTTTTGCTTGCCCTTCAGACAAGCGAGGTCAATGGGGAAGCCGGATTCACTTAACAACCATTTTACTAATGGTTACTAATTATAGTAACCATTACTAATTATAGTAACCATTACTAATACTAATTATAGTAAGTCACTTAACCAATGCGGTCAGAAAGGTGCTAAAATGGGGCAAAACTCACCTAGGTCTCTCTGAGCAACAGAAATGTTTGACTGTGTTGTGGTCATAAGTTGAGGACTACCTGTACTCTCTCAACTAGTGGCAGTGAGGAAAAGTTATAATGAAACCTCGTGGAAACCATCTTCCTGTCCATCCTCCTGCTATTTTAATTTTTTCTGGCGACTGGAGCTGCTTAGCACAGCAAAAACGGGGCCTCTGATTAGAGCGGTAACCGAAACCCCTCGTCAGATGTCGCCGATGGCTTGTCCTTCTTCAAATTACAAGCTTAAAAATGGCTGCTTGTTGTTTTGTTTTTTTTTTCCCCTTAATGCTGCTTCAGTTTATGCTTCCCCCCACCCCCCACCCCCGGATTTTTGGGCTAATCAAAAAAAAAAATAACAAGCCGGGACAAAGAAAATTCAGTTTTGTTCATTGCCATTATGTTTGCAAGCCTCTCTCCCGTGCCAGAGAGTTCTCAGATATTATCCCCAAGTGGCATAACGTGTCGTCTCGCTGAGATTTCCTTTCGCTCAATTTCATAAATTAGAGCTGGTGGCATTCAAACGAAAAAAAAAAAATGCAAATATATTTAACGGTGTGTTTTAACTTTGGCCAGAGACTGTATGTGTGGAGTCTTAAGGGATGCCAGGTGTTTCCTGGTCTAATCAAACTAGTTTACATCCAACTAGATCAGTGTTTCTCAACCTTGGTAGCTTGAAGATGGGTGGACTTCAACTCCCAGAATCCCCCAGCCAGCGCTGAGTTCAGGCCATCGTTTTGAGTACATTTGCAGTTCTGTTTAGATGGTAAATGCAAATCACCACCTGTGGTTCGCATTAGAATAGCTCCATTGGGACGTATAGCCAGTTGGAAAGTCCCATCTATTTATTAAATTCACGTGCCGCCAAACTCCCCTAGAGGCGACTAGAAGCAGCGTACAAGCAACCATAGGTAGCCCTTGACTTATAACTATTTATTGAGTGACCATTTGAAGTTACAATGGCACTGAAGAAACAGACTTATGACTGTTTTTCACACATTGCAACGTCCCCATGGTCACATGATCAAAATCTAGTTGCTTGGCAACTGGCATGTATTTATGGCATGTCCCGGGGGGGTCATGTGATCCCCTTTTGCAACCTTCTGACAAGCAAATTTCATTTTTAATGTGTGCCAGTGTGCTTGCAGTAAAAAAAAAAAAAAAAAAAGACAATAAAAGTTATCAAAAGTCAAGGGGAAGCCACAACCATGTTCCTAACTTAACAGCTGCCTTGATTCACTTAACAGCTGTGGCAAGAGAGGTCGTAAAATGGAGCAAAGCTCACTTGACAACCGACTTGCTTAGCGACAGAAATTCTAGGCTGGGTTGCGGTCTTAAGTCGAGGACTACTCGTAAAAAATGAGATAAAAATATTAAAAGTGGTAAATATCAGCCTGTATTTATTTGCCAGGAGATAAATTTAAGAGCGATGAAGATGAAGGACCTATTTTTTTTCTATACCTCCCCCAAAAGCAATAATTTGCAGCCGCCCACCATTATTTATTTTCTAAATAATGCTCATAGGCCCCAGAAACAGCTGGATAATAGTCCTGAAGGCTGGTTTGTTTCACAGAATATCAGCTTCCCATTCTTTTTATGATGATTTAAATATTGTATTTTTAAACAGTTGGACTATGAAGCCTGAAAGCCAACGGAGGAAGTTATCTAAGGGTCAGCTGTGCTAATCCGAGGTTCTACACCTCCAATAACTTATTATTTTGCTTTCCAACGTAATTATAATTGGCTCTGCTTAAAGGAGGGAAGATTTAGTGTTAAGCCCTGGCCGGGTCACTGTTATTGTTCAGCCAAGTGTTATTCAACGAACCATCCTTAATGTGATGTGCTTAAAGCCATTATAAGGATTTACAGATTTAGGTCCCCACCCTCTTATAAACACAAAAGCTCTTAAGGCCTTTTAACTATGCTTTGGAGTGCTGATTACAGCTCCTAATCTCCTCGAAATATACTTCATTTGATAAAATATTATCAGCCCATTTTTCTGTGCTGCATGTTAAATCATGTATATCTTAAGAAATGTTTTCTGTTGGACTGTTGTTAGGAGTCATTTATTTTTTAAACACTCGCTTATAATCTGGAATGGGGTTGCTGGACAGGGAAAAAGAACCACAGAAAACATCTGATTTCCCTTCCCCCTCTCTGAATTAAAAATAGAAGAGTAAATTGCAGGAAAGTAAGTAGTGGGGGGAGTACAGACAGTCCTTGACTTAAAACAGTTGATATAGTGACCAAAGTTATAAGGGCACTGAAAAAAGTGACATGAACATTTTTCACACTTATGACCATTGCAACATCCCCGTGGTCACGTGATTAAAATTCAGATGCTTGGCAACTGATTCATATTTATGACGGTTGCAGTGTCATAAATAGGTCATGTGATCCCCGTTTGTGACCTTCTGACAAGCAAAGCGGTAAAGTAAGTCAAAACTCACTGAACAAGCTTCTCACATAGCAACATAAATTTTGGGCTCAATTACGGTCGTCAGCCGAGGACTACCTGTACAGGACACTTGATTTTCAATGCGAATTTGTCTCTTATATTTCATGGACGTTTTTGTGTTTTTTCAGGCCACAGCAGAGCAAATCCGCCTGGCCCAAATGATATACGATAAGAACGATGCAGACTTTGAAGATAAAGTGAAACAAGTAAGTATCCATCCCAGCTTTGCTTTGGGGAGGGGGAGAGGGGATTGCCTTTGCATGTAGTTGAGTAGAGTCCAGTCCTGTACAGGCAGTCCTCGATTTACAACAGTTCATTTAGAGATCACAGTTACAACAGCATTAGTCACTGAGTAATGACTGTTTTTCACACGTACGACTGCTACAGCATCCCAATGGTCACACGATCAAAATTCAGTCTCTTGGCAATTATTTCCTATTTATGACGGTTGCAGTGTCCCGGGGTCACGTGATCCCTTTTTGCGACCTTCGGACAAAGAAAGCATTCTGACCCAGCTCCCCAAACACGACAGACCCTTTGATGTGAACTCAAAAGATTCCTTTATTAGGAGCGCCGGCAGCCCTGGCAAAAAGTTTCTCTCTCACCGCAGGCTAACAAGTCCGTCTAGCAGGGAGATGAATCGTTGTCTGCCACATCTATTCATCTCCGCCCTCTGCCTTTTATCCCCAGAGCTAGGGAGGGGCTTCGCTAGCAGCGGTGGCCCTTCTGTCCCAAGGACCGGCCCATAGATTTCCCCAGCTCTCCTCTCCTCTGCCTTCTGTGTATCCACGCGTCGGGCACTGGACCCAGCTGTTCCTCCTCTTCCTCATCAGCCACCTCCAGACCTGGGGGCTTTTGGCTCTCCATCTGAGGGCTGACGGATGGCCCAGGCTCTGCCTCTGTCTCTCTCTCTCTCTTTCTGTCGGCTCCATTCCCTCTTCCCCCCTCAAAACTCTCAGGTTGCCTTGATGCTGGCCCTGACTCCCACGCTTCCTCCTCCTCCTCCTAATTCGGCCCCTGGAGGGGCCAGCGGCCGACAGGCCACAACAGAAAGTCAGTGGGAAAGCCAGATTCATTTAACAATGAATGAACAATGGCAAGAATGGAAACAATGGCAAGAAAGGTCATAAAGTGGGGCAAAATTCACTTAACAAACATCTCGCTTAGCAACAGAACCGTTGGGCTCAATCGTGGTCATACGCGGAGGACTTGCTTGTCTATTCTAAAGCCTTATCCAAACCCTCTTGCTTCCTGAAATTGAATGTCTTCTGCCTTCTGATATGTTGCTGTGAATATTGGCACCAGCAGTCCCTGACTTCCAGCCGTTCATTTAGTGGCAATTTGAGGACCCCACAGTGCTGAAAAAAGTTGCAGCATTGCTGCAGGATCAAAACTTCAGGTACTCAAAAGCTGTCATGTATTTACAACGGTTGCAGCCTCTGGAGTTGTATGATTGCCATTTGCAATCTTCCCAGCTAGTTTCCAACAGGCAGGGTCAATGGAGGAAAAAGTAGATTTGCTTAATGACCTTATGATTCACTTAACAACCGCAGTGATTCCTCTGTGGCCAGAATGGTCATAAAATTTGGTGCGTCTCACTTAACAGCTGCCCTGCTTTAGCAACAGAAATTCTAATCCTAATTGTAGTCATAAGCCAAGGACTATTTGTATCTTTTCAAGAGAAAAAATCAGGGGTTGGATATGTGGAAAAGCCAGAACAAGATACAGGGAGTCCTCGGCTTATGACCAGAATGAAGCCCAACGTTTCCATGGCTGAGCAAGATGGTTATTAAGTGAGTTTTGCCCCATTTTACGATCTTTCTTGCCACAGTTGTTAAGTGGATCACTGCAATTGTTAAGTTAGTAACCCGGTTGTTAAGTGAATCTGGCTTCTCCATTGACATTGCATGTCAGAAGGTCGCAAAAGGGGATCACATGACCCAGGGACGCTGCGACTGTCATAAATACGAGCCAGCTGCCAAGTGTCTGCAACAGCTGTAAGTTTGAAAAATGGTTACTTTTTTCAGTGCCATTATAACTTTGGATGGTCTCCAAACGAATGGTTGTAAGTTGAGGACTACCCGCATTAAGTGATGAATCCTGTTAGAATTATGTTGGGATCTTTTTTCGCCCTGGCTTTGACTCCCAGGGAGCCATAGGCTTCTTTCGACCTGCCCAGATGTTTTTATCCCTTTTCCCCACTTCCCCACCGGTGCAAGCATGAAAATGCGTGGAGCTCCTGTCTGCACTCTGTATATGGATCCCTTCCCTGGAGCAAGCAGAGAAGCTGAAACATGGCTTGATAGGGACTGTTTACGTGTGGGGAAGAGGAGTGGAATGAGGAAACTGAATCAATTGGGTCCCCAGATAAATAACATTTATGTAGTTTGGGGTTAAACTGTGGGATCCTTGATGCTCTCTGAGCTTGGCTCTTTTCTTGTAGATGTTTTATGACCAAACTAAGTAAGATCATGATGATATTACCTACTTTGATAATGAAACATCTGCAAGAAAACCATGAATCTCAGAGAGTGCCAAGGACTCTACAGTCGTCGTCCTCCTCCTCCTTCTCCTCCTCCTCCTTCTCCTCCCCGCAACCCTACTCCCATCTAGCACTGATGATGTTACCTAGTTTGGTAATGAAACATCTGCAATAAAACTACCAATCTTACAGAGTACTAAGGACCCCACAGTCTCCCTCCCCACATCCTCCTCCTCTTCCTCCTTGCAAACCCCACTCCCAGGAAGCACTGATGATGTTACCTAGTTTGGTAATGAAATGCCTGTAAAAAAACACAAGTGCAGAGAGCACCAAGAACCCCATGTTCTAAGTTCAGCCAATGTTTTTGGCTATATATTTCTTGAAGTAATTAAAGCATATTTGGGGGCTAGATTATTCTCCCACATTCTTGGATTGAGATAGATGGAGTCCCTTGGATGTGTTCATTATTTATTTTATTTTTTTGCTTTAATTTATATGCCGCCCTTCTCCGGAGACTCAGGGCGGCTTACAATGCGTTAAGCAATAGCCTTCATACTTTTGTATATTTATACAAAGTCAGCTTATTGCCCCCACAAACTGGGTCCTCAATTTACCCACCTTAAAAAGGATGGAAGGCTGAGTCAACCTTGAGCCTGGTGAGATTCGAACTTGCAGTAATTGCAAGCAGCAGATGTTAATAACAGTGCTTTAGTCCACTGTACTACAGGCTCTTTTGTTTTCTATCCCAGATTGTATCAAGATCTCATCTTGGTTTTTATTTGCATTTTTTAAAGCATTATTTGGAGACTGCAAGTTATCACACAAAGTCCAAATTAAATTAAATTCATAAATTCTAAAGTTAATAGCAGTGACTCTGAGCTAATCTATAACTTGCTGTAGACTGTAACCAATCTGAGCAGCTGTAATTTTATATTAATTAGACCCCCACATAGACACATTCACTGCCATGTTTCTGTTTCTTGTGTAAAGTTGCCTTGGTTATTCTGAGCTGCTTTTTAATATGTGTTTGTATGTGGGTTTTTATTTATATATATATATTTTTAGCTGATGGAAGTGACAGGGAAGAATCAGGATGACTGCATCGTAGCTCTGCACGATTGTAATGGTGATGTGAACAGAGCAATCAACCTCTTGCTGGAAGGAAGCTCAGATACAGTAAGTGCTCAGTTTAGAGTCTTTTAGAGTTCTTTAAAAAGTTGCCTTTCTAGAAGTTTACTTGTGAGGAAGACTTCCTGCTTTTAGTGAGAAATGTGAAGGCTAAAAAATGTTAACCCTTTTAGGACAAATCTTGCAGAGCTCAGAAATGTTGAATAAACAGCTTCCAATATTTAATATTTTCCCATCACTATTGTGCAAATATTAAGATTAAATGTGTTCTCCTGGTCAGGATCCTGTGGGCTTTTTAAGCTTTTGCTTGTTCTCCAAGAAAGCAGAATTTTAAAACCTCAGGGTGAACCATGCAGGAAACTGAAACACCCAACTCCATATTGACTTTCTCATCTTTCTGGGTTCTGAAATTTCAGCAAGTATTATTCAAGCATACCTGACCCACATTAGGGACAAGGAGCATGCTTTAAAAAAAAGAAGAAGATATTTTTACGTTACTTAATTATCTGCTCACTGCCTTCCAATTTATCCCTTTCTTTCCTCCTAAATAACTGTGCCATCCATGTAACCTTATGTTTATGGTCTAGTGTGCATGAAATAAGCCAGGGCCGTTTTCTTTTTCATTAAGATAATGAAAAATGAAACCCTTGCTCTTTTGTGAAGTTAGGAACACTCTCCTTAATGTTCAGTTTGCCTTCTTGCTTAAGGCAACCAAGACAACATTGGCAACGGGATAACAGATTTTCCCCCTTGTTTGTTGGTTGGTTTGTTTTGAAAATTTCTATGGTTGCCCAACTCACGTACGATAACTCTAGGTTGCCTATAGAAATAGAACCCCAAATAGAAACACCCCCCAATAAATTCCCACCTCTTTGGTAACTACAATCAAACATACCACTTGATGGGCTCCATGTCACGCTGGCTTCCCCAGACTTACTGGCAAAACCATGTTTTGAGGGTCCCAAAGATGCTTTTTTCAAGAGGCAGCTGGACTTTTTTCTTTGAAGATGTTTCGCTTCTCATCCAAGAAGCTTCTTCAGCTCTGACTGGATGGCGGGGAAGGGAAGGATTTATATTCCTTGCAGACAGCTGGTCATTTGCAATTTTTTAGAGGGTCTTTGAAGCACTTGGAGGTTTCTCTGTGTCCTCAGGATCACCTGAGTGGTGCAAATGGTTCCTGTAGTCTGCAATTTTTTTCCTCTGGAAATCCATTCCTACTCCCACACCATTCAAAGGGTGTCCATCCCAAATTGTATAGCTAAAAGTCTGTAGAGATTCTCAGTCACGCAGGTCCTGGTTGTCCCAAAGGTGCTTTTTCAACAGGCAATTGGACTTTCTGGTTTTTCTTTGAAGACGTTTCGCTTCTCATCCAAGAAGGTTCTTCAGATGAGAAGTGATGCAGAGCTGAAGAAGCTTCTTGGATGAGAGACAAAACGTCTTCAAAGAAAAACCAGAAAGTCCAGTTGCCCCTTGAAAAAGTACCTTTGGGACAACCAAGACCTGGATGACCGAGAATCTCCATAGACATGTCTTGAGGGCCATTTAAAGAATGTCAGGGTGGGGGTGTGGCAATCTTATCTCCACAGAGATGATATTCCACAGGGAGGAAGCCACCATTGAGGAGGCCCTTCTTCCTGGTCTCACTAGATGGCTTTCCTTAAGAGACGGCACCTGTTACATACCCTGCCTCCCCACTCTGGTGGGTTGAGTAGAGATAACAAGGAAATGATAGTCTTTCAAATGGCAGGGCGGGAGTCACCACGGAGAAGTCCACCAGATGGACTTCCTTAGGAGAGGAGACCCATCGCATTCCCTGCCTCCCCACTTTGGTGGGTCAGATAGATAATGACTTTTATTTCCTCTTGAACCCTGATAGGAACCTCCTAAACTAGAATCTTCTCCAGGAATACGAAAGGCAACGGTTCCACCTCCTGATTGTCCCAACCTTACATCTACCCTGTCTGGAGGCTGGAATTTACACCTCCGCATCTGTCTCCTTTTTGATTTTCTGCTTAGCAGCATTCAGAGTGAATTCCCTTCCTCTGAAGGCCTATAAACATCCCGGTTTAAGCACATTGTGGGTTTATTAGGGATCACGCTGGTTATTGGGGTTCAGCTGGTTATAAGCCGGAGGAGTCACAGTTGTAGTGCATATGGGGTGGAATTCCTCCTGAATGGACACTTCCTAGAAAAATTACAGTGGGGCATTGATCTTTCGTCGCCCATTTTGGGGGCTGTGATTCATGCCCGTTCTTCCAGCACCCTTGGCTGTTCCTGGAATCGCTTGAATCAGGCAACTCTGCTTCCCTTCCAGGAATATCCAGTCACCTGGTTCAGGGAACGCATTGTGTGTGTGCTGCATTGTGAGCAAACAGCTGGATAAAATGCAATTTAACATTGCACAAACAAGGGCCCCCTTTTTTGTTTCCCCTTTATCTAGCTCTTGTCTCTAGCCAGTTGGCACTTGAAGCACTGACAGACTCTCTCTCTCTCTCTTCTCCTGCTGAACATGCGAGCACAGGCAGCAACTCACATTTTTTGCACGGAAGCCCCAGATGTGCAGCCCACCCTCATCTCTGGCCTTGCAAAGGAGGAATAAGTGCAGTGCCTCAAAGAAATGAGGGCACGTGTCGTACAGAAACACACAAATCTCTTTAGCATTTTGGTTTATTGTTTATTTTTTAACTAAGTACAGTGCCTCGGAGATCGCAGCAAGGCTAGCGAGGGAAGAAATCTCATTCCAAATGACAGGCTGGAGAAAAAAGGTTCCATTAGGACTTAAGTGTGGAAGGGGGAACACAAGCGTTTTTAACTGTCAAGTATTTTTTTTTTAGTTGTAAGCCTCCCAGAGGCATTGATGGAGATGGGCAACTGTAGAAATTGAATGAATGAATGAACAAACAAACAAACAAATGAACAAATGAATGAATAAACAAACTCTTTTCCCAGTGTCCTATTTTTATTCATCCCTTCCTGGGACTAAAAAATACAGGTAGTCCTTGACTTAGGACCACAATTCAGTCCAAAATTTATGTTGCTAAGTGAGACATTTGTTAAATCAGTTTTTGGATCCTTTTATGACTTTTTTTTTTTTTGCTACAGTTGTTAGGTGAATCATTGCACTTGTTAAGTTAGTAAAACGGTCGCTAAGTGAATCTGGCTTTCCCCATCGGCTTTGCTTGTCAGAAGGTGACAAAAGGCCTCCTGACAAGCAAACTTCACAACTGTCTCATTCAGCAACAAAAATTTTGGGCTCGATTGTGGTTGTAAGCCCAGAATACCTGTACATTCGTTTCTTAGAATACTGCTCCAGTGTTGTCAATTTCTAGATTTTGTGAGTCTCGGGTGTAGCTGGAAGCATCCAGAAATGCTCTCCAAGAGGTTTTGGAGATGGTGGTTGGGTGAGGCTCTGTTAGGCCGTCTTTAATTTTGAATTATTTTGTCTTGTTTTCCTCCTTCACCTAACTAGACTTCATGGGAGACAGTAGGAGGCAAGAAGAAAAGCCTTGGAAAAGAGAGTTCAGAAAACAAAGAGAACAGAGAAAAGCGAGGGGACAGAGAAGTGAGTCGTGGACGGGGAATTTCCAGCAGAAGAGGAAGAGGGGGCAGCCGTGGTCGAGAGTGTAAGTCCCAGACTTTGGACTACGCGGGGTGGCAGTAGTTAGAATAGAAATAGAAAAGAATTCTTTATTGGCCAAGTGTGATTGGACACACAAGGAATTTGTCTTTGGTACATAAGTTCTCAGTGCACATAAAAAATACATTCATCAAGGATCATAAAATACAACACTTAATAATAGTCATAGGATACTAAATAAGCCATCAAAATCATACTAGGAAACTAAATAAAATAATATAAATTGTAAAGATACAAGCAACAAGGTTATAGTCATGAGTAGAAGGAGATAGGTAATAGGAAGGAAGAGAAGAATAATAGTAATACAGCCTTACTAAATAGTTTGACAGTGTTGTGGGAATGAGTTGTTTAGCAGACTGGCTGCATGGGGAAAATCTGTCCTTGTGTCTAGTTGTTCTGGTGTGCAATGCTCTATAATCATGGCGAACCTATGGCACGCGTGCCACAGGTGGCATGCGGAGCTATATCAGTGGGCACGCCAGTGTTGCCCTAGCTGAGCTCCAGCACGCATGCGCGTGCCGGCCAGCTGATTTTTGGGCCTTCCGGGTCTACCGGAAGTCAGGAAACAGGGTGTTTCCAGCCTCCAGAGGGCTTCTGGGGGCGGTGGGGAAAGCTGTTTTCACCCTCCCCAGGCTCCAAGAAAGCCTCTGGAGCCTGGGGAGGGCGAAAAACAGGTCTACTGGGCTCACCATGCCAAAAGCAAGGGGAGCGCAAGGGGGCAGGGCGCATTGAATTATGGGTGTGGGCACTCACACGCGTGCCCCCCGCACTCTCCCGCTTTTGGCACGCGATGGCAAAAAGGTTAGCCATCACTGCTCTATAATGTCGCTCTGAGGGTGGAAGTTGAAACAATTGATGTCCAGGATGTGAGGGGTCTGTAGAGTTGCTTGCAGCTCGACTAGGAGCACAGCATGATGGGCTTGAGCTGCCTCATTGTATGTTTGCAGCAGAGGCTGATGGGGAAACACACACACACACACACACACACACACACACACACACACACACAGCTGCCCTGGGAAGAAGCTTAATCCCAATTGGCTTTTGCTGTGTCCTTGATTCCTCTCTACCCCAGGGTGAGAACACCGGGGTGATTTGGGGCCCTGATGAAGAATGTGTGAAAGACACCCTACAAACTCTCAACTGTGGGACCTGAACAGCCTTTCTTTGAAGAAGACATTTCAAAACTGTCAGGACATTGTAACACTCAGTAAAACAACTCTGCCATATAGACAAAAACAAAAAACAGGAAACCATGGGGCTCTTGGTGCTTGTGAGCTTGCTTGTTTTCTTGTGGATGTTTCATTACCCAACTAGGTAACATCATCAGTGCTAGGAAGGGTGGCCTTTGCGGCCTGCTTTTTTTTGGTCCCAGAACACACCCTCTCCAGCAACCTACACCAAAATAAGCAGGGATTAATACCAGACAAATAAGCAGAACACAGTACTGTAACTCAGGAGTCCCCAAACCCAGTCTGTAGCCCAGGGTGGGCGTGGCCAGCTCAACGTCGCTCATTGAGGCTCTGTTTCTGGCCACAACAGCCTCCTGCAGCCCTCTGTCAGTGAAAGCGGCCCTCCCAAGCTCGATTTTTACTGGCAGAGGGCTGCAGGAGGTTGTCGTAGCCTGAAACGGAGCCCGGGAGGCCTGCATGTGGCTCTCGCGAGCTCCGTTTTCACTGGCAGAGGCACCGTGGACCGGTCCTTCACTCCTTTTAGGGCGAGCCCGTGAGCCAGATCTAAGCACCCTGCAGGCCAGATCTGGCCCACGGGCCTTGAGTTTGACACCCCTGATTTAGATAAATGAAAGACAGCATGAAAATGTGTAACCGGATGAATAGAAAGAGACTACAAGTTGCAAGCCGGTGGAAAAATGAAGGTGTGTTGTTAAACAAGGATTGATTACCACATTGACAAGACAATGGGCAACAGTCACATTTGCCACCAATCCTTGCACCCTCCTTCCTTCCCCTCTTGCTGTCTTACGTTTGTGGACAGTTGAAAATATCTGACTAAACTATCTGATCTAAAAATGATGCGTATGTTTTGAGATTATATTTCTGTATTTCTCTCATCTCCAGTTAGAGTCGAAGAAAATGGAGTAGAATCGCCACCTGGGGATAGGCCTTCCGATCGTGGCAAACGTGGCAAGGGGAGAGGTAAAGTACACATATTTACATTCCTTAACTGCTCGTGCTCAAAGTACCGTATTTTTCGGAGTATAAGACATTCAGTGTATAAGACGCACCTAAATTTTCACCCCCTTTTAGGGGGTAAAAAGGTGCGTTTTATACACCGAATGTAGCCCCTCCCACCCACTGGCCTCCACCCTTTGGCCTCTGCCTCCCAGCAGTTTACCTGCTTGCAGCAAGAACAAACAGCTTGTTTCAGTTTTAGCACAGTCTAATTAGCACAAGTTAAATGGCCTCCTGACTCTCAGCTGTTTTGTTCTCAGCTGTTTTGTGCTGGCCTCTCCTGCTTGCTGCAAGGAGGTAAATTGCTGGGAGCAGATTTTTTTTTTCTTGTGCTAATCAAGTTAAGCTGAAAACGAAAACGAAAGTAAAGCAGGCTGTTTGCTGTTTGCTGCAATGAGGCAAATGTCAGCGTCCCAGCACTGATCATGGGGATGCTGAAACGATCGTAAGTGTGAAAAACAGTCATAAGTTACTTTTTAAAGAGCAGTTGTAACTTCCAACCGTCACTAAACAAACTGCTGTAAATCAAGGACTACCTGTAATTAAGTCTCAAATCAGCTGGAAATCAGCAGAAGATTGTGGAGGTTTATCAATAAAAATCGCTGGTAAACTGCCCCTGATTAACCTTTTATTTTCTTCTCCCACATCGAACGTAAAATAAAAACCTTGGCTTGGCCAGGCGTTGAAACCAGGCTCTCCTGCCCAGGATTTGCATGTTAATCTCCTGGTACTAAAACAAAGCAAAGTCCTCCAGTGGTATTTTTAACTTCTAAGCAAAGCAGGATTACAGTTTGGACTGGCACCACGATCATAACTTATTGTGGAAAGCTCAGTTTCAATAAATAAATATATATATATATATAATATCTCTGTGCTTTTCACAGAGTGAACCACAAAATGCTCGTTACTCAGCAGAGCAACTGCCAGCTGCCCATCCACTTTGGGGTCCAGAAGCACAGCTGAGAATGCAAATTATGGCAGAAGCCTGGACTGCTGGATGTGGCATCCTGGCAGAGAACCTGGCAGCCCTAATAAGCATGTTTGTCAACATTGTGTTCTGTCCCCAACCCCACGCACACACACCAACAGATGTTCAGGAGTTAAAGACCAAACCAGCCGGCAAAATCCTTTTCCTTAAGATAACGGAACTTGGCAACAACCTAGTAGCTGCCTGCCAAGAGTTTATTATTTACGAAGAGGAGAGATAACTTCTCCCCACTTCTGATACATCAAAAGAAACAGCTCAATAATTACGGAGTCAATCAAGTCCAGAGATAATCCAGCAAAGTCTTAAAGCAAAAGTCCGGCAATGCAGAATGGTGTGGAAGCTTTCAGCTTTGTTCGTCACAAGGTTTGACTGGCTACCACGCTCCCTTTTATATCCTGTGGGGTGTGGTCCAGTGACTCAGCCTAATCTCGGGCACGCCTTTTCTTCTGTTGCGCGCGCTTATCTCTGCAACGCTGGCGTGGATCCAGCCAAGACTCATTACCCTCATCACTGTCCATCTGTGGCTGCGTGGACGTGCTTGGCCCCGGCCCTATCTCTTGCCCTTCGGCGGACACCAAAGGCATTGCCAGAGAGGAGGGCCCTGGAGAGGGAGGCCTTGCCAACTCCTCTCCTTCACTCTTGGAGTCCTCTCCTACCAATGACACAGGCTCAGGTAACGGAACCAGAACACATTATCTGTGGAGCTTCTCATTCATCCAAGTCATGGTTGTTCCAAAGGTGCTTTTCTAAAGGAAATTTGGATTTCTTTTTTTTCTCCGAAAATGTTTCGCTTCTCATCTATGAAGATTCTCTGTCCTCCCAAGTCATGGTTGTCCCAAAACTGTTTTTTTTCAAGAGGCAACTGGACTTTCTTTGTTTTTCTTTGAAGACATTTCACTTCTCATCCAAGAAGCCTCTTCAGTTCTGACTGAACGGGGGCGAATGGAAGGATTTAGAATATAAGAATATTCTAAAGAGTATATATCCGTTTGTCAACGTTGTCCCTGGTCCTATGGTTCAGATTTGGCAAAGTGGACTATTGTGTTTATGAATCACAAAACTGTGCCTCACTTATTGTGGCCGTGTCATGTGGGGGAATTTACCGGAGAAAGCAATTATGTTTGGAAAAAGTTAGCAGTAAAAGGAAACCAGGCCGCCAAAGAACACGATGGATGGACACCATCAAAGCTGATGCCAGACAGAGCATAAAACAACTCAAAGAAATAATGCAAGGTCAGAAGCAATACTTGAGGGGCTGCCACAGAGAGAAGAAGGGGGTCAAGCTATTTTCCAAAGCACCCGAAGACCAGACAGGGAATAATGGATGGAAACTGAACAAGGAGAGATTCAACCTGGAAATAAGGAGAAATTTTCTGACAGTGAGAACAATCAACCCATGGAACAGAAGTTGCCTTCGGAAGTTGTGGGAGCTTCATCACTGGAGGCTTTCAAGAAGAGATTTCTGACACCCATCTGTCGGAAATGGTGTAGGGTCTCCTGCTTGGGCAGGGAGTTGGACTAGAAGACCTCCAAGGTCCCTTCCGTTATTCTGATTCTGAAGATGCTGAGAGACATGGCCCAGATGACTGAATGGACATCATCATCATCATCATCATTATGTTTATGAACATTTTTCGGACTGATTACTCATTCGAAGATGCCATTCTCACAAAAGATGGAGGAAGATCCGATAGCCAAGTCCCAAATAAACCCCACAGGAAGCAAGGAAGGAGTGGGCAGGCTTTATTTTTCTCGTGAGGGGAGAAAAATACCAGAGTGCAAAGGTTTATCTTCCGAAGAGACTTGGTAAAGTCAAGTGTCTCTTTTCTTAAGAGGGTTAGGAAGGTGGTGTCGAAATGATTTTTTTTCCCTAGAGAGCTACTGCTTGTCCAAATAACTAATTAAAGATTTTAAAAAACAGAGTATGGAGGATCAGAAGGACAGGAACATAATCCCTAGCACTTTTTCCTCTTCATCCGTCTAGTCCGTGTATTAATGGCTTTTATACCAACTACAGCAGTGGGATCAAACATTAGTATGCAATGAATCTACAACACAGGTAATCCTCCACTTACAACAGTTCATTTAGTGACTGCTCAAAATTACAAGGGCACTGAAAAAAGTGACTTACATTTTTCACACTTAATGACCGTTGCAGCATCCCCATGGTCACATGATCAAAATTTGGACGTTTGATAACTGACTCATATTTATGACAGTTGAAGTGTCCCGGGGTCACGTGATCCCCTTTTGCGTCCTTCTGACAGGCAAAGTCAATGGGGAAACTGGATTCATTTAACAACCAGGTTACTAACTTAACAACTGCAGCACTTCACTTAACAACTGTGGCAAGTAAGGTCATAAAACGGGGCAAAACTCAGTTAATGTCTCACTTAGCAACAGAAAGTTTGGGCTCAATTGTGGTCGTAAGTCAAGGACTACCTGTATTTATATCGACTTGGTGGTGAGAATATTTGTTGTTAGGCTGCATCTTTGATACAAACATTTTCTGACATGTCGCTTTCCATGTTTCAAAAATTTTTGAGGATTAGAAAGTGTTGTTCAGAGCACATTTGGTCATTGCTGCCTTGGGACAAGAAAATAAAACAGATGAGAAAAAAACAAATAAAATCTTCTTTCATACCTCCAGATAGATGAAAAATAAATTCTGATCTTTCTGATTCCTTCCTTCCTTCCTTCTTTCTTTCTTTCTTTCTTTCTTTCTTTCTTTCTTTCTTTCTTTCGTCAGAAGCAATACTTGAGGGGCTGCCACAGAGAGGAGGAAGGGGGTCAAGCTATTTTCCAAAGCACCCGAAGACCAGACAGGGAATAATGGATGGAAACTGAACAAGGAGAGATTCAACCTGGAAATAAGGAGAAATTTTCTGACAGTGAGAACAATCAACCCATGGAACAGAAGTTGCCTTCGGAAGTTGTGGGAGCTTCATCACTGGAGGCTTTCAAGAAGAGATTTCTGACACCCATCTGTCGGAAATGGTGTAGGGTCTCCTGCTTGGGCAGGGAGTTGGACTAGAAGACCTCCAAGGTCCCTTCCGTTATTCTGATTCTGAAGATGCTGAGAGACATGGCCCAGATGACTGAATGGACATCATCATCATCATCATCATCATTATGTTTATGAACATTTTTCGGACTGATTACTCATTCGAAGATGCCATTCTCACAAAAGATGGAGGAAGATCCGATAGCCAAGTCCCAAATAAACCCCACAGGAAGCAAGGAAGGAGTGGGCAGGCTTTATTTTTCTCGTGAGGGGAGAAAAATACCAGAGTGCAAAGGTTTATCTTCCGAAGAGACTTGGTAAAGTCAAGTGTCTCTTTTCTTAAGAGGGTTAGGAAGGTGGTGTCGAAATGATTTTTTTTCCTAGAGAGCTACTGCTTGTCCGAATAACTAATTAAAGATTTTAAAAAACAGAGTATGGAGGATCAGAAGGACAGGAACATAATCCCTAGCACTTTTTCCTCTTCATCCGTCTAGTCCGTGTATTAATGGCTTTTATACCAACTACAGCAGTGGGATCAAACATTAGTATGCAATGAATCTTCAACACAGGTAATCCTCCACTTACAACAGTTCATTTAGTGACTGCTCAAAATTACAAGGGCACTGAAAAAAGTGACTTACAATCGTTTTTCACACTTAATGACCGTTGCAGCATCCCCATGGTCACATGATCAAAATTTGGACGTTTGATAACTGACTCATATTTATGACAGTTGAAGTGTCCCGGGGTCATGTGATCCCCTTTTGCGTCCTTCTGACAGGCAAAGTCAGTCGGGAAACTGGATTCACTTAACAACCAGGTTACTACTTAACAACTAACAACTGCAGCACTTCACTTAACAACTGTGGCAAGTAAGGTTGTAAAACGGGGAAAAACTCAGTTAATGTCTCACTTAGCAACAGAAAGTTTGGACTCAATTGTGGTCGTAAGTCAAGGACTACCTGTATTCATGTCGACTTGGTGGTGAGAATATTTGTTGTTAGGCTGCATCTTTGATACAAACATTTTCTGACATGTCGCTTTCCATGTTTCAAAAATTTTTGAGGATTAGAAAGTGTTGTTCAGAGCACATTTGGTCATTGCTGCCTTGGGACAAGAAAATAAAACAGATAAGAAAAAAACAAATAAAATCTTCTTTCATACCTCCAGATAGATGAAAAATAAATTCTGATGAATTCTGATTCTTTCTTTCTTTCTTTTCTTTCTTTCTTTCTTTCTTTCTCTTTCTTTCTTTCTTTCTTTCTTTCTTTCTTTCTTTCTTTCTTTCTCCCTCCCTCCCTCCCTCCCTCCCTCCCTCCCTCCCTCCTTCCTTTCTCCTTCTCTCTCTCTCTCTCTCTCTCTCTCAAACCTTGAGTTGCTTGCTTATATTCTTACATATAAGAATAACATATTGCATTTCCTGCTGTTCTACCCCTTTGCCGTGTTCTACTCTAGAGGTGAGTAGAACTGTCTGCCTCCAGTTTCTCAGTAGTTGATGTTGACGTGTAAATCCAGATCCCTGCTGTGTTTATAAAGCCTTAGTAGCCCTTGAGCACCGGCTGATCGTTCAAGAAACTGATTTACAGTCAGAAAAGGACAACCGGGGAAAACGCAGAGGGGAATGGTAAAGGACCCAGCTAAAAAGGAAGATGGCAGATTCTAGCCCAAGGCCAGCCAGGAATCTTAGCAGTAGAAATGTTCTGGAAGTCAATTAAATCTGAATAATGGGGTCATTTCTATGGGACTGGATGCGTTTTCAGGGCTAGACTGCAGTCGCTAAATTCTTATGGATCCTTGGGGCTCCCTGAGCTTGGTTGTTTTCTTGCAGATGTTTGATTACCCAAATGGGTAACATCATCGGTGCTAGAATGGTTTGCTCTCTTGTCTATATACAGGTAGTCCTTGACTTATAGCAGTTCATTTAGTGACTGTTACAGCGGCACTGAAAAAATGTGACTTATGACCGTTTTTCAGTTACGAGCTTTGCAGCATCCCCTTGATCAAAATTGAGGTGCTTGGCAACTGGTTCATACTTATGACGGTTGCAATGTCCCGGGGACATGTGAGCCCCTCTTTCAACCTTCTGAGAAGCAGAGTCAATGGGGAAGCCTCTTCCCTTAACAATCAGGTTACTAACTTATCAACTGCAGTGATTCGGTTAACAACTGTGGCAAGAAAGGTTGTAAAATGGGGCAAAACTCAAGTATCTTGCTGAGAGAGAGAAAGAGATGTAGGTAGGTAGGTAGATTGAGATAGATAATGAGAGAGAGAGAGAGATAATGTGTGTGTGAGAGCGAGAGTGAGAGAGACTGAGAACGAAGGAAGGAGGGATATTTATTTATTTATTTATTTATTTATTTATTTATTTATTTATTTATTTATTTATTTATTGGTTCGATTTATATGCCGCCCTTCTCCGGAGACTCAGGGCGGCTTACAATGCGTTAAGCAATAGCCTTCATACTTTTTTGTATATACGTGCTTAGTAGGGCTTTCGGCCCCCCCTAAGAGGTGTTCTTTTTATACAAAATCAGCTTATTGCCCCCACAATCCGGGTCCTCATTTTACCTACCTCGGAAGGATGGAAGGCTGAGTCAACCTTGAGCCTGGTGAGATTTGAACTTGCAGTAATTACAGGCAGCTGGCAGCTAAGTGCTACTTTAACAGCACTTTAGTCCGCTGCGCCACCAAGGCTCCTACAGATAGATAGATAGATAGATAGATAGATAGATAGATAGAGAGAGAGAGAGAGAGAGAGAGAGAGAGAGAGAGAGAGAGAGAGAGAGAGAGAGAGAGAGGTAGGTGGTAGGTAGGTAGGTAGGTAGATAAATTGATGGATTGATATAGATAGGTGGGTAGGTAGAGATAGATAAATATAGGTAGGTAGGTAAAGAAAGGTAGGTATAGGTAGGTAGGTAGGTAGGTAGGTAGATAGATAGATAGAGATGATAAATAGAGATACACAGACATAGACAGACAGACAGACGACAGACAGACAGACAGACAGACAGACAGACAGACAGACAGACAGACAGACAGACGACAGATAGATAGATAGATAGATAGATAAAGATACCGGTAGGTAGGTAGGTAGATATAAAAGCAAAGAGCAAGACTCACTTCCTTCTATCGTTGTGTCATGAAACGCCTGCAAGAACACAACCCAGAACCAAGGAATCCACAGATCAACCCTTAGCTATAAATACCCTCTTCTTCTATTGGTCTCGTGGCTTTTTTAAACTGAGCCTTCCCTCAATTTGATCCTGCATTCCTACATTTTGGACCAGGAAATAGAACCAGATTTTCTCAGGATAACCGTTCTTCCTCTAGCGTCCTTATAAATATTAGTTCTACCAAGTTACCTTAATCCTAAACCTGGTTCTGCTTCCTTGTCCAAGATGCGTTTTACTGTTAGAAGGAGGGGGGGGAAAGTGCTCCCCCCCCCCCTTTCCTTGTTTTCCTCTTGAAATTCCATTTATCCATTTTGCCCTTTGAAACTAAGTTCTTCCTTTTTCTGTAGGATTTGGACGGGCCAGAGGAAGAGGAACTGGGAGATTTTCAGCCCAAGGCATGGGGTAGGTTTTTAATAACAGATGTAAGATTTGTATTTTAATTGCATGTGGACCAAACAATACTGCTTAACTGTGCATGGTTGGAAATCCTTCAAATTTTGTTGAGCAGGACTTTCTGTCTATTCCTCTTAGCAAAGGAACTTGAAAAAGGACAAAAGCCGCCAAATTAGAAATCCAGAAAGCCAGTTTGTAAGTCTTTCTTAGGCATGGAAGCCAGCTGGATGACCTGAGGCCATTTATTCCCTTTCAGGAGCTGACTAATCAATAACATCTCATTACATCATAGCAATAGCACTTAGCAAGAGCAAGAGCAGTTAGACTTATATACCACTTCATAGTGCTTTTAGAGCCCTCTCTAAGCGGTTTACAGAATCAGCCTATTGCTCCCAACAATCTGGGTCCTCATTTCACTGACCTTGGAATGGTAGGGGGCTGAGTCAACCCTGAGCCGGTCATGATCAAACTCCTGGCTGTGGGCAGAGTTAACTTCCAATATTGCATTCTAACCATTGCACAACCACAGCTTTTAAATAGAATAAGGAAAGAATAGAATAAGGAAAGAATAGAATAAGGAAAGAATAGAATAGAATAGAATAGAATAGAATAGAATAGAATAGAATAGGATTCTTTATTGGCCAAATGTGATTGGGCACACAAGGAATTTGTCTTCGGTGCATAAGCTTTCAGTGTACATAAAGCTATAAGTGATATCATGCATTGATAGCTTGGTTTTCAGATCTAGGTGAAACCAGTTCAGAAACGGTGGTTCCCTTGTAGAATCCCTGGAGCTTTTTTGCTTTTTGGCAGACGTTTCATTACCCAACAAGGTAACATCATCAGTGCTGGAAGGGAGTGGGATTTGCAGAGAGGAAGAGGTCTCTGTTTATGTATAAACTGCTTGCCCTGTCAGTATTAATAAGATTGTTCCTGATAGTTCATTGGTTAGGCTGTTGTTTACTCTGGGGTCCTTGGTATCCTCTGAGCTTGGTAGTTTTCTTGCAGACATCTCATTACCCAACTAGATAACATCATCAGTTTTAGAAGGGATTGAGGTTTGCTCTGTGTCCTTTGGTTATTTTTGCTTTAGTGATCTTTGATGATTTTGATCTTGTGTTTACTGTCCAGTGTCACAATTGTGAAGTGGGCAGCTATATAACTTGCTATAATAAGTAAAGCGGCAGTGAATAAGCCGTCATACAGGATAACTTTCTGTTAGCAGATCTACTTGAATGGACAAAAATATCAGGGCAACCTTGACATTTAAAGGGATTGTTTTCAGTGCTGATTAATAAATCTAAGGGAAACTATTTTATGTTGAGTTACACTACTGGTTGTTTTTCTCCCTCTATCTCCACACCCAGGCAAAGTTTTCCAATTCCCCTTTTCAACCTGGAAATTTCATATAAAATATCAATATTGCCCCGCTGATCCATGACTTGATCTACCTTTATGGATGTTTTGTTTTAGACAGTTGTGAGTGTGGCAACCCACAAAACATTCCACTTCGTGAAGTAGCCCGTTTCAAGCATTTTGGTAAGGACTAGACCAATTCAAAAGGAAATGCTTTTCAGATCCATACTGGCAATTAAATTAAAAGAGTTTTTCTTTTCTCTCTATTCATCCTATTTCCTCTACTTCTGTGGATGCTAAACATGGAGGGTTCCTGGATGTGGCCAGTCTTGATGGCCCTTCCATGGTCTGGGTTCCACCAGAAAGCACATGAGATCCTGGCTCCAATCCCCAGAGGTAGTGGAGGGTTGAAATATTGACCTGAAAGACTGGAAACAGAACTCATTGACAACATACAGTGTAAAGACTGGAACCGAGATTATGTAGGACAAACGGGCAGAAGACTGCATCCATGAACACCGACTGGCAGTCAGAAGACAGGATGGAAACTTTTAATTTCACAACATATGAACAGAGTCAACCATAGTTTCAGCTGGGAGATTATGACTATCCTAGACCAAGCCAAGTCCCCAAACGCAAGACAATTCCTGGAAGCCTGGCGCTCAGACAAATCGTCCATCAATAGATACATAGACATAAATAACATCTACACACTGTGGAAAAGAAGACAATCAACAAATGAAAAAGGGATTGGGAAAATCAAAAGGCCTCCCCCCCCAGCAGTCAACACCCCAGCTGAGCATGGATTAACACTTCAAGATTAACATTAGTCCAACAATCGTAAATGTAAACAATGCTCCAATCAAGGAACTGCCAAGCAAGCTAACAGTAAACAGCCCAAACAAAGAATCTCTTTAAGACCTCTCCCACCAGCCCTGACAGGCCAATATACGTTGAGAGCAAACCCCTCTCCCTTCCAGCACTGATGACGTTATCTAGTTGGGTAGTAAAACGTCTAGAAGGAAACAACCAGGCTCAGAGAGCACCAAGGACCCCACAGTCCTCCTTCCCATCCCAACCCCCTCCTCTGTTCTAGCACTGATGACGTTACCTAGCAATAGCACTTAGACTTATATACCGCTTCACAGTGCTTTTACAGCCCCCTCTAAGGGGTTTACAGAGTCAGCCTCTTGTCCCCGACAATCTAGGCCCGTGATGGCGAACCTATGGCACGTGTGCCACAGGTGGCACACGAAGCCATATCGGTGGGCACGTGAGCGTTGACCTAGCTCAGCTCTGGTGGGACTGGAAGTCGGAAATCTGGCTGTTTCCGGCCTCCGGAGGGCCTCGGTGGGGGGGGGAGGGCTGTTTTCGCCCTCCCCAGGTCCCTAGAAAGGCTCTGGAGCCTGGGGAGGGCGAAAAATGGGCCTACCGGGCCCACCATACTATCATGTGCCAAAAGCTGCGGGAGCGCAGGTCATGCACGCATGTATGGGGGGTGGGGCACATTGAATTATGGGTATGGGCACATGCACGCACAATTTCCCCCACGCTCCCGCCACTTTTGGCACGCGACAGCAAAAAGGTTAGCCATCACTGATCTAGGCCCTCATTTTACCAACCTTGGAAAGATGGAAGGCTTGAGCCGGTGGGACTTGAACTACCAAGCTGCTGGCAATCGGCAGTCAGCAGAAGTAGCCTGCAGTACTGCATTCTAACCACTGCCCCACTAAGGCTCTAGTTGTGCCGTGTTGGGTAGTAAAGCATCTGCAAGGAAACAGACAAGCTCAGAGACTACCAAGGACCCCAGAGTTCTCTTCCTTCCCCCCTCCCGCTTCTAGCACTGATGATGTTACCTAGTTGGGTAATAAAACGTCTGCAAGGAAACAACCAGGCTCAGAGAACACCAAGGACCCGTCAGAGCGACCTCTGAGGCCTCTCTAGGTTGGAAGGGAAAATGGTGGGCTAGGCTGAGCAGACAATTACCAAAGCCTCGCTTTCTCTAAGAGTTCTGACTTTCTCCACCTCTCTTGACCTGTAGGACGTTTAACCCTGCAGATTACACCGATTCCTCAGCCACCGACGGCTTTGGGGCAAAACAGGAGTCTTGGGAACTGGGAGAAAACGATGCAGCTGAAGGAACAGGTGAGGGAACGGCAAGGTTACAGATTACAAGCCTGTCCCAAATTGCCAATAGCCGGGTAATAATTGCTGTGCGTTTCCCGATAACAGCAAAATGTGCATCTTTTTCTGAGAATAGTTGAAGGTAAGGCGTAAATGCTGCCTGTAATCTTACCTGCGAAACAGTTTTCAATAAAGGGGAATATTTGTAGCTCGGGGTTGACCTGAGAGGGGTCCTTGGTGCTCTCTGAGCTTGCTTGTTTTCTTGCAGACGTTTCATGACCCAAACTAGGTTTGCAAGAAAACAAGCAAGCTCAGAGAGCACCAAGGACCCCTCAAAAGAGTTTTCCATTGGCACGTGTGTGTGAGAGAGAGAGAGAGAGAGAGGGAGGGAGGGAGGGAGGGAGGGAGGGGGGGGGGGGAAGGAAAATGATGTGGAACTAAGAACTTGGTTTTCTACCCACCACTTATCCTCCCCACAAAGGGAGAATGCCATTGCAGCCACTTTATACCAAACTCGGCACTTCTTTGATCTTTTCTGTCGAAGCTGCTTGTGAATTCTTTTTTGTGATCTGTGCCATGAGGTGGAGACAGAATAACCCAGTTGGAAGGGACCTTGGACATCTTCTAATCCAGGCCCCTACTCAGGCAGGAGATCCTATACCATTTCAGACAAGTGGCTGTACAGTGATAAAAGCCTCCAGTGATGGAGCACCCACAACTTCTGGAGGCAAGCTGTTCCACTGATTAATGGTTCTCACTGTTAGAAAGTGAGAACAATTAGGAAGTTTCTCCCTAATTCCAGGTAGCTTCTTTCCTTGAGTGGTTTCCATCTCCATTGTTTCTTGTCCTGCCCTCTAGTCTAGTGCTTTGGAAAATGAGTTGACTCCCTCTTCTTTGTGACAGCCTTTGAAGAGTGGCTCGTGTGAAATTTTCCACATGCTACAGCAGCACCCATTTTTCAAAGTGTCTATCCTCTGTTAATTTACTTAGTCTAAACTTAGAACAGAAGAGATACTCAGGGATGCAAAATAAACAAAGACTTAACGTATTTGCAGGACGGATGTCAAGATATGTTTTTACAATAGCTCCACAGTCAAGTTTTCCTGGTTTGCAAACCAATGGAAGCATGTCAGGTTGGGAACTTTTTAGTTTAAGGTAGCTTGGGGTCAGATTAGCCCCCAAGAAACTCCCTTGTACATAAATGTCATCTACATTTACAGTCCTGGTAAATTTGTTGTTACTTTTGAATTTTCATGAGCGCTGAAAAAATTGCTAGTGGTTTGGAAGCATCGACGAAGAAAAAAAACCCTTATGTTTCTTTTACTTTTACTTTACTGTTATTTAATTTGTATACCGCCCTTCTCCCGAAGGACTCAGGGCGGTAAACAGCCAACAATAAAATACATACATACAAAATTTAAAAAGCAGAATTAAAATTGAATTAAATAGTTTGGCTCAGACAAATTAAAAAACCCCAAGCAATTTAAAACAAATTAAACTTTGAATATTAAAATATATTTAAAAATATTATTATTTTTTTTAAAAAAAAAGAGGGAGAAAGTTAGGCCAGGCCCGCCTGGTGGAATAAAAAGGTCTTAAGAGCGCGGCGGAAGGTCCGCAGATCTGGGATCCTCCGTAACTCCGGGGGGAGCTCGTTCCAGATAGTAGGTGCCCCCACAGAGAAGGCTCTCCCCCTGGGGGCCGCCAGTCAGCATTGTTTGGCCGACGGCACCTGGAGGAGCCCCTCTCTATGGGAGCGTACTGGCCGGTGGGAGGCTATTGGTGGTAGTAGGCGGTCCCGCAAGTACCCAGGTCCTGAGCCATGGAGCGCTTTAAAGGTGGTAACCAAAACCTTGAAGCATACCCGGAAGACCACCGGGAGCCAGTGCACCTCGTGCAGGAGGGGTGTTACATGGGAACGCCATGTCGCTCCCATTACCACCCGCGCGGCCGCACTCTGCGCCAGTTGGAGCCTCCGGGTGCTCCTCAAGGGGAGCCCCATGTAGAGAGCGTTACAATAGTCCAGGCGGGAGGTAACGAGGGCATGAGTGACCGTGCGTAAGGAGTCCCGATCCAGAAAGGGGCGCAACTGGCGGATCAGGCGAACCTGATAAAAAAACCTTATGTTTCTGGGAATCCATAGGTCATATTTCACCTGGGTGGGAATTATTCCTCTTATAGGAAAACATTTTAATATCTTCAGTGTCCCAGTTTTCCATACTGTATAAAATCTGCCTAAGTAATTTTAAAACAACTTTACTTGAAACCTGTTTCAGTGTCTTTGCGTGACAATAATCCTCGCTGCCTGATAGCAGTTTATATGTATCATGACTCCCAAGTAAGAAAATAAATAAATAAAACATGAAAAACATTTTTGGAAATCCCAGTGAACACACACACACACACACACACACACACACACACACACACACACACACAAAACACACAAAATCAATCACCACCTGTAAGGTGATTTCTAAAAATGAAAGCTTTTTAATTTTGGCTGAAAAAAAATCATTTTGACTTCTGGAGGCTTTGCCCGGTGACCCAGAACGTGGGTGTCCTCACTCTGAACTTGACTTGGCTCTTCTGTTTCTGCCATGAGCTGTTAATTTGCATAGTTTAAAAATGATTTATCACAGTAGCAGGCTGGGAGGGTTTGTTTTAAGATGTTGGGATGTGGGCTAGAGAGCAGCTTTTGTAAGGATGGCCTGAACCAAAGCTTAGAAGACCCTACTTTCTTTTCTTTTTTTTTAAATAATTTTTATTGAGTATTTTACATTTTAAAACCAAATACACAATAGCAAAAGAAGTCAAGAGACAAAAACAAAAAACAAAAACACACGCACATCAGACGTTAAAATACAATATTAACAACAGATATATACAATTTTACAACTTTCTGCATCAACTTTTTTTATCCTTCTGCTCTTTCACTTTATTGTTAAATATTCATAATTAACTGTTTTGTTAGCAGGATCATTATTTACATTTATATCCAGTATGTTAATATCAAATTTCACTTTATATTCTTATTTCTTAATTTGATTTCTGTTTTCCAACCATGTATAAAACCTATTCCACACTTTATAATAATCCGAGTTAGAAGACCCTAGTTTCTATCCTGCCTTTATTTCTTTTTCTTTTAATAAACAATTCAAGGTGGCGAACATACCTGATACAGGTCGTCCTTGGCTTACGACCACAATTGAGGTCAAAATTTATGTTGCTAAGTGAGAAATTCGTTAAGGGAGATTTGCCCCATTCTACGACTTTTCTTGCCACATTTGGTAAGTGAATTACTGCAGTTCAGTTAGTAACATAGGGTTGTTAAGTGAATCTGGCTTCCCCATTGCTTCTGAGAAGGTCGCGAAAGGGGATCACATGACCTTGGAAAACAGCAACGGTCATAAATAAGAAACCAGTTGTCCAGCATCCAAATGTAAATCACATGACCATGGGGATGCTGCAATGGCCATAAGTGTGAAAAATGGTCATAAGTCACTCTTCAGTGCCGCTGTAACTTTGAACGGTAGGTAAACAAACTGTTGTAAGTTGAGGACTACCTGTAGACTTTCCTCCTCCTCTTTTCCTCTTTTCCTGTCAACCCTGCGAGCTGGATTGGGCTGAGAGAAAGACGACTAGCTCAAAGTCACTCAGTTGGCTTTCGTGCCTAAAATGGGACTAGAACTCACAGTCTCCTGGTGATTGGCCCAAACACACCCAGCTGGCTTTCATGCCTAAGGTGGGACTCGAACTCATGTCCTCCCAGTTCCTAGCCTGATGTTTTAACCATTAGACCAAACTGGCTCTTTTGAACTGTGTGGCTCAATGCCTCCTTTCCCTCTTGTTTCATACGTTTTTATCATTTCTATTAGTTTAATAATTTGCTATAGTAAGCACCTCTTGGACCACAGCGGAAAACTTTTCAAGTGATCCGAGAAACAGATGCTCCTTCCTTCCGAATCTCAGTTCTCCCACCTACATCTCTGTGGTGGGCAGGTCACGGAGTGGCTGAGGATTGATTTTACAGGTTTGCAGGCAGCTCTGACCTTCTTCTGCGGATAAGACTTGGTCCAAAAGCAAAATTCGGATTTTTTTGGCTTCGGTGAGGGCAGAGTCATTTTCTTTAGCAGTGTCTGATATCTTGCATTAATATTAATTGGTGGCCCATAGGTTTAATCCTACATGTTTTCATCTGTCAGATGCAATCACATCTGTAATCCAAGACGTGGAAAACGTATGGCCCTCGGCTACGACCCCTAACATCCCTAACCATTGTCCATTTTGGGTTCGGCTGCTTGGGAATTGTAATTTCAACAAGGTACCGGTTTCCTTAAGAAATGAGCAGGTTTTTTTTTTCTGATCAGCCCTTTGTTCTACAGGAGCATGGAAGAATTCAATAGAAGAATGGACGGCCGAAGACTGGAACGAAGATGTAAGTCTAGATTTTGTTGGCTTTGTTGTTGTGCAGTGCTGGTTCTCTTTGAAAAGTCTGTTGCAGAATAGATGGGCTGACTTTTAAACACTTTTAACTTCTTGAATGTTATTTGCTAATTTTAATCCTGGGGTATTGTTCAAGATTATTAGTGTTAATACCGCTTTATAATGCCTTGATAAGGCCACGCTGGGAATACCGCATCCAGTTTTGGTCGCCACGAGGTAAAAAAAGATGTGGAGACTCTAGAAAGAGTGCAGAGAAAAGCAACAAAGAGGATTAGGGGACTGGAGGCTAAAACTTATGAAGAACGGTTGCAGGAACTGGGTATGTCTAGTTTGATGAAAAGAAGGACTAGGGGAGACACGATAGCAGCCTTCCAATATTTGAAGGGCTGTCACAGAGAGGAGGATGGAGTCTAATCTCCAAAGCACCTGAAGGCCGGACAAAAAGCAACAGATGGAGACTAATGAAGGAGAGAAGCAACCTAGAACTCAGGAGAAATTTCCTGACAGGTAGAACAATTAATCAGTGGAGCAACCTATCTTCAGAAGTTGTGGTTGCTCCAACACTGGAAGTTTTTAAGAAGAGATTGGACAGCCATTTGTCTGAAATGCTATAGGGTTTTCTGCTTGAGCAGGGGGTTGGAGTAGAAGACCTCCAAGGTCCCTTCCAATTCTGTTATTCTATTCTAAATATATTTTTTCAGAGGATTTAAGCGGAGGCTAGGCAGATCTCCTAGGACCTGTGCTATCACAACTTTCTGAAAATCTACACTTTTAAAGTATGGAAAATACAGCTACGGGTACTTCTCAACTTACAATCATTAGTTTAGTCAGCATTTGAAGTTTACAACGGCACTGAAAAAGCGACTTATGACTCTTCACAATTAGGAGTGTTGGCGGCATCCCCATGTCACATGATCAAAATTTGGAGGCTTGGCAATTGACTCATTTATGACGGTTGCAATATCCTGGTGTCATGTGATCCCTTTTTGTGACCTTCTGACAAAGTCAATGGGGAAGCCAGATTCACTTAACAACCATGTCGCTAACTTTAACAACTGCAGGGGTTCACTTAACAAATGTGGCAAGAAAAATCATCAAACGAGGCAAAACTCACTTAACAAATTTCTCATTTAACAACATAACACTTTGGGGCTCAATTGTGCTTGTGAGTCAAGGGTTACCTGTCTTGTGTTCCTTGTGCAGGTGGTGGCTGAAAGTGCCATGGGTGTTTCATTGGTCTGATCGAGAAGCTTCTAATCGCTTCTTCAGATAACCCAAAATAACAAACCATACATTTAAGGGATGATTGTCTGTGGTTTGTCCTCAGACCTGACTGGAACCGAGCTTGCTTCTCAAGAGTGGAAATTTTGGCCCGGAGAACCCGACTGGTCATTTGATTCCAGCAAAATCCCCAATTTAACCAGCTGCTGGTTTCAAGGAATTGTCAGTTTCCAGAAAGGAATTCTTGGCGTTTTTTTTGTTGTTGATGTTGTGCCTCACTTAGATTCTGGCCAGCATTTCACAAGCAGATTAAGTTGCTTCTCAGAAATCTTGCGGGCTTCTGTGTAACCTAAAACCTTTCAGCTGTTGTGTGGATCAAGTGACCTCATAATTGCCACCGTTTTTGGGCTGTGTCCTGTTTACCTTTCTAGACAGGCTGGAGCAGCAGCTCCACCCACAAGCAGAGGACAGTTATAGGCTGGTTTATTTTAGGATATAGAGACACACTTCTTGCTTTGGGAGTTGCTTGCAAGGGTTGTGTTGTCTGTTGACCTACCAATGTATGAGGGCATTTGTGGCCTCTTGAAATAACCATTCCTTAACAGTCTGTGGAGATTCTCAGTCATTCAGGTCACCCAAGAATACACTAAGGCAGAAGCTTGTCCACCCCAAAGATAAAACACCCAGACACAAACTGAGCAACGTGGTATATGCAGTGCAATGCAGTGAGCCATGTGCAGAGCTGTACACTGGGGAAACAAAACAGCCACTTCATAAGCACATGACACAACACAGGAGAACAAACTAGGACTAGATTCAGCAGTCCATCTACACTTAAAAGACACAGGCCACTTTTTTGAAGTCAGCAAAGTCCACATTCTTGACAGAGAGGACTGCTGGTTTGAAAGAGGGGTCCAAGAGGCCATCTCTGCCCAAATTGAACAGCCTTCTATCAACATAGGGGGAAGAATATGACATCATCTATCTCCAGTCTACAACACAGTCCTTTCAGCAGTTCCAAGAAGGCTCCACACCCATTTGCACCACTCAGGTGATCCTGATGCCACAGATAAACCTCCAGGTGACCTTAATGACCCTCTAAAAAGATGGAAATGTCCAGCTGTCTGCAAGGAGTATAAATCCTTCCCTTCCCCACTGTCTGTTCAGAGCTGAAGAAGCTTCTTGGATGAGAAGCAAAACATCTTCAAAGAAAAACCAGAAAGTCCAGTTGCCTCTTGGAAAAGCACCTTTGGGACATTCCTTAACAGGTGCTTGCTGGATTTTCCCAGTCACTGTTAAAGCAGGTCTCCATCAGTCCTAGGAGGGAAGCACAGAACGTCTGTTTGAAAGAAGTTCTGATAGAAATCCCCGTCTCCTGGTGATTGGCCCCAAATCACCCAGCTGGCTTTCATGCCTAAGGCGGGACTAGAACTCCAATTCTAGAATTCCAATTCTAGGTTTCTAGGCTAGCACCTTAACCCCTACATCAAAATGGCTGTGATGACCCAGGGCGTGGCACGGAAGCAGCACAGCCAGAGAACAGGTCTAATTCCCCTTTATTGCTCCAACTTTGCCCCCAAACGTCCCCATGTTTACTACAAGTTGTGGAGCAAAGCTCTCTCACGCATCTTCAACAGCCTCTGGCTGTGAGTGGTCCAGTAAGCGAGGTTTGCAAAGCAGTAACCAAGGCAAGAAGTCCAGTTAGCAAGGGTAGCAAAAAAATAACCAGAGCCAGAAGTTCAGCGAAGCAGGCAAACGGGGCAAGCCCCACAAGACAGAGCACCGTAATCTCCAGACTTCGGCAAGTGCATATGAGGCTCCAGAGATTCAACGCTTGTTCTTGACAAATGCCCCTCCCACTGGCATCTCCTTCCACCTCAGTCCCCAGGTGTGCCTTGTGAAGGGGGGGGGGGCTGGGCACTCTCCTGCCTCATAGCTGGCTCAGTCTGCGTTGTTCCCGCCTTCTCTCTTCTCTTCTGGCTCTAGGATCAGGAGGGGTTTGTCCCTGCTCTTCGCCTGAGCTCTGTGAAAAGCTCTTCCCTTCCCTAGTTTCCTCCAAAGCCAACGGAGCCGCCCCCTCGGTCTCTGCTGGCTCCTGTTCCAGCTCATCTTCCCCCACAGTGGGGCATGACAATGGCTCTCAAACTTCTCTCTTTGCATGGAAAAGATCCCAGACTCGGTCCTTGGAAGCCTCTCCCTGCTGAAAACATTTCAGCATTCAGCTAGGATTTATGCAGAATGAGGATTTCACTTGAGTGAAACTGGCACTGCACACACGGTTCGCCTGGGATGAGTGACCTATCTATGCCTGGCAATCTTTCCTCAATTTACAATTCTTGGTTTAGTGACCATTCAATGTTACAACAGCACTGAAAAAATTGACTCATGACCCTTTTTCACCCTTAAAGACTGTTGCAGCTTCCCTTTTGGTCACATAATCAAAACTCAAAACGCTTGGCAGCTAACTTCGGTTGAGGTGTCCTGGGGTCACGTGATCCCCTAACAACCATATTACTAACAACAATAGCGCTGCATTTAACCACCGTGGCAAGAAAAGTCACAAAGTGGGGCAAAATTCACAAGTAAGATTCCACAAGTTTGGAATATAATTCAAAATGACATTGACATTTTAAAGACTGACATTTTCAAGTGTTCTTCTAGAAAGAACTGAAATCTGGACAAGAAAAGTCTAATGTATCTTCAAGTTTCTTACAAGTCCAACAGCAATCTACAATCTATTCTTTCTGATTCATTCTTTGACCACTCCAATAAAATATTTGGATAGATACTTTCAACTTTAAATCTAAGGAAACAACATTTAAATGTTAAAAATAACCTCTAAAACAAAGGTCGATCCCACATCATCTGATATTCCAACTCATTACTCCATAACTCCATAACATTTTAACTTTATAGTTGAATTAAAGACTCACAAATGATTCCACCCTTAAAAGGGCAAAACGGGGTTGATGGTAATGACAATATTGGTCAGGCCAATCTCTTCAATTTATTTTTTAGTTCAGTTTTCGTGGGTCCCAAGTCAAACCACAAACAGTTGTAGCAAATTGCAGAATATTAAATTTACAGTAGATAATGTTGAAATTGCATTATGTAATCTAAAACCATCGCTATCCACAGGACCAAATGATTTATGTACTTTTTTTCTTGAAAAAGCTTGCTACCGTCCTAGCTGAACCTTTGTGTACAATTTTTGAAGTATCATTTCGAACTACTTCTTTGCCTGATCTATGGTCATCAGCTATAGTTATACCAATTTTTAAAAAGGATGACCCTACTTCAGTTGAAAATTATAGACCAATCTCTTTGTGTTGTGTTACATGCAAAGTTATGGAATCAATTATAAACCAATCCATTGTTTCACCACTTTGAGACAAACAATTTGCTTAGCCACAAAAATATTGAATTCAATTGTGGTCATAAGTCGAGGATTACCTGTACAGAAAAAGTTCAGATCTGCCCTGAAGAACTTTATTCTGGTTTGGAATATTTCAAATTTCAAATCTTTATTGTCAGTGCACAACATACGTACAGTGAGATTGGTTGAGCTCCCTCAACCTGAGGCTTTGATCTATTGGGGAAGGCTGCCCTTCTGTCTAGGCGTACATGCATCGAGGGAAAAATCTTTAATTTGCCAGGAACAAAAATGAAGCTATTTGATATATTTTTATAGACACTGCCCTTCCCCTAAACATGTATGCGGTGCTGTTTTTCCATCATTCCCTCTTGCCCATATCCATGTAAATTATTGCCTGCAAATGTGAGATAATTTTGTCTGTGCTTTAAAATCTTTTCAGTACCTCGTGTTTTTTGTTGCTATCTCCTGCAAAAAAAAAAGGGGGGGGGGGGGAATTAATGCAAAATATATTATTCTTGCTCTTTTTTTTTTGTCTGAACTTTTAGCTTTCAGAAACAAAGGTCTTCACAGCTTCATCAGTTCCAGCCGAGAACCATGTTGCTTCTGGTCAAAGGTATATATTTTCCTGTGTTGAGTCTCTTAATGGGTATTATGGGATGGCCTTTTTCTCAAATGGAATTGTTGGTCCTATCCATAATTATTTACAAGTGTACACATAGACCAGAAACACTGGAACTGAGAGCCCTAGAGGTGTCTGCTGCAGCCTCCTGCTATGTACATGGTCCCTTTAGGACAGGTGACTTATCCATCCAGCTTCTCTCTGACGAAGGGGAACATACTATACAGGTAGTCCTCGACTTACAACAATTCGCTTAATGACTGTCCGAAGTTAAAGCAGCACTGGAAAATAGTGACACGGCAGCTCCCCCACGGTCACATGATCAAAATTCAGAAGCTCAGCAACTGGCTTGTACAACTGGGCGGTTGCAGTGTTGCAGTCGTGTGTTCATATTTTGCAACCTTCTCTCTCACAAGCAAAGTCAAGGGGGAAGCCAGATTCACTTAAAAAAAACCTGTTACTAATTTAACAACTTAAGCGATTCACTTAACAGCTGTGGCAAGAAAGAAGGCGTAAAATGGGGGCAAAACGCATTTTAACCACAGAAAATTTGGGCTCAGTTGCGGTTGTAAGTTGGGGACAACCTCTATTTTGTGACTTTCATTTATCAAGGCTTTACATGTTTCCTGTCAAATTTCATACTGTTTATTTTGGCCCACTGTTCATACTTAACCGGCAGATGTTCTCTCTCTCTGTGTTCAGAAATGTTGGCCTCTCACCTTAATTCTGGGATGCTGCCAACTCACTTTGGCCACCTTGCTGCGGGATAACTCACTGCCGGGACAATTCAACAATTGTATTTGATTATTTAAAATAATTTTTAAAATTACTTTAATGTATGCCATTCAGATTTCGTCTTGCCCCTCCTTGTTCCTCCTTTCTTTGATGGTCCTATTCCACCATTTCTATGTAACTTTTGTCCTGTGGTAAATTGTCCCACGGTGAGTCTCCCGTGCTGAGTTGTTGGCTGCAGCGAATTGGCTGTGGCAAGTTGTCCTAGATCCCCAAAAGTCACTGATAAAAACCTTGGACTTCACTGTGAGCCCCCTGGCCCTCCAATTGATGCTGCTCTCCAAGCTGATACGGAGTGATTTACGGCGGCCGTCTAGCTGCAGTCATTCAGCCAATTATAAATCCATCTACCTGTTAATTTACCATTTTATTAATGAGGCTATCATGAGACACTTAGTCAAATGTCTGCTGAGGTCAAGGTACACTATGTTCATAGCATTCCCCCAATCTATTAAACTAGTAACTCTGTCAAAAGAAAAAGGGAGATAAAGTCAGCCAGCCGTGACTAATTGTTACATTCTTCTCCTGGTGCTCACAAGCAGCAGCTTTTGAATAATCTGTTCAAGGATCTTGCTCTATATAGATCTCAAGTTGACAAGCCTGTATATATACATATTTTTTAATGCTTTCCTAATTTAAAGATGGGGATGAATTGCTCTGGTTCTTTTGGAGGCTGCTTCCATCAGAGCTGCACTGGGAGCTCGCTCACTGAAAGTGCAACTCAAATGCTTCAATTTTAATGCCCCCACCGCCACAGTGAAGCTCCTTCTAATGTAGAGATGTCGCTTCAAAATATAGAAAAGCAAGATTTTACACTTAGGCAAGAAAAGCCAAACGTACTACAGATTGGGTGAAACTTGGCTCAGTAGCAATAACTGTGGAAAGGGTCTTGGACAATCACTTAAATATTTATTTATTTATTTTGAATCAAGTTTTATTGATTGCCCCCCCCCCATTCACCCGCATCTTTTTTTGAACAGAGTATTGGCCATTTCTTATCTTATACAATTTTTCAAGCTCAAATACATTTTACTCAATTACAATTTTTGCCAAAATCTTCCCTTTTTCCCTATTTTTTCTTTAATTCATATCTCAATATTTCTATATTTATTTATATAAACAACATCTTAATTCGCTCTCAAATTCTAATTTTCCTGTTTGTTCACATTTATTCTCTTTTATTTTTTAACAATTTCTTCTTTATCTTCATATATTCATATGTGTGTTCAGAGTCGCCTTTCTTCCATTTTCTCTTTTTTGTTATACAGCAGTCTTTCTTCTCAGTCACTTCCCTCTCCCTCTCTTCCTTCCTTCTTCCTTTCTTTCCCTCTTCTCCTGCTCCTTACTACTCCCCCTTCCTTTCTCCTTCTCCTCCTTTCTTCCTCCCTGACTAATCCTCTCTCCTTCTCTGATTTCCCCTCCCTTCCTTCCTCCCCTCTCTTCTATCCCTCTCTCTCCTTCCCTTCTCTCCCATCTCTCTACTTCTTCCATCTCTCTCTATTGCTGTATAGATTTTCAATTTAATATTTTCACTATGGTGTCCAGGCAACCCCCATCTTTCTTTCATTTATTAAATATCTTTCTCAAAATTCTTATCTTTTTAATTGTTAACAATATATATTTATAATGGGAGGGCCTTCTCTGTGGGGGCACCTACCCTCTGGAATCAGCTGCCCCCAGAGATAAGGAGGATCCAAGACCTCGGTGCCTTCCGCCGTGCCCTTAAAACTTTCTTTTTTCAGCAAGCCGGGCTGGCTTAACATATTTTTTAGCATATTTTAAAATTTTTAAAATTGGTTTGTTATCTTAAACTGGGGCCAAATTAATATATATCCCTTTAATTGTTTTTAATGTTTGTATTGTATGTTTTTATCTGGCTGTACACCGCCCTGAGTCCCTCGGGAGAAGGTGCGGTATATAAATTCGAAATAAAATAAATAAAAATAAAATAAAATAATTCACATCTTAATCATTTCTAATTGCCCCCGATCTAATTAGTTCTTATTTTAATCTTAATTCGCCTTCTTTCCCTTTTTTGATTACATTTCAAATATATAGTTTAAAATATTTCAATTTATTACAATTGGACAATCATTTAAATATGAGCCAATAATATGCAGCAGCCACCAAAAAAGCCAACACAGTTCTGGGCTGCATCAACAGAGGGAGAGAATCAAGATCACGTGAAGGGTTAATGCCACTTTATAAGGCCTTGGGAAGGCCACACTTGGAATACGGCATCCAGTTTTGGTCGCCACCATATAAAAAAGAACCCTACTACTGTGATATACAGGGAGCCCTCAACCTATGACCACAATTGAACTCAAAATTTATGTTGCTAACCAAGTCAGTTGTTAAGTGAATCAATGCAGTCTTTAAATTAGCAGCCCGGTTATTAAGTGCAGCTGGTATCCCCATTGACTTTGCTGGTGAGAAGGTCGCAAAAGGGGATCACATGATCCCAGGACAGTGCAGCCATCATAAATATGAGTTAGTTGCCAACCATCCGAATGTAAACGTGGCCATGGGGATGCTGCAACGGTCGTAAGTGTGAAAAATGGTCATAAGTCACTTTTTTCCCCGTGCTGTTGTAACTTTGAAGGGTCACTAAGTGAACTTGTAAGTGGAGGACTACCTGTATTAGGGACTATATCTTTATTATGTATTTGTTAGATTTAAATCCCCCCCTTTGCTCTAAGAGCTCAAGGCAGCACTACTCCCTTGCCCTGGCTCCCTTTTCCCCCAGGGCAGCAAACCTAAGGGATAGAAGTCTATGGAAATTCTCAGTCATTCAGGTCACGGTTGTCCCAAAGGGGCTTTTTTCAGGAGGCAACTGGACTTTTCTTGTTTTTCCTTCTTTGAAGACGTTTCACTTCTCATCCTTCGGATGTGTGAGATTATGAATGGATTTTCAAAAACTGCAGACGACAGGAACCATTTGCACCACTCAGGTGTCCCTCAGGACACAGATAAACCTCCAAGGGCTTCAACGACCCTCTAAAAGGATGCAAATTTATTTATGTATTTATTTATTTTACTCACATTTATATGCCGCCCTTCTCCCAAAGGACTCAGCTGTCTGCAAGGAGTAGAAATCCTTCCATTCCCCACCATCCAGTCAGAGCTGAAGAAGCTTCTTGGATGAGAAGCGAAAAGTCTTCAAAAGAAAAACCAGAAAGCCCAGTTGCCTCTTGGGACAAACATGACCTGGATGACGGAGAATCTCTACAGACTTTTTAGCCGTGCACTTTGGGATGAAGAGCCTTCAAATGGTGTGGGGGTAGGAATGGATTTCCAGAGGAAAAATTGCAGACTACAGGAACCATTTGCACCTCTCAGGTGACCCTGAGAACACGGAGAAACCTCCAATTGCTTCAAAGACCCTCTAAAAGGATGGAAATGACCAGCTGTCTGCAGGGAATATAAATCCTTCTATTCCCCACCATCCAGTCAGAGCTGAAGAAGCTTCTTGGATGAGAAGTGAAATGTCTTCAAAGAAGAAAAACCAAGAAAGTCCAGTTGCCTCCTGAAAAAGCCCCTTAGGGATTAAGGGTTAGATTGAGCTGAGAGAGGTTGCCTGGTCCAACATCACCTAGGGAGCTCTTGTGGCTGGGAGTGGGCTTGAACTGAGATTGTTCAATCCTAATCTTTCACCATTAATCCCTTGGTCTCCCTCCTGTGCATACCCAGGAGTCTTTGGCTACTTTGAATTCCTCCTGGCCTGTCTTCTAGCTTCCTTCCATTTTCTAAATTTTCTTTCTCTTTCCCTTTGATACCTAGCATTGATCTGGTGACGCTGCTTCAGAACCCTGGCGCCCCGAATCAAGACCCAGAGGCCACCTCCTTCGATGCTACTCAGCCGCAAGGCTTCGGCCAGGCGCTCATCTTCACCAATTCCCAGCACAATCCTCCGACGGCCTCGGGAACAAGCAATCCAAGCACTGTGAACACTTACTCGGCACAAAGCCTGGTAAGGTCCCTCCTATGGGTGACTCAGAACCCCGCGGTCAAAGATCTGGCAACGAATCCGGGAAAACGAAATGGGATGGCTTTGAACTGCGATGGGAACTCTTGTTTGTCTTTCGCAAAGGATAATTGTGGGGGTCCTTGGTGCTCTCTGAGCTGGGTGGTTCCCTTGCAGACGTTTCATTACCCAACTAAGTATTCTGTTTCCCCAAAATAAGACATTCCCTGATAATGTCTTATTATCAAGGGGGGGGGGGAGAAATTGTCCCCCTCAGAATGGGCTTGCAATCTGGGTGTCGTCCTAGACTCACAGCTAAGATTGGAACAACATCTGACAGCTGTGGCTAGGGGGACCTTTGCACAGGTTCGTCTGGTACACCAATTGCGACCCTACTTGGATCAGGAGGCTCTCCTCACAGTCACTCATGCCCTTGTCACCTCACGGTTAGATTATTGCAACGCGCTCTACATGGGGCTACCCTTGAAAAGTGTTCGGAGACTACAGTTGGTCCGGAACGCAGCTGCGCGAGCTGTCGTGGGTGCATGTAGGTACACCCACATTACACCAATTCTCTGCGAGCTGCACTGGCTCCCTATTGGTCTCTGGTCACAATTCAAGGTGTTGGTTATTACCTTTAAAGCCCTACATGGCTCAGGGCAAGGCTATCTTCGAGACCGCCTTCTACCGCATACCTTCCAGCGACTGGTAAGATCCCACAGAGTTGGTCTTCTCTGGGTCCCGTCAGCTAAACAAAGTCAGTTGGCGGGCCCACGGGGGAGGGCCTTCTCTGTGGCTGCCCCAGCTCTCTGGAACCAGTTACCTCCTGAGATCCGGACCATCCCCACCCTATTGGCCTTCCGAAAAGCGGTGAAGACCTGGTTCTTCCGGCAGGCCTGGGGCTGTTGATCTCGCTCTTGTGATTTGGCAAGATCCGGCCATGAATGGTGTGAATGGGTTTTAATTGTTTTTAATGTTTTAATTTTCAATGTTTTTATATATGGTTTTTAATGCATTGTAAGCCGCCTTGAGTCTTCGGAGAAAGGTGGCATACAAGTTAAATAATTAATAAATAAATAAATAAATAAATAAATAAATAAATAAATAAATAAATACAGCTAAGCTCAGAGAGCACCAAGGACCACACGGTTCAACCGTGAGCTACAAATATTCCTTTCCATCCACAGTGGATAACCTTTGTACTTGTAGCTTTCCAGGGAGGCTTACTGACTCCTTCCAACTGAAAGCGGGAGTGATCTACTTAATGTGATTCTTGTGAGGAGCACAGATCACACCCTGTGCATAATAATTACTACCAATTAGCCTTGTTGGTGAGGTGCCCAGTAGTTTCAGTCTGGAAGACTGTGATGTGGACTTCTTTCCAGTTACATATCTGACTGGTTTATGTGGAAATCAACTATTCCTGAGCCTTTGAATCTAGGTTTAATAAATACATTTTTATTGTTGGTGATATCGAGTTCATGCCTCCTCCTTATGATATAAAGTGCATTAATATAATACTGGAACTAAGGAGAAATGTCCTGACAGTGAGAACAATTAATCAGTGGAATGACTTGCCTCCAGAAGTTGTGGGTGCTTCACTATTGGAGGTTTCTCGTAAGAAATTGGACAACCATTTGTCTGAAATGGTATAAGGTTCTCCTGCTTGAACAGGGGGTTGGACTAGAAGACCTCCGAGGTCCCTTCCAACGCTCTTATTCTGTATTCCCTTTTCTGCAGTATCTTAATACAGGCAGCGTGGATGTTATTCAGCGTATGCTCACATTTGCCGCTTTCCTTTTTCCTAGTCTTCGGTGCTGACTTCTGGATTCAGAGAACTTAGCTCTTCAAAGTTAGCCAGCTCTACTGGTTCTCAGATTTTGGAGCCTCTGAAATCTCCAGGTTTGGGCCAGTTCGCCTCACAGGGTCCTCTCAGTACAGCCTCTCCAGTGTCCACAACTCCAACCTCATCCTGGGATGTCAAATCTTCGACTTCGCAGCCTTCGATCCTCAGCCATTTCGGTAAGTGTTCAGGCTTGCAAGTCAGTAGAAACACCCCTGCCCCCCCCTCCAATCTTCTTTATACACACAGTCACATATTTTGTTGAAATGGAATGGAACATTGTCCAATGAAACATTCCTTTGGGGGTTTCAGCTCCTACAGTGTATTGTTGTTGTTGTTGTTGTTAAAAAAGAGCTATGATGGCGCAGTGGTTAGAATGCAGCATTGCAGGCTAATTCTGCCCACAGCCAGGAGTTTGATCCTGACTGCCTCAAGGTTGATTCAGCCTTCCATCTTTCCGAGGTGGGTAAAATGAGGGTCCAGATTGTTGGGGGCCAGAGGTTGACTCTAAACCGCTTAGAGGGCTGTAAAAGCACTGTGAAGCGGTATATAAGTCTAAGTGTGAGTGCTATGGTGATAGACAGACAGACAGACAGACAGACAGACAGACAGACAGAGCCATGGTGGTGTACTGGTTAGAATATAGTATTGCAGGCTAATTCTGCCCACAGCCAGGAGTTCAATCCTGAGTGGCTCAAGGTTGACTCAGCCTTCCATCATTCCAAGGTCGGCACAATGAGGACCCAGATTGTTGGGGACAATATTCTGACTCTGTAAACCACTTAGAGAGGACTGTCAAACATATAAGTCTGTTATAGATATATATATGAGAGAGAGAGGGAGAGGGAGAGGCTAATTCTGCCCGCAGGAGTTCGATCCTGACCAGCTCAAGGTTGACTCAGCCTTCCATCCTTCCAAGGTTGGTAAAATGAGGACTCAGATTGTTGGGGGCAAGAGGCTGACTCTGTAAACCGCTTAGAGCAGAGTTTCCCAACTTTTCCAGGTTGGCTCCTTGGGGCAGGGAGGAGGGTGGGGGGAAAAGAGAGGATGATTTTGTGGGAGGGGCAGGCGCATGTGCGCATGCATGAGTGCCTGTAACGTTTGTGGCGATGCTCACACAAGTGGGGGCACCACCGCCCGCTACAACGCTCGGGTGAGTGTGGCCCCAAGCGCCCCCAATGAGGCTCGCATGACTGGGAGTGGTTAATTGTTCTCCGTAAGAGTAATAGTAAGAGAGTTGGAAGAGAGATTGGAGGTCTTCTAGTCCAACCCCTGTCCAAGGCAGGAGACCTTATACCAGTGGGTCTCAACCTTCCTAATGCCATGACCCTTTAATACAGTTTCTCATGTTGTGGTGACCCCCAACCATAAAATTATTCCTAAGACCATTGAAAATATGTGTTTTTGGATGGTCTTAGGCGACCCCTGTGAAAGAGTCATTCGACCCCCAAAAGGGTCCCAACCCACAGGTTGAGAACCACTGCCTTATACCATCCCGGACAAATGGCTTTCCATTCTTTTCTTGAAAACCTGGACACTCACAACTTCGGGAGGCAAGCTGTTCCACTGGTTAATTGTCCTCACTGTTAGGAAGTTTGAGCGAGAGTTGAGACTGGCAGGCCGAAGCTGATGGACCAGTGGTCTCCAAACTTGGCAACTTTAAAACTTCTGGACTTCAGTTCCTAGAATTCCTCAGCTGGCTCAGGGATTCTGGGAGTTGAAGTCCACAAGTCATAAAAGGGCCATCGTTCCCCTCCTCTGCTCTCAGGTGTTCCTAAAGTGAGGTTCGATGATGGATTTCCATGTTTCTTTTTCCCCCCGCTAATCCTATCCAGACTTCAAATCCCAACCTGAGCCGTCCCTGGTCCTAAGTCAACTGACGCAGCGGCAGCAACAACCCCCACCCCCACCGGCAGCCACCGTCCCACCTCCTGGACTGGAATATTTCGCCTCACAGAAAGCCCGGGAGCCTTTGCCAGTGGACAGCTGTGCAGCTGGCAACAAAACTGGTCCACTCTCCAGCCTGTCTCCAGAAAATCCAGGGGTGCCAGCCCACCAAACGCAGCAGAAGCAGATCAAGCCATCGAAGCGGAGGACGCCCCCAGTTTCAAAAGTAAGTAATTTTGCAGGGGGCAAGAGATAGGAGGGGAATTTCTGGTAAACGGCTGATCTGGATGCAAATGAAGACAGCCTGTGCCAGGTCTGCCATCTTCCACATTCTTCAATTCCGAGGCATCATCATCATCTTTTAATGCCTTGCGGAGTGGAGTCTGGGCAACTGAATGGAGCTGAGTTTTGTTCGGCAGATACATTCTCATTGTGCCCAGAGAAAGAAATATCTGCCTCTACCTAGGATTGACTTCACAGCCTCCTGATTGTGAGGTGAGAGTTCCAGCTCTAGGCCACCGCACCACTCCTCCACCCCCGTGCCATCCTGCCATAAAATGCAGGGTAGGGGGATAGATTGGAGAGGCAGGGAGGAGGGATTAATAGGGTTACAGGAACCGGAGATGAAAGACTGGTCGATCAAGGATGGGGCTGTGAGAATGGAATGTGGAACTCTACAAAGAGGTGCCAAACCTCAAAGATGTTCCCAAAACATCTAATTCAAATATCATTGGACAATGATAGTCAAGGGGAGGGGAGGGGAGGGGGAGGGGAAGGGGAAAACACAGGCTTTGCATGAGAATATTCCTTTCAAGCTTTGCTTACGCAGTAACCATAGAAGTAAACCTTTCATTTCAAAAAGGGAGTCGAGGGTCTTTCTTTCCTAACGGCTCAAGTTGAGACGAGCCTGACAGCCTGTCCCATATTACGGGATCATCTGAGGAGTCCTGTAATTCCCCTTTTGTGACCTTCTAACGAGCAAAATCAACAGGGAATCCAGATTCACTGAACAACCAGGTTAACCATTTAACAACTGCAGTAGTTCATTTAACACACGTCGCGAGAAAAGTCATAAAATGGGGCAAAACTCACTGAACACATTTCTCGCTTACTGTGTTTCCCTGAAAATAAGACCCTGTCCTATATTTTTTTGAACCCCGAAAGAAGCGCTTGGCCTTATTTTCAGGGAGGTCTTATTGTTTTGGGGCGTGTGGAGCAAGATGGGGCTCCTCTTGCCGTCTTACCTGATTTCCAGCTCTGTCTCCCTAACCCTAACCAGAGGAAATGGCGGGGACCGGTTGCACATGCGTTTAAATATTTTCGGGGAGGGCTTATTTTCAGGGGGGGGGTATTTTTGGGGTGGGGTGGGGGCTTATTTTGAGCATGTGCTCAAAAGCCCGATTGGACTTATTATTCAGGGAGGTAGCAACATAAATTTTGGGCTCAATTGGTCAGGTCCTCTTTCAGGATAACGCCACTCGGTCTCCATTGATGAGCAAAGGCTGGATGTCTGATCTGTTCCTTCTATAGTCCACTATAAGCTCCTTGGTCTTATTGGTGTTCAGGACCAAGTTATCGTCTCCGCACCACGAACACAACCGGTCCGCCTCATCTCGCTAGGCCAACTCATGATGAGTCCCACCACTGTTGTATCATCTGCAAATTCAGTAATAGTATTACTGGCGTGAGTGGGAATGCAGCCATGCACACAAAGAGTATAGAATAAGGGACTCAACACGCCAGAATAAGGGCTGAAGAGATATGATGACCTAATTTGAGCCTCTGAGAGCGGCCAGACAGAAAATCCGTAATCCAAAAGCAGATTGAATAAGAACGCCCAAGACCCATAAGTTTAGACACTAGTTTACGTGGAAGTATTGTGTTAAATGCAGAGCTAAAATCTACAAACAGCATCCTCACATCCTTCTGCCCCCCGCTTCCCCCCGGCTGTTCCAAATGAGTCACTGCAGTGTGAAGAGTGATGGCTATAGCATCCTCTATAGATCTATTTTTACTTAGAACAGCAGCCCCCAACTTTTCGGGGACCAGTTCCGTGGAGAGAGGCTTTTCCAAGGACCAGGAAGGACGTGGTTTCGTGCGATGCCTGCATCCCGCGGATGGGGCTTTGCTTGCTTGCACAGCCTGGTTTCTGGCACGATGCGGTCCGCTGCCGGTGATTGGGGACCCCTGAGTTAGAAGGCCAAGTTGAGACAGGTCGGACACATCCTTTCCAATGACAGATGATCAATGCCCCCACGGAGAGGGCTCGCAACTTGGGCGTCCTCCTGGATACATGGCTGTTTTTAAAAGAGCATATGACGGCTGTGGCCCGGGGGACTTTTTATCAGGTTTGCCTGATATGCTAGTTGCGCCCCTTTCTGGATCGGGACTCCCTACGCATGGTCACTCAGGCGCTCGTCACCTCCCGACTGGACTACTGCAATGCTCTCTACATGGGGCTCCCCCTGGGGTGCACCCGGAGGCTCCAGCTGGTCCAGAATGCAGCCGCGCGGGGGATTATGGGAGTGATGGGGCCCATGTGACACCTCCTGCACGAGCTGCACTAAATCCCGGTGGTCTTCCGGGTGCGCTTCAAGGTGTTGGTGACCACCTTTAAAGTGCTCCATGGTTTAGGGCCGGGGTATCTATGAGACCGCCTTCTGCCACCAATAGCCTCCCACCAGCCAGTACGCTCGCACAGAGAGGGCCTCCTCAGGGCGCCGTCCGCCAGACAATGTCGGCTGGCGACCCCCAGGGGGAGAGCCTTCTCTGTGGCGGCGCCCGCCCTCTGGAACAACCCCCCCCCCAGAGATACGCACAATACCAGACCTCCGGACTTTTCGTTGGGCCCTGAAAACTTATTTCACCTAGCCGGGCTGGCTTGATCCCACTGTTTCGGTTAAATTGAATTGATTTTAATTGGGTTTTAAATTGCGGCCAAAAATATTTAATTATTTTTTAAACTGTTTTTAAATTTTGTATGTTCTGTTTTATTCTGGCCGTTCACAGCCCTGAGTCCTGCTGGAGAAGGGCAGTATACAAATTAAAACAAATAAATAAACAGGAAATGTTCCTTTTCCCTGCTGGCATTCCTGGTTACAATCTGCTATGTCCCTTTTAGATCCCTTCCTCTGCGGTGGAAATGCCTGGATCGACTGATGTTTCGGGCCTAAACGTACAATTTGGGGCACTTGAATTTGGGCTGGAACCTGCGGTCTCAGATTTTGGACCTGCTGCAAGCTACGAAAGCAGCCCAGCACCCAATAATATCTTGTACACCAAGCCTGTAAAGTAAGTGGATTTTCAGTCTAGGGGCGGGTTACAAAGAGAGGCCGATGGCCTCGTCTGTGTCATCATCTCAATGACGCAGGATGTGACAGGCACAAAGGAGGTCATTTGAGCAGTGGTGGCGTTTGGATGACTCTCCTGGGCTCTGACACAGATGATTTGAGAAGCAGGAACGTAAGGCTGAAGCTTCCTTCTGAGTTCCTGAAAAGATCTATAGTATCTAAAAAATGACGGTACCAGAGAAGGTTAAGAACTTCAGAAGGGTTGGGGGCATTCAGTCCCATTTCTTCTTGGATGATGCTGGATTCAAGCATGATATAAACAAGCTGACAGGTTGGGAAGAAGGAAGCAGGAGAGGAAAATAGTTTGGTAACACTGATGATGTTACCTAGTCAGGTAATCAGATGTCTGCAAGGAAACCACCAAGTTTAGAGAGCACTAAGGATCCCACAGTCGTCCTCCTCCACCTCCTCCTCCTCCTCCTCCTCGCAAACCCCGTTTCCTTCTAGCACTGATAATGTTACCTAGTTGGGTCATGAAACATCTACAACTGTGATGGTGAACCTATGGCACGCGTGCCACAGGTGGCATGCGGAGCCATATCGGTGGGCACGCAAGCGTTGCCCTAGTTCAGTTCCAGCGCTTTTTCGGGCCTTGCGGGCCCACCGGAAGTTGGAAAACAGGCTGTTTCTGGCCTCTGGAGGGCCTCCGGTGGGACCGAAAGGCCCCTTTTTCCCCTCCCCCCAGGCTCCAGAACCTTTCTAGGAGCGGGGGGAGGGCAAAACCCCCCCCCCCCCCCGTGGCCCTCCAGAGGCCAGAAATGGCCCGTTTCCCGACTTCCACTGGAAGTTTCCAAACTTCCGGTGGAAGTCCAAACTACCAAATGGGCCGTTTTCGGCCTCCAGAGGGCCACCGGGGGTGGGGAAGGGCTTTTTCGCTCTCCAAAGGCTCCTAGAAAGCCTCTGGAACCTGGGGAGGGTGAAAAACAGGCCTATTGGGCCCACCGTGCCATCGCTTGCCAAAAGTGGGGGGGAGCACGGGGTGGGTCACGCACGTATGCGTGGGAGGCACATTGAATTATGGGTGTGGGCACGCGCGCGACCCACCCACCCCCACAACCACCCCACACCTGATCACCTCCCCCACGCGACCCCCTCCCCCCCACTTTTGGCACACGGTGGCAAAAAGGTTCGCCATCACTGGTCTACAAGAAAACCAGTGTCGAGTCCTACCGGAGCTCGCCATCGATGGGGGGTGTGGGAGACGAAGGAGTGGAGATAAGCAGCCGCAGCGAACACACAAACAGTTCCTGGATAGCAGCATTCAGGGTGATGATTGATGACGTTGCCAGGCCTCTCCGATTCTGCTGTCCTCGCTGCTCTGGTGCCGAGAGCAGCCGAGAACCAGGTTCAGAGAGCATCAACAACTCCACAGTAGTTCTCCTCCTTCCTTCTCCTTCTCCCTTCTGCTCCTGCTCCTCAACCCCACTCCCTTGTAGCACTGATGATATTCCCTAACTGGGTCATGAAACGTCTGCAAGAAAACCACCAAGATCAGAGAGCACCAAGCACCTTCCTCACACTTCAACCCTGAGCAGCTACGAATATTCTGTTGTCCCTGCTCCGATTCAACGTCTGAAAAATCGGTCAAGACATTTCCTGAAATGTTAGAATATCCAAGCACCACTCTGATAATTCCTCGGCCTTGATGCTTTCGATCTGCCTCTTGAGACAGAATATTTAAATGCAGATCTCATGGCTGAACCCTTCGCCCTGCCACCCCCCTTTTTTTTCCAGATTTTCATGCTTTTTCTCTCTCACCTCTTTTCTGACTCAGCATTTTCAGGAGTCTCAAAAGCATACATAACCGCCTATGCATATTTTCCCCCCCTTTGTTTCGATCGATTTACATAACCGTCCACCTCACAACCACCTTAAACACAACAACTTCTGCAAACACTGCATACCAACAGCAACGGGCCAAATCCTTCCCTTCTATGCCTGGGAAAGCTGCCATGTCTTGAATGCTTTCCAAAGTGTGAATAGAGTTGTGGTTAAACTTGGGCGGGGTGGAGGTGGAAAGGGTAAAACAACCTTAATCCTGTTATTTGCCTTATTATGCGTTTAGCTTTTCACCTCATGGATCCCACCCGTTCGGAATGCATTTTTCAGAGGCTGAAGCCCTGGGTTGCATAAACAGAGGCATCGAATCAAAATCACAGGAAGGATTAGTACCGCTTTATAAAGCCTTGAATAAATAAACTTCTGGGTTTCCTTGAAGTCTTGACTTTGCCTCCCCTCTGCCAGGACTCGAACTTCTTGTAAAGGCCGCTTGGTCTTTTTAAGTCGCGGAAATGTTTGTCAAATGTTCCTTTTTTTCTCCCTATTCATGTACAGGTAGTCCTCAGCTTACGACCCCGATCGAGCCCCACATTTCGGTTGCTTAAGCGAAAGTCCATTTTTTTGCCCCGTTCTGCAGCCTTTCTTGTCGTGGTCGTTAAATGAATTGCTGCCGCTGTCAAGTTAGCAGCAGGGTCGTTGAGCAAATCCGGCTTCCTTATGGACATAGCATGTCAGAAAGTCGCAAAAGGGTAACACGTGGCAACACACACACACACACCCGGGGACGCTGCAACCGTCATAAATATGAGCCAGTTGCCAAGCGTCTGAATTTTAATCACGGGGACGCTGCGGTGTTCGTAAGTCCCTTTTTTTCCAGTGCTGTTGTAACTACGAACGGTCACGACACCGTTGTAAGACGAGGACTGCCTGTATTCCCGGCTGCGTATCCCTTTTAGCCTAGCTGGTGAGCTGCCTAGTGACTCCTGAATAAACCTTGACCAAGACCATACGTGGTTTTTACCTTTTCCAGTGAACCTCTGAATACCTCTTTGCCAATGTCCAATACAGTACAGGAGTCCGCCTACGTCACCCCTGTCGTCACATCCAGCCTGACCTGCTCTCCCCAGAGCACCAGCCTTGTAACGGATTCCTCCTCCTCCTCCTCCTCCTCTTACGACCAGGCCTCTGCGCATAACAGGGTGACATACCAAAGTTCGGTGCCTCCGTCAGAACCTGCCACCGTGGCTGTCATGGTAAGTATGCTCAGGGAAACACATCACTCATTGCCTTTGGTGGACTTCTTAAGATGAGGGTGCTTGCTGGCATTGGATTAACTCCCCTCCCAACTGTGTTCCTTTATATTTACTTTTATTTAGATGTTTTTATGGCCTTTCGTTTGCCAAACTCTTTTTTTTTTAAAATAATCTTTATCTACATTTTACCATTAAAAACAAAAAGAAAACGACATAATATATACATAACAAACAAAACATACAAAACAACACAACAAGAACCTACAAAGCTAGCATATCTATATACAGTACCTTGATAACCTAGTACTCGGTACTGTATATCTATATTATAATCCGGAGAAGACAGAGCATCTTACATATCTTTATAAAACAATTAGGTCTATCCGACCTCACTTTACTCGTATAATATAAGTTTCTCAATACATATAGTTCCTCTTCTAAACTCTTAAGCAGCTCACAAGCAACAACATACAATATGGGAAAATACCGTTATTTATTTATTTAGCGTCTTGTGAGAACTAAATAATTGTCCAGGTGGAATCTACCCATCCAATTTAGAGTCAAACTCTGCCTTAATGGCACTTAATCTATCAATCTACTTGGATTTATTATGTTTTTCCATATGCCATCCAGGAAACCTGACAGGCGGGGTAGGAATTCAGGGCTTTTTCCACTGTAATTCCTAACAATCGGTATTTAGGTTCTGCGGCCCTCAATTGTGTAAATTAGTTCACAAGAATATTTTTCTCCTGCATCTAAATTGGCAGCCTCCTTCATACCCACAATTGTGTTCTGTGTTGTGAAGGCGTTTTGTTTTTAACGGATCAAATCGGATCTCCCCATCTTGAGCGTCAACCAAGTTTTAAAACTCTTTTGAGTATGGGGGAAAAAAATCCATATTTTATACCCCGGCAATTAATTTTTAGCCCTTTCCTTGTTACAGGAGGTCCTTGAGTTACCCCTGTAATGAGGCCTGCCCATTATGGTCGTGAATTGTGGCGGTTGTCAAGACATCATTAAATCTTTTTTTTAATTTATTTTTTTACCAATGGTAGTTAATGCTGCAGTCATTAAATTGAATCCGTGTTCACTAGGGCAGGTTTTACAACCTGTGGACTTCAACTCCCAGAATTCCTGAGACAGCCAAGCTGGCTCAGGAATTCTGGGAGTTGAAGTCCACAGGTCATAAAGGGGCCATATTTGCCCACCCCACAGTTTTGCCAAAACACCCCCCCACCCCCCACCTCCCCAGAAATAAATGCTGGTTAACCAAAACATTGCTCAAAGGTAAATGCTCAACCATCATAAAACACAGTTACATGATTGTGAGATGTAGGAAAGGTTGCTTACGCACCTGAAATGTGGTCATGTGACCATGGTGGTGGGCGGGCTACCCTGACCTGCTTCCACCACCCCACACTTCAAATCCAGGTGATAAATAGCCCAGTGGTGGGTTTCTACTGATTCGCCCCGGTTCGAGCAAACTGGTAGCGGCAGCAGCGGGAGGCTCTGCCCCCCCCCCCCCGCCCGGATGTCATCACTGATGTACTGCACATGTGCAGAAGGTTCTGCGCTTGCGCAGAAACACCATGTGTGAGCGAAGCACGCACACGCGCTCACAGTTTTAAACCAGTAACGAAGGAAAGTGAAACCCACTGTGAAGTACCCTCTTTCCCCCAAAATAAGAACATCCCTTGATAATAAGCCCAATCGGGCTTTTGAACGCATGGCAATAAGACCGAGTGCTTATTTCAGGGTTCAAAAAAATATAAGACAGGGTCTTATTTTCGGGGAAACACGGTACCCCCACCCCCAGTAGGTCCATCGTAACTTTGAATGGTTGCTAAGTGACACGTTAAAAGTCTGTAGCGATTCTCAATCATCCAAGTCATGGTTCTCACAAAAGTGCTTTTTCAGGAGGCAACTGGACTTTCTTGTTTTTCTTTGAAGACGTTTTGCTTCTCACCCAAGAAGCTTCTTCCGCTCTGACTGGAGCTGATTCCCTTCCCCACCATCCTGTCAGAACTGAAGAAGCTTCTTGGATGAGAAGCGAAATGTTTTCAGAGAAAAAACAAGAAAGTCCAGTTGCCTCCTGAAAAAAAAAACACCTTTGGGATAAGTGACAGGTTGTAAGTTGAGGACATTAGCTAAAGTGATAATTAAACGTTTGGGAGAAGAATGACATTGAACACATGGGGATCATTTGATATACTTTGTATTTTTGCTTTAATTTTTCGGTTAAAAACGACGCTAATCCGTGTCTTCGACTTTCAGAATGGACACAACGGTGTTCGAATGCAGCCAGCTCTTGACAGTAAGTAGATGAAATCTCAGCTTGACATCTGCACTTAAAAGTTTTTGGCGGCTTCTGCATGTCATCCATGCCTGAGTTTTTTCCCCTTATTTTGGCAGACAGGTGGGCTGATTGCTTCCCAAATCTCTGAGAGAATTCTGGGAGTTGAAGTCCATACGTCCAATATTGAGAAAATGCTTTCATAGTAGAATAAAAACAAAACAGGGTAGGCCCCTATCTCTCCTTTCCCATCCCTTTCCCAGCTTTGGCCAACGGTTTAAATGATAGGGTCCATGTTACTCTCTTCCTTAACCCTAAATATTGGATTTTTTTCCCATGCCAATTTCTCCTACTGGATTTCCTGTAGCAGAAAGCAGTTTTAGTAGTCCAGAAATGAGCAGCAGCAAGTCAGTTTTCTATCCATTACAGGTAGTTCTGGGTTTACAACCATTCATTTAGTGACTTTTGCAACCGCACTGAAACAAGTGACTTAACGGCTGGTCCTTGCATTTACGACCAATGCCGTATCCCATGGTCACTTGATCGAAAGTTGGGCGCTGGGCATGTGGTTCACTTAACTGCAATGATTTGCTTAGTAACCATGGCAAAAAAAAAAAAATCATAAAATCAGGTGCAATTTCCTTAATGATCTTCTTGCTTAGCAACAAAAATTCTAGTCCCAATTGTTGGGGTTATAAGCTGAGAACTACCTATTATCACCTTAAAATATGTTTTGAAAGCTGTTGTGTCATCATTCCTAAATCAATCATAGTGATGGCATCTATGGAGATTCTCAGTTATCCAGGTCATGGTTGTCCCAAAGGTGTTTTTTTTAAAAAAGACAACTGGACTTTGTTTTTCCTTGAAGAAGTTTCTCTTCTCATCCAAGGAGCTTCTTCAGTTCTGACTGAATGATGGAGAATGGAAGGATTTATATTCCTTGCAGCCAACTGGTCCTTAGCACTCTCTCTCTGAGCACCTTTGGAACAATAGTGATGGTGGGATAGACTGTCTTGGTTTTTCTTCAACAACATTTCAGCTGGGCAACTTTTAATTGCAGAGAAGTCTGCTTGCAGTATGACTCAGTCGTTCTCTTTCGCATCCACCTGGAAGGGGATGGAGTAGGTAGCTGAAAGGGTGCCTGAACTCTGTGAGAAGGAATCCCACCATAGCAGAAACACACCTTCTAAAACAAAAAGAAAAACCCAAGTCCTGATTGGCACAAATGATTGGCTATATTTCCATTTCTTCTCTGAATACCATTTCCCCAACTTTGCAGCTGCTTCGTCTGTTCCCACGTCAAAGCTGGAAACCTCTCCTCCGTCGCTACCTGCCCAAGGTCCTTCGTTGCCGAGCACCACGGCTTCCACCTCTTTGCTTCTGCCTTCAGCACCTTCTCACACGGCAGCACTTCCATCAAGTGACTTGGCCAACAGCTCCCTCTCTCAGTTAAGCAGGTACGGCAGAAGATGGAAGGGGGAGGCTTTGTGGGCAGTCGCCAGGCTCCAAAAACAAAGGAAGACACTGTATGATTCTCCTAAGCAGATTCCTTTATTGTTCCTCAGCTGTAGACAGAATCGTGCCAAAGTAAAGCATGCTAACACCCCCCCAAGGCAGATACCCTGGGAACTATTAGGGAGGAGCTGTCTTCACTCTCTTTCTCACATACAAACTATCTAAGCTGCATTGTCTGTTGCTCCTCTGGAATGCATTCTCTCCTTTCTGGAAATATCAGAGGAGGGAGGAAGTTCTCAAAACCCAAGAAACCACACATTGTGATTATTCCTAGCAGATTCCTTTATTGTTCCTCACTGATAAGACAGAATCTTGCCAAACTAAAGCATGCTAACACCCTCATAAGGCCAATAGTCTGGGAACTATTGTGGAGGAGCCATCTACCTTCTTTCGCTCACACAAACTATCTAAACTGCACAATCTCTTGTGTCTCTAGAATGCAGCCTCTCCTTTCTGGAAATCCGGAGAAAGAAGGGAGGGAGGAAGGGAGATAGGAAGGGAAGGAAGGGAGGGAGGGGGGAGGGAGGGAAGGAAGGAAGGAAGGAAAGAAGGAAAGCAAGGGAAAGGAATGTGTTGTGACGGAGGGAGGGAGGAAGGGAAGTAATGGGGAGGGATAAAGGAAGGAAGGAAGGAAGGAAGGAAGGAAGGAAGGAAGGAAGGAAGGAGACCCCATTCCATTACACCAATAGCTGCGTGAGCAGGGAACGCCATGGAGATCCTGATAAATTAGCTTATTTCATTGATAAAGTGTTCCATCCTGCTAAGACTCGGGATGAATCCGAACTGCCTCCTTTTCTTGGTTGGCCTGGCACTATTGAGAAGAACAAGGGAGAAGGTCTTAACAGCTTCTTCAGAATGCCCAGCAACGGGAAGGGCCATTTGGCTAGGGAAATTCTGGCAACGGAAGCACACGCATCAGGAAACTGCCCCAGATTGGGAGGGAGATGGTGGTGGAAACCAGGAGACTCTGAGTTATAGTCCCACTTTAGTCATGAAAGCTGGCTGGGTGACTGGGCCAATCCCTGGGGAGATGGTGAGTTCTAGTCCTACCTTAATCATGAAAGCCGGCTGCGTGACTTTGGGCCAACCACTAGGAGACAGTGAGTTCTAGTCCTACCTTAGTCAGGAAAGTCAATTGGGTCACTTTGGGCCAATCACTAGGAGACTATGAGTTCTGGTCCCTCCCTAGACATGAAAGCCAACCAAGAGACTTTGGGCCAGTCAGAAGGAGACTGAGTTCTAGTCCCACTTTAGGCATGAAAGCCGGCTGGGTGACTGGGCCAATCCCTAGGGAGATGGTGAGTTCTAATCCTACCTTAATCATGAAAGCTGGCTGCATGACTTTGGGCCAACCACCAGGAGATGGAGAATTCTAGTCCCATCTTGGGCATGAAAGCCGACTGGATGACTTTGACCCAACCACTCGCTCTCAGCTCAGTCCCCATCACAGGATTGTTGTTGTGAGGGAAAATAGGTGGTGAAAGGACAATATGATCAGCACCTTAGGTTGTTTGTAATAAAAATAAAAATTAAAAGGTGGGATATAAATCCATTCATTCACTCGTTCTGGGGAGGCCTAGGCCCAGCAGCATTGAGCTCATAAATCTTCGGTAGCTGAAGCTTTCACGAGGCAAGTAGACTTTGGTGTGGTGGTTTTCTTCTAAAGATTTCTTCTGAACCTCTTGAACTGACACTCTCCACACGATTGTCGACTTTGAGGGAGACCAGAGACTGGAATGTTTTATGAGATGCTTAGATAAGAATGGACTGAACGTAAAATAACTCTTTGTTTTTGGTTTCTGCTCAGTTCTCTCTCAGATCATCCAAGCAGCCTCTCTTCTGCCTCGTCACATACGGTGAGTCCTGTCTAGAAGTGAACATTTTTATTTATTTATTTATTTATTTATTTATTTATTTATTTATTTATTTTTTATTTATTTATTTATTTATTTATTTATTTATTTATTTATTTATTATTTATTTATTTATTTATTTATTTAGTATACTACCCTTCTCCAAAAGGACTCAGGGCGGTGAACAGCCACGATAAAACACAACATATAAAATTTAAAAACAGTTTAAAAAACATTAAATGATTTTGGCCCACAATTTAAAACAACCCAGTTAAAACCAATTTCAAATTAAAACCGAAAGGATGGGATCAAGCCAGCCAGGCTAGATGGAATAGATGTGTTTTCAGGGCCCGACGAAAAGTCCGGAGGTCTGGTATCGTGCGTATCTCTGAGGGTAGGTCGTTCCAGAGGGCAGGTGCCGCCACAGAGAAGGCTCTCCCCCTGGGGGTCGCTGGCCGACATTGTCTGGCCGATGGCACCCTGAGGAGGCCCTGAGAAGTATCCTGTTTAATTTCACAAAAAGTGTATGCCTTTGTAGTGTCTTACATTTAATTTACATTAATTTACATTTTGGGGCAGGGGAATCCAACCTCGGCGACTTTAAGACCTGTGGACTTCAACTCCCAGAATTCCCCAATCAGTATAGCTGGCTGGGGAATTCTGGGAGTTGGAAGTCTACAAGTCTTAAAGTCGCCAAGGTTGGACCCCTGCTGCTTTAGGGACAACCCTCTTGTTACTAAAACACACTTCTGTTGTGTTGTTTTAAAACAGGCAAAAATAGTACTTAGACTTTAGACTTAGAATAACTTTATTGTCACTTTGAATGTCCACTAATCGGCATACATTAAACTGAAATTTCATTGCCTACAGCTCTCAAAGGGTCACCTCCTCCTATATACACTACATTAGCATGACAAGATAAATAAATACAAAATACCAAAATACTGTTGAATTAGGTTAGCGCAGCAGCTTAGCATTCCACTGATGAACGCAAATATATTGCTTCACCTGCTTGAATGGTGTATTTGCAAGGAAGAATGCGGTGATTCCCCTTTTGAAGAGCTAATATATTTTCAGCATTGTTAACACTCTCCCACGGAGTGGAACGGTGTCCTAGAGGTGGAGCTCTTGCTTCACAATCTGGAGGCTGTGAGTTCAATCCTAGGTAGAGGCAAAATATATCGGCTGAACAAAACTCCGCATTGGTGACAGGAAGGGCATCTGGCCATTAAAACACTTTGCTAGCTCCATTCAGTTGCCCAGACTCCATTCCGCAAGGGATTAAATGAAGTGGATGATTGTTTACACTCTCCCAGTTTTTGTTTTTTTTTTAATTTGATTTATATGCCGCCCTTTTCTGGAGACTCAGGGCGGCTTACAATGTGGTTAAGCAATAGCCTTCATACTTTTGTATATTTATACAAAGTCAGCTTATTGCCCCCACAACTGGGTCCTCAATTTACCTACCTTAGAAAGGATGGAAGGCTGAGTCAACCTTGAGCCTTGGCAAGATTCGAACCTACAGTAATTGCAGGCAGCTGTTCTTAATAACAGGGTGCTTTAGACCACTGTACTACCAAAGCTCTTGGTAGTTTATTCTTAACTTGTTCATATCTGAGGCTCGACAGTTATTAGAAGCAAATTAATGGGAGGTAAGAGCAGCTTCTCTCCCAAATCATAAAATATGCTCATGCCATAACATCTTTATTGGCATTTATTTTCCCTGAGATCGATTTCCCATCTACCCCTTTTAGACACCTTTAGCTGATTTTCTGTCACTCTCGGACGGTTGTCTGTTTCAGGTCCAAAAGAAGAACGTATGACTTTGAGGGGTCCTTGTCTGAGCTTGCTTGTTTTCTTGTAGACATTTCATTACCCAACTAGGTAACATCTTCAATGCTAATAAGGAGCGGGATGTGTGGATAGGAGGAGGAGCACGAGGACTGTGCGGTCACTGGTGCTCTCTGAACTTGCTTGTTTTCTTGCAGATGTTCCATTACCCAACTAGGTAACATCATCAGTGCTCGAAGGGAATGCAGTTTGCTGTCAATTTACATTCTGGTATCTTGCCTGCCTGTGTGGGTCTTAGAGGTCCTTTGGTTGGGCTGTTTGCTGATGGCTCTTTTGACAGTTTCTTGATTGGGGGATTAATTTACTTGACTGTTGGTCTGACGGTAATCTTGGAGTTAATCTATGCTGATGTGGGTGCCGATTATCGATGAAGAGATGCTGGAATCTTTTTCTCTTTTGGGCTGGTTGATTGTCTCTTCTGCATAGTCTATCGATGTTGTTAACGTCCCTGTGTCTATGGATGGCTGATATGTCAGAGTGCCAGGCTTCTAGACATTCCCTGGCATTTTTGGACTTGGCCTGGTCTAGGATAGTCACATTTTCCCAATTAAAACTATGGTTAAATCTGTCTGTATATTGTGAAATTAAAGAATTTTCATCCTGTCTTCCGACTGCCAGTTGGCGTTCATGGATGCGTTTTGCCAGCCTTCTGCCTGTTTGTCCTCCATTGTGGTTGTTGCAGTCCTTACATTGTATGTTGTAGATGACTCCTGTTTTTCGCTTCTGGGGCTGTTGGGTCTTTTGGTCTGCTTAGGATGTTTTGAAGGGCTTGAATTGGCTTGTGTGCTGCACTGATTCCATGTGGTTGTAGGAGTCTGTCGGTGGTTTCTGAGATATTCTTGATGCGTGTGTTGGAAGAAATATCCATCTGGTTCAGTTCCAAGCGGGGAGAAAGACACTGGAAACATGGAGGCTGATTGGAAAGATGGTTTAATGGCAAAGCAGAACCACCAAGCACATGGTTCTCTGGTGCAGCTGAACACATGGAGTTGAGAGTGAGGGTTATTTATACCTTCTCTTGGGCCTTGCCCTTGAGCTTTCTGTTCCTGTGGCAAGGGCATGTATTCTATTGGCTGTAGTCAGAATCCCATGGGGCCATGTGGGGTCATGTTTGTCTGAGATAAGTTTGGTTGAAGTTTGGATTCTGATGCAATGTCCTTTGGAGATTTGCAGTGAGGCCTGCTACTAGATAATCCTATTAGGTGCTGGAGGGTCATGTTGTCGAGTCCTACCGGAGCTCGCCATCGATGGGGGGTATGGGAGACGAAGGAGCGGAGATAAGCAGCCGCAGCGAACACACAATCAGTTCCTGGATAGCGATGATTGATGACGTTGCCGGGCTCTCCGATTCTGCTGTCCCTGCTGCTCTGGAGCTCGCAGCTGTTACTGTTAAGGGAGTGGGGGGTGCTTGATTGATAATCACCGGATGTATGTTTAAGGGGCTGAGTTTTGTTAAATAGCGCTGTGGTGTGGTTACACCCAGTGCTGACTTTGAACCAAAACACCGACTTGTACTTTACTTTTGATTGCGAGCTTACCATTGCCTAAGTAAACCCTGATTCTCTGCGCGTTACTGGTGATTATTTACTATCGCAGTTCTGAACGAACGACAAGCCAAGACATGTCTTAATCCCGTCACCCAGGAGATGAATGTCTTTTGTCTTGTAGATAGGCTGGCCCAGTCCTTCTCAATGGGCACCAAATGTCTGCTGGGGGCAGGGGGCAACTGGAGGTTTTTAAGAAGGGACTGGACAGCCATTTATCCAAAGCACTTGTATATAAACAGAGAGTCGGTAGAGCTGGGCTGACAAACTCAATTTCATTGAAGGCCACATCAGGGCTGTGGTTGACCTCCAGGCGGGGGCGTGGCCAGCTTGACACCACTCCCCAAACTGCTGGCATGTTTCCTCTTTGCATTGGGTAGACCAGGCCGAAGCAACGCAGGCTGGCCCCTTACATTTTCCAGGACAGCCCTGCAAGCCGGATCCGACCACATTGCGGGACGGATTCAGCCCACAGGCCTTGTGTTTGACTCCCCTGCTCTAGAGATTCTCGGCCATCTAGGTCATGGTTGCCCCAAAGGTGCTTTTTCAGGAGGCAACTGGACTTTTCAGTCAGAGCAGAAGAAGAATCTTGCAACGAGAAGTGAAACGTCTTCAAAGAAAAACAAAGTCCAGTTGCCTCCTGAAAAAGCACCTTTGGGATATAAACAGAGAGCACAACCCCTTCCTTTCAGCACTGATGACGTTACCTAGCTGGGTCATGAAACATCTGCAAGAAAACAACCAAGCTCAGAGATCATCAAGGACCCTCCCTTGTATGTCATTTGTTAATGAAGCTTACATTTGGTGAGGAATCTCCTTGGTTCTGTTTTTTAACCTCACGCCGCCTCTTTTTCCTTTCCAGCACAACAGCGTCGAGAACGCCACCGCGCTCCCACCCTCCAACACTTTCTCAGTTGCCGCAACCCTGGCTACCACCTCTCCGGCCACCAGCCTGGCCAGCACGACCCACAGCCTCGGCCTGAATGCGACCAGCGTCTCTCTGCCAATTCCCACCAGCCGGGCCGCTCCCTTAGTGTCTTCAGGTTCGCAATCTTAACCGATCGCATGGCTGTAGCAAGAGAGGATTTGAGCCTGCGGGTGCATTCATCCATGAGAGACCCCTTGAGCATTGAAAAAAACAGGATGCCTTTTCTTAAAAGACTGGCTTTTTTAAAAAAGCACGCTTTGCGCACGGCCTACAAAATAAAAAAAAAATGCCTGGCTTTTTAACGCGTGGAGATATGTGAAATTCCTACATATTCAGGGTAAAGTAGCTGCAACTGCAAAGAAGAAGTGTAGCCTCGCAATTGTGAGAAAGTAGAATGGAATCCGTATTATTCCCCCTTTCTCTTGCTAAGACAATTTCCAATTATTCAAAAAATAATAATTAATCATGGAAATTAGGATGACGTCCATGCAGAAGTTATTGGGGCTAGAACGTCCGGTACAGGTAGTCCTCGACTTACAACCTTTAGTGACCGTTCAAAGTTACAACAGCATTGAAAAATGTGACTTGCGAGTGTTTTTTACAGTTAACAACCTTTGCAGCATCCTCATGGCCATGTAATCAAAATTCAAATGCTTGGCAACTGGCATGTACTTATGACAGTTGCAGTGTCCCAAGGTCATGTGACAACATGTAACTACCGGGTTATTAACTTATCAATTGCAGGGATTCACTTAACAACCGGGGCAAGAAAGGTCATAAAATGGGGCAAAACTCACTTAACCACCGCCTCCACTTAGCAACAGAAATTTTGGGCTCAATTGTGGTCGTAAATCGAGGACTACCTGTGTAGGATTTCTTCCGGAAGATGTCAGTCTGAATTAGGGTACATCTGGCTCCCCTTCGGCGTGGGAAGCCCTGAATTCGAATTCAGCTGAATTCAAATTCAGCTCCAAAGATTGATGAAGGTTGAGGTTTAGAGGTTTTTCAGCATCAATTTTGCCATCAAAAATCAAGAGAAGGTTGTTTTGCAAAATCTTTTACCTTTCACAGGAAGTTCTGGCAGCCTTTTGCAGAAATAATTGCTTTGTTTTTTTCAATTTTCACAGGGTGGACTTTGTTTTCAGCAAGATCCTGCTGCCTCTCTTGATTTTCATCCTTTTCACTTAATACAGTACAGGTAGTCCTCAAGTTACAACCGTCCGTTTAGCGACAGTTCAAAGTTAACAATGGCACTGGACAAAAACGAGTTAGGAAAGTTTTTCACACTTAGCCACCATTTTTAGCGACCCCATTGGCACACGATCAAAATTTGGACGCTCGGCAACTGCTTCGTATTTATGACGGCTGCAGTCCCCCAGGGTCACGTGATCCCTTTTGCGACCTGCTGACAAGCAAAGTCAATAAGGGAAACCAAATTCACTTAATGACTGCAGGGATCCACTTAAGAGCTGTGCCAAAAAAGATTGTAAAATGGGGCAGCACTTGCTTAACAACTGTCTCACAAAGCAACAGAAAGTTTGGGCTCACTTGCGGTGGTAAGTCGAGGATTGCCTGTACTCCCAGTCGTCTAAATTTCAATGAGATTTTTCTACTTTTTGGTTTTCTCTTAAACCGTATTTTAATCCTGTTTCAGGTTCGCTAGACCGCCTTGGTCATGCTCGTTGATGACCTTGGCAGAGCCGGGACAGGCATGGGGCATCTCTCTTGGTTTTCCTTGACTTCTCAGTAGCATTGGAGACCATTCATCACGGTATCCTGAGCTCTGGGACTGGAGATGGCTCTGCGGTGGGGCTGGGGGGGCTTGGGGGGATGATGGAGAGATTGTTCCCTAGGCCCCCTCCTCTGTGGGGTGCTACAGGGACCTGCTCTTTTCCCCACTCTGATTCAATGTATGCATGGAATCATTGGCCCAAAGGTACTTTTTCCAAAAGGCAACTGGACTTTTCTTTCTTCTTTCTTTCTTTTTTTCTTTCTTTCTTTCTTTCTTTTTTCTTTCTTTCTTCTTTCTTTCTTTCTTTCTTTCTTTCTTTCTTTCTTTCTTTCTTTCTTTCTTCTTCTTTCTTCCTTTCTTTCTTCCTTTCTTTCCTTCTCTTCTTCTTCTTCCTTCCTTCTTCTTCCTTCCTTTCTTCCTTTCTTCCTTCCTTCCTTCCTTCTCTCTCTCTTTTTTTCTTCCTTCCTTCCTTCCTTCCTTCCTTCCTTCCTTCCTTCCTTCCTCCCTCCCTCCCTCCCTCCCTCCCTCCCTCCTAACATTTTGCTTCTCATCCAAGAACCTTTTACATTTCATCCAAAAACTGAAGAAGCTTCTTAGATGAGAAGCAAAATGTCTTCAAGGAAAAACAAGGGAAGTCCGGTTGCCTTTTGAAAAAGCTTCCTTCCTTCCTTCCTTCCTTCCTTCCTTCCTTCCTTCCTTCCTCCTTCCTTCCTTCCTTCCTTCCTTCCTTCCTTCCTTCCTTCCTTCCTTCCTTCCTTCCTTCCTCCCTTCCCTCCCTTCCCTCCCTCCCTCCCTCCCTCCCTCCCGTCTATCTTAAAGTCAAAACACAGTCCAGTCGCCTTTTGAAAAAGCCCCTTTGGGACAACCATAACTTGGATGACGGAGAATCTCCACAGACATGAAACCTTTGGGTGACGTCATCCATCGATTTGGGTTTCGGTATTATCAGTATGCCAATGATACCTAATTATATATTTTGATCCCTGGGTCAGCCAGATGATTCTGAGTCTCAGCCGCCCTGAGTCTTCGGAGAAAGGCGGCATATAAATTGAACTAATAATAATTCTGTCAGGTTTCTGTCTCAGTGGTTGGAGACTCTGCGATTTTTGTAACGGGAGGAACCATCACCGACTCAAACCTACCTTTTGGATGCTTGGGCCAACCAGGACTGGAGATATTCTATCTCTGACCTTGGATGGAATACAGGTAGTCCTCGATTTACAGCCATTCATTTAGTGACCATTCAAGGTTACAACAGCACTGGAAAAGTGACATGACCATTTTTCAAACTTAGGACCATTGCAGCATCTCCACAGTCACGTGATCAAAATTCAGAGGCTTGGCAACTGGCATGTACTTACGACAGTTGCTTATTCCGGGGTCCTGTGATCCCCTTTTTGTGACCTTCTAACAAGCCAAGTCAAAGGGGAAGCCCGAGTCACTTAACAGCCTGTGACTAACTTAACAACTGCAGTGATTCACTTAACAACTGTGGCAAGAAAGGTCGTACAATGAGGCAAAGTTCCCATAATTCCTGTCTCACTTAGCAACCTAACTTTTGGGCTCAATTCCGGTTGTAAGTCGAGGACTACCTATCGCACTTCCTCATTCGTGAATGGCACGTCATCTGGGGTTCTTCCTGGACTCACAGGGGCTAAATCAGGAGGTGGCAGCTGTGGCCAAGGAGACCTGTGCTCAGGATCTGGTATGGCAGTTGTGCCCCTCTCTCAATTGGGAGGTTTTTCAGGCAGTATCTTATATCCTGGTCAGTTCATGGCTTGACTTTTACAACACAGTCTACATGGGGCTGCCCTTGAAAACCACCCAGAAGCTTTAGCGGACCAGGGCACAATGGCACAAGAAGGAAAGAGAATGCAAATTCTTGCAAATTCTCTTCTTGGGTCTATATACCCTTACAAGGAAACGTCCTTGAGGAAGCCGCTTTACAATAACAGAATATCAGGGTTGTAAGGGAACTTGGAGGCCTTCTAGTCCAACCCCCTGCTCAAGCAGGAATCCCTATACCAGTTGAGACAAATGGTTGTCCAATCTCTTCTTGAAAACCTCCAGTGATTGAGGACTCACAACTTCTGGAGGCAAGGTGATGCACTGATTAACAGAATAACAGAGTTGGAAGGGACCTTGGAGGTCTTCTAGTCCAACCCTTTGCTCAGACAGGAGAACCACTTGAGGCAAATGGTTGTCCAATCTCTTCTTAAAAACCTCCAGTGATGGAGCAACCAAAACTTCTGGTGGCAAGCTGTTCCACTGGCTAATTGTTCTCACTGTCGGGAAATTTCTGCCTGCCCTCTGGAATGGCATCCCTGGCCTTTAACTAGGATGGGTTCACCCCCTTTTTAGAACCAAGTTGTGCGTCTATCGCGGCCCTGTTTTGCCATCGTTACTGCTACTAGTACTGTCATTCCGTTTTTATCATTTTAAGTCTCACTTTCTCTTGTAACAACCCAGAATTGTTGGGAATCGGACAGTGCACAAATTGAATAATAATAAACAGATTTCCCAGGGCCTGATCCAATCCATCATCGTTAGCTATAAATTTAATGACAGAAGCCTCCACAAACATGATTTTTGATAGTGCTGAAGGCGCCAGGTGGAAGTTATATTCTTTGTGAGTTTGAAAATACAGGAAGTCCTCAACTTAACAAACATTCATTTAGTGACAACGGCACTGAAAAAAAGTGACTTAAGACTGCTTTTCACACTTTCGACCATTGCAACATCCCTGTGGCCAAGTGATCAAAATTCAGGTGCTTGGCAACTGACTCACATTTATGATGGTTGCCTTGTCCTGGTGTGTGTGTGTGTGTCACTTGATTCACGTTTAGCGACCTGACAAACAATCTGGGGAAGCCAGATTCTCTTAAGCGACTGAGTCACTGCAGTGATTCAGTTAACGATTCTGGCAAGACAGGCTGGAAAATGGGGCAAAGCTCCCCCGTCTTGTTTAACAATGAAGATTTTGGGCTCAGTTGTAGTCGTAAGTCGAGGACTCCCTGCCATCTGCTTCATTTGAGGGTCAAAAAAAAAAAAAGATCTCCCATTACGTAACCAATGAGATTCCCCCTACAGGGTGTTGTGTTAAGTCAAGAACTTCTCAGTGGCTCTCAGAATGGTCTGCGGTGATCTGAGGAGGCTTCCAGTTGAACAGAGACAGCAAAACGGAAGGCAGCAGGGAGGGAGGGAGGGAGGGAGGGGATCGGGTTGGACAGGGGTCTCAGAACCAAGGTGATCCACTGGGTCTCTTCTTCTTGCTTACTGCAGCCTCTTCTTCATTGCCTCTTCGTCTGTCGCGATCGGAAGTGACTCCCAGTTTTCTCGAAATGCCCCAATTCGAAGCCGTCTGTCCTCTTCTGTCCCCATTTGCTAAGGGGGTGTTTTGTTTTAAAAGTGTTTCTTTTGATTTGCAGCCAAAGCGCCCCCCAACCTTCCCCAAGGTGTGCCACCCTTGTTGCATAACCAGTATTTTGTCGGACCTGGAGGACTCCTGCCTGCCTACCCAGTAAGCTATTTCCTTGTGCCTCCTTCCCTCCCTTGTCTTGCCCTGCTGCCGGTTATGGGGAGGTGTTGAGCAGCTGGTTATGGGGAGGGCTCTGGGGTGGAGGTGGAGGGTCAGCCTGGGCCCTGTCCTTTCCTGACCACTCAGTTGAATCTGGAGACAGGTAGGGCAGTTACAATCCTGTCTATGGGTTGTACACTATGGGCCCCTATAGAGTTCAGGAAACAAGCAAAGAAGAGGAAGCCCTCCGTTCACAAGTAATCCCTGACCTGAACCTTCTTGGGCAGCCCAAGGCTGACTCAGAATTCATTTGATTTGCAGAGGGGCCCTGGGTGATCTCTGAGCTTGGTTGTTTCCTTGTAGACATTTAATTAGCCAACTAGGTAACGTCATCAGTGCTAGAAGGGAGTGGGGTTTGTGGAGTGGAGGAGGAAAAGGAAGAGGGAGGGAGAGGAGGGGGGAGGAGAACTGTGGGGTCTTTGGTGCTGTCTGAGTTTGGTTATTTTCTTGCAAATGTTTCATGACCCAGCTAGGTAACATCTTCAGTGCTAGAAGGGGAGAGGAGGAGGAGGACTGTGGGGTCCTTGGTGCTCTCTGTGCTTGGCTGTTTTGTTGCAGACATTTAATTACCCAGCTAGGTAACATCATCAGTGCTAGAAGAGAGTGGGGTTTGTGGAGGGAAACATCAATCTTGTGATGTTTGCATGTGTACTTTTCCTGTCTTTAAGCAGATATACGGTTATGATGATCTTCAGATGCTCCAATCCAGGCTGCCTGTGGTAAGTAGCTCTTTTTTTAATTGATGCTTTTCTCACTTTACGGAGTCTTTAACTATATAATTGTATATGGAAAGTGGCATCTAAGTTTCAGCAATCCTGTGTCTTGAGTTGCAAAACGTAAAGGGTAGGTTTCCAGCCTTTGCAATTCTCATTGTTTTCAATAAAAGCATACAAATTGTCGAGGGAGGCAGTCATGGTTGCAAGATTTCTTTTCACACTGCATGGCAACTTTCTCTTGAACTTTACGTATGAGTTTTTCCTTCTCACCAAAACCCTGGATAAAGGAAAACTGTTGCATCACACAGTTGCATGCTCAGAGTTGCTTCAGCCGGGTGCATTCATTCTGATAGCAGCCTTTGTACAAGGAAGCATTTACTCAACAGTTTTCCTTCCTCATTTATAAAAGGATAACAAGACTTGGAAGGGACCTTGGAGGTCTTCTAGTCCAACCCCTGTTTGTGCAGGAGACCCTATACCGTTGATGGTGAACCTATGGCACGTGTGCCACAGGTGGCACGTGAGCTCAGTTCTGGCACACATGCGCGCGCTGGCCAGCTGATTTTCGGGCCTTCCGGGCCCACCGGAAGTCGAGAAATGGGCTCCGTCCTCCGGAGGGCCTTCCGGGGGAGGTGGGGAGGCCATTTTCGCCCTCCCCAGGCTCCAAGAAAGTCTCTGGAGCCTGGGGAGGGCGAAAAAACGGACCTACCGGACCCACCGGGCCATCAGGTGCCAAAGGGGGGGGGGGGGGGAAGAGACAGATTGAATTATGGACGTGGGAACGCGCGACCCCCTTGCACTCCTCTGCTTTTGGCACGCAACAGCAAAAAGGTTAGCCATCCCTGCCCTATACCATTTCAGACAAATGATTATCCAATTTCTTTTTTAAGAACCTCCAGTGATGGAGCACCCACAACTTCTGAAGGCAACTTCTGTTCCACTGATTAATTCTTCTAATTGTTAAGAAAGTTCTAGGTTGCTTCTCTCCTTGATTAGTTTCCACCCATTGCTTCTTCTGCCTTCAGGTGCTTTGGAGAATAGCTTGACTCCCTCTTCTTTGTGGCAACCCCTGAGATATTGGAAGGCTGCTATCATGTCTCCCCTAGTCCTTCTCTTTTTTAAACTAGATATACCCAATTCTAGCAACTGTTCTTCATTATATTAATATAACAAAGAGACATAATAGCAGTCTCTCAGTATTTGAGGGGCTGTCACAGAGAGGGGGTCAACCTGTTTTCCAAAGCACCTGAAAGCCGGACAAGGAATAATGGATGGAAACTGAACAAGGAGAGATTCAACCTGGAAATAAAGATAAATTTTCTGACAGTGAGAGCAATGAACTCATGGAACAGAAGTTGCCTTCGGAAGTTGTGGGAGCTTCGTCCCTGGAAGCTTCAAAAAGAGGCTGGGCTGCCCTCTGTCAGAAATGGTGTAGTAGGGTCTCCTGCTTGGGTGCGGGGTTGGACTAGATGACCTACAAGGTCCCTCCCAACTCTGTTAGCCTGCATCTATATTTTACTCATTATTTTCTGTGTAGGACCAATAAGATTCATTGTAAGGTAAGAAAGTTGTCTCCATCCCGGTATCATTGACCAATCACACGGAAGGTTCTTGTGTTTCCTTGTGTGTCTGAAGGGTGTCCTCTCTCTGTTCTGAGCAGTGTTGTGTTGGTTTACCGTATAATTTATCGGGTAAATGGCTAAGCAAAGAGAAGCCTGCTCTTTTTATTGAAAGCAAAAAGAAACATAATTGGAAGGGTAGTTCTGAGGAGACTTCACTGACATCTTAAGAATGGGGACAGGATTGTATTAATCGTTATGTGTGACTATTGGTGATAAATCACCTTTTTTAGCTGGGGTAATTTGGAATGGTCATAAGTTGAGGACTGCCTGTAAAAGTCACAAACTGTGCTGTATTCATGGCCTTATATTTTCTGGATCGGGAAGGAGATATAGAAGCATAGCCAGCCGCACAAACTGTTGTGGCCCGTACGCGGCCTGTGCAGCTAGTAGCTGATTCAGACAGCGAGGAGGCTGGTGTGGTGCTGCACCAGCAGCCTGTGCAGCTGGCGCTCGAGTCAGACAATGAGGCTGGAGAAGATGTGGTGCCAGAGGCAGGGATTCAGCCAGGGCCTTCAGAAGCTCCCATAAGTGAAGAGGATGAAGAGGAGGAGCCTCTTCTCGATGCACGGGCGCGCAGAGCTGCCAAAAGGCAGGAGTGGCTCCTCAGGAGGAGGTCTCCTCAAGAGTAAGGCTTGGGGCTAATTGGCCACTCCCCTAGCCTATTTAAGGAGGAACGCCGACTGGAGCAATTTGCAGGAAACAACTTAGTTCACATACCTTCCTGTTTTGCTTATCTTATCAGCTTCCTGCAAATTGCTTCTGGGCATTCTGCCAACCACAGTAAGCTTTCAGTTATTATTCTTTGAATTCTTGGCGGCTGTTAATGCAATTAATTAACAGCCATTGTTGTAAAAGACTGGTTTATTTAGTAAACTAAGGTTTGAACGGACTTTGTGTGTGCTGCGTTCTTTGGGGTCCGTAGCTGGGGCAGACCACAAACAGGCTGAAGAACAGTTTTCATCCGTGGGCTGTCAGACTCCTGAATGAGAAATAACCTCATAACTACGTAGTATGAGGGACCGCAGGGCCGGCGCAATGCGTAACATGTTCACACTGGTGCAATAGGACTGGGTGTTTTGTTAACATGATTTATTGGGTTAGGGACTTTCTGTCTTCACTGTGAGTTGTATTGTGTTGGGGTGTGTGTGCACTGAAAGAGCTCCACCAATCTCATTGCACATACGTTGTGCGCTGGCAATAAAGATTTGAATTGAACTGAATTGAATTGAATTGGAGCTTCTCTTTTTCGGGTCGGTCTTAACGTTGATCAATCATTAAGCAACTGGTCATAACTAGAGAACTATCTGTATTGCTGTTACTCAAATAATGTTATTAATAAACTAAAGAGAGCCAGTTTGGTCTGGTGGTTAAGTCACTAGGCTAGAGAACGGGAGTCAGTGAGTTCTAGTCCTGCCTTATCTATGAAAACTAGCTGGGTGACTTATGGGCCAATCACCAGGAGACTGTGAGTTCCAGTCCTGCCTCAGGCATGAGAGCAGATTTGGTGACTTTGAGCCAATCAGCAGGAGGCGGTGAGTTCTAGTCCCGCCTTAGGCATGAGAGTTGACGGGATGATTTTGGGCCAATCACCAGTTCTAGTCCCGCCTTAGAACTGAAAGCCAGCCCAGTGATGTCGGGCCAATCAGCAGGAAACAGTGAGTTCTAATCCCGCTTTAGGCATGAGAGCTGACTGGGTGATTTTGGGCCAATCACCAGGAGATGCAGAGTTCTAGTCCTGCCTTAGGTGTGAAAGCCAGCTGATTGCCTTTGGTCCAGTCAATCTCTTTCAGTCCAGCTCACCTCACAGGGTTGTTGTTGTTGTTGGGAAAATAGCAAGAGCAAGAAGGTGTGTCGGATACGTTCACTGCCTCGAGTGAAAATAATAAAGGCAGGATACGAACCAAGAAGCAAATAAATGGATATAATGCAGGGCCAAAATTCCACCTAAAAGGTAAGCATGGAACCTCTGCTCCAAAGGCAAAGAGAAGAGACTCAGAGACAAACTATTGGGATGAAACCTGCCTGCACTCCTATATACAGGTAGTCCTCCACTTACGACCACAATTGACCCCAAAATTCAGGTTGCTACGTGAGACATTTGTTAAGTGAGTTTGGCCCCAATTTACGCCCTTTCTAGCCACAGTTGTTAACTGAGTCACCGCAGTTGTTAAATTAATAACATAGTTGTGAAGTGAATCCGGTTTCTCCATTGACTTTGCGTGTTACACGATCACAAAAGGGGATCACGTGACCCCGGGACACTGCAAACATCCTAAGTATGAGTCAGTTGCCGAGTGTCTGAATTTTGATCATGTGACTATGCGGATGCTGCAACGGTCGTAAGTGGGGAAAATGGTCATAAGTCACTTTTTTCAGGGTTGTAACATCGAACGGTCACTAAATGAACGGTGCTACGTCATCGTAAGTCAAAGACTACCCATAGTTTCTTTTCTTTTTTTTTTAAAAAAAGCACACTTTTATTTCAAAATGTAGCATTGCAAAATAATTAAATAAATAACAGAACACGTAAAAACTATTGAAAAAGTCCAGTGGGTCCAGCTTCGGTTCAAAATCAAACCTTAATATTTCCTTGTGGCTCCCACATTAAAATGACTCTTAATTTGACCTTTCATTGAATGAAACGTTTAATTCGCCTGATACGCCAGTTACGCCCCTTTCTAGATCGGGACTCTCTACGCACAGTCACTCAGGCACTCGTCACTTCCCGTCTGGACTACTGCAATGCTCTCTACATGGGGCTCCCCTTGGGGTGCACCCGGAGGCTCCAGCTGGTCCAGAACGCGGCCGCGCGGGGGATTATGGGGGCGACGAGGCGCTCCCATGTGACACCTCTCCTGCGCGAGCTGCACTGGCTTCCGGTGGTCTTCCGGGTGCGCTTCAAGGTGTTGGTGACCACCTTTAAAGCGCTCCATGGCTTAGGGCCGGGGTACTTACGAGACCGCCTTCTGCCACCAATAGCCTCCCACCGGCCAGTACGCTCGCACAGAGTGGGCCTCCTCAGGGTGCCGTCCGCCAGACAATGTCGGCTGGCGACCCCCAGGGGAGAGCCTTCTCTGTGACGGCGCCCACCCTCTGGAACAACCTTCCCCCAGAGTTACGTACAATAACAGACCTCCAGATTTTTCGTCGGGCCCTGAAAACCTATTTATTTCAACTAGCTGGGCTGGCTTGAGTTAAATTTTAAATTGATTTTAAATTGGGTTGTTTTAATTTACGGCCAAAATATTTAATTATTTTAATACTGTTTTTAAATTTTGTATGCTCTGTTTTTACCTCGGCTGTGCACCGCCCTGAGTCCTATTTGGAGAAGGGCAGTATAGAAATTTAATTAATAAATAATAAATAAAATAAATAAATTCAACATTCGTATCATTTGTAAAAAAATATGTATATCTATAAATAAAGGCAGGGCTCCAATAAATACATATATAAAATAAATAGATTAAAAACGCGCTTCAGATCTCCATTCTCTCGGTCAGTCTGTCCAGATACATGAAATCCACCTGGATCTCATGTCTTACAAACTCTTGGGTGCACCTGTCAAGTCCCTTCTCCTCAAGGTAATTCCTGATGCTGCGGAAATACTTCATCAGTTGCAGTTTGTGCATCCATTCCTTCTGGCTTTTTCCCAGCTTCGGTTTTCTTTCTTCGAGGCACCTCTGGACCCTCTGAGTTTGCGCGTGCAGCTTTTCGAGGAGCCTAGAATCACGAAACAGTAAGAGATTGTCTCTTAGAGATTTCTCAGTCATCCGGATCACAGTTGTTCCAAATGTATTTTTTTCAAAAGGCAACTGGACTTTCTTTTTCCTCGAAGATGTTTCGCTTCTCATCCGAGAAGCTTCTTCAGTTCTGACTCAGCTGGAAGAAGTGCCAGAATTGAAGCCAGAACTTGAAGAAGCTCCTTGGATGAGAAGCAAAACGTCTTCAAGGCAAAACAAAGTCCAGTTTCCTTTTGAAAAAAGCATCCTTGGTTTTTCCTCGAAGACGTTTCACTTTTCATCCGAGAAGCTTCCTCAGTTCTGACTCAGCTGGAAGAAGTGCCAGAATTGAAGCCAGAACTGAAGAAGCTCCTTGGATGAGAAGCAAAACGTCTTCAAGGCAAAACAAAGTCCAGTTTCCTTTTGAAAAAAGCACCCTTGGTTTTTCCTCGAAGACGTTTCACTTTTCATCCGAGAAGCTTCCTCAGTTCTGACTCAGCTGGAAGAAGTGCCAGAATTGAAGCCAGAACTGAAGAAGCTTCTTGGATGAGAAGCAAAACGTCTTCAAGGCAAAACAAAGTTCAGTTTCCTTTCGAAAAAAGCACCCTTGGTTTTTCCTCGAAGATGTTTCACTTTTCATCCAAGAAGCTTCCTCAGTTCTGACTCAGCTGGAAGAAGAGCCACAGAATTGAAGCCAGAACTGAAGAAGCTTCTCAGATGAGAAGCAAAACGTCTTCAAGGCAAAACAAAGTTCAGTTTCCTTTTGAAAAAAGCACCCTTGGTTTTTCCTCGAAGACGTTTACTTTTCATCCGAGAAGCTTCCTCAGTTCTGACTCAGCTGGAAGAAGAGCCACAGAACTGAAGCCAGAACTGAAGAAGCTCCTTGGATGAGAAGCAAAACGTCTTCAAAGCAAAACAAAGTCCACTTGCCTTTTGAAAAAAACACCATTGAGAGGGATTTCTTTGAAAACATTTCACTTCTCATCCAAGAAGCTTCCTCAGTTCTGAAGTACTGAACTGAAGAAACTTTTCGGATGAGAAGCAAAATGTTTTCAAAGAAAAAAGCCCAGGAAAGTCCAGTTGCCTTTGGGAAAAGCACCTTTTTGGGAGCTACCTCACAGGGATGTTGTTGGGAAAAAAATTGGAAAACTAAGTATTCTTAGTTAGTTAGTTTACTTGCACCTCGTACAATGAAATTAAATGCCATCTTCAGTGTACATTATAACCATACAAAATAAAACACAAACAAACATCTGTCACATTCTATATACAATTGAATTGAAAATCCCTGATATTGCATTAACTGCTTTGAGCTCCTGGAGGGGTAAAGCAGGATAGAGTTTAAAAATAAATTAAATCAGAATATTTTCCAGTGCTTTCAGATGGCTGCAAATTCCTCTATCTATCTATCTATCTATCTATCTATCTATCTATCTATCTATCTATCTATCTATCTATCTATCTATCTATCTATCATCTATCTATATCATCCATCCTCTATCTAATCTAATCTAATCTAATCTAATCTAATCTAATCTAATCTAATCTAATCTAATCTAATCTAATCTAATCTAATCTAATCTAATAGATAATGAATAGTAATTACTTACTAATAAATTATTTATTTAACAATGTCCAGTTGCCTTTTAAAAAAACACCTTTGGGACAAAACAGCAGTGTTTGAGAGGAAAAAAATTAATTACTTTTCCTCAACCATTTTGTCTCCCTGCTTGGATCCCATCCTACCACAGGTAGCCCTCAACTTACGACCTCAACCGAGCCCAAAATTTATGTAGCTGAAACATTTGTTAAGTGAGTTTTGCCCCCATTTTATGACCTTTCTTGCTTTCCTTTCTTCTTAAGTAAATGACTTGCAGCTGTTAAGTTAGCAACATGGTTGTTAAGTGTATCGGGCTTCCCCATTGACTGTTGTAAATCGAGGACTACCTGCACAGAGATATACACACGGAGAAAGAAAAAACGGACTGACCTTTTTCGCAAGGTGGTCTCCCAGGTGACCCAAAGATGATCATTCTTGAGGAGATGCAGGAATCTCTGAAGCATCTCCAGGACGGCTTTGGTGGCAGCTTGTGGCTGTCGTATCCTGAGGAGTTGAATGGGGAAACTGAACGCTGGCATCTTCCGCAGACACTGTGCGGGAAGCCTCGCCTTCATCCCTTTCAGCAGCTCCACGCTTTGCCAGTTCAGTCTTCGCTGTTGCAGTTTCAGAAGGTTGCAGTTCGATCCTGAGGCTGGAACAGTCAGCAGGAGCACCAGGCAGAGCAGCCCCATGGGCACCGGAATCTTTTTGGGTGGCATGGAAGGATACGACGAGGTCCCAGCTCTGGGTTCTGCCATGGATTCCCCTCTGTCCTCCAGCAGCACTGAAGCGAAGGGCTCTGGCATCCCTCCCTTTATGCTCTTGGTAGCCCATGTTCCTTTTTATCATTTCTCTCTCGAATTCCCCTGCTTTCAGTTTCAGTTTTCAATTTCAACTTCCATGGAGTTTTCCCCCTTTTGGTGGGGCTGGTGGGGCTTCGATGCTTGTAGCTGAGATGGGACCTCATTCTGTCTCTTCCAGCTCCCAAAATGATATTTCCTACCCCCTCCTCCCACCCCAAAAGACCCCCATCCCCCAATAACCAACACTGCTAGTTCTATGCTGAGTCTTGCAATACGTAGGTAGATTTTGACTTACAACGGGTTATTTATTTATTTATTTATTTATTTATTTATTTATTTATTTATTTATTTATTTATTTATTTATTTATTTATTTATTTATTTTTATGCCGCCCTTCTCTGGAGACTCAGGGCGGCTTACAATGCGTGAAGCAATAGCCTTCATACTTTTGTATATTTTATACAAAGTCAGCTTATTGCCCCCACAAACCGGGTCCTCATTTTACCCACCTTAGAAAGGATGGAAGGCTGAGTCGACCTTGAGCCTGGGGAGAATTGAACTCGCAATAATTGCAGGCAGCTGGATGTTAAATGCTGCCTTAGTAGGAGGCATTAGCCTCCTATGCCACTCAGGCTCCTACTTAATGGCCGTTCCAAATTACAACGGCACTGAAAAAAGGGACTTACGACCGTTTTTCACACTTACGACGGTTGCAGCGTCCCCATGGTTGCGTCATTTACATTTGGATGCTTGGCAACTGACTCACATTTATGACGGTTGCTGTGTCCCGGTGTGTGTGTGTGTGTGTGTGTGTGTGTGTGTGTGTCACACGATCACCTTTCGTGGTTTAATGTCATCGATCTGCTCTCTAAGCGGGGGAAGTGAGATAACATCACTTCTGCATTCGTCATCTCCCAGCTGGATTACTGCAATGCGCTCTCCATGGGGCTGCCCTTGAAGAGCATTCGGAAGCGACCACTGGTACAGAACGCGGCCATACAAGACCGTCCTGGACTGGCCCAATTTTTGCTTCTTTTAACCATCGCCAGGTCTTCTTGTTATCTGCTCGGCCTAATTTTATTTTAACCCTTTTATGTTGGCTTTTCAAATTGTTATCAGTTTACCAAAATATAAAGGGGAATAAAAACTCTGGGAAACCAGGGGAAGGAAAAAGGGAATGTGTAAAAGAGTAAAACGTGGAGGCTGTAAGTTTGTAATCTTCCTCTGTGTTAAAAAGTATCGGAATCCAATGCTAGTTTCCCCATTATTTATCATTATCTCTAGTTTCCCCTTATTTTTTTTATTTTCCTTTGTATTTTATATTTCGAGAAGCTATTTTAACCATCTTATTGAGGTCTGCAGAAGATATTTCTCTCTCTGGGCACACTGAGAATGTATCTGCCGAACAAAACTCCGCATTGGCGACAGGAAGGGCATCCGGCCAGTAAACACTCAGCTCCATTCAATTTTCCACACTCCACCCCGCAAGGGATTATGGGGTCGTTAAAAGAGGATCGTTGAGGTCTGAAGAAGGTCTGTTGGACCAGAGCAAGGGTAACGGGTAGGAATTACATTGGGGCACAGTGTCACACCACTGTGGGGTGAGCTGCGAGGGTTTGCCAGTTTGTTTCCAGGTGCCTTTCCAGGTGTTGGGGAATCACCTTTTAAAGCTCTTCATGACACGGGATCCAGGCCCCGATGCAATTAATCCGCCCCGCTTAACTCTGCCACAAGAAACCTTTTTTTCAGACCTCAATAAAACTGGACCGAGCAGAAAACAAGAAGGCTTGGCCATGGCTAAAATAGGAAAATCGACGATACTTTTAATGGCACCAAACAACTCCCCTATGCTTGGAAAGGACTCAATTGGCACATAAAAGGGCCAATTGCAGTCTATAAAACATCTGCAACCAACCAACTCATAAATACCCCCAGAGGCAAACAGGAGCAAAATTTGCCTAATTCCAAAATCTATAGCTTGACTTTATATAGATCAGTCATTTACCTTCTGTAAAAGTTGGCCTCTTCCAATAATTCATACCACGTAGTATTAACAGATGTGGTAGGATTATAGGGTTTCCTGCCTGAGCAGGGGGTTGGACTAGAAGACCTCCAAGGTCCCACCTAACCCTATTATTCTGTTAACACCGGACTTCCTTGGTTTGTTTCCAACGCTCTTCCTTTTATTCCCCCTTTATTCAATGTTTTCTTTTTAAAACAAACTGCTACCAGTCGAGTCATTGTTTATTAAATACTTGGCAGCATGTCCCCCCTCCCTTTTTTTTTTCCTTCCATTTTCTATTTTGGAAATCCCAATGTTGGAATTAAGAGTCGGAGCTGAGATACTGAAAATAAAACAGACTCGAAACCGAAAGCGGGGGGGGGGGGACGGACTACTGTTCCAAATATGGACAAGGAAGAAATGACTCAATCTCTTTGAGATGATTTCATGCAGTAACAACTGTGAATGTGATGTAAGGAAGATTTGTGCAAATTCAGGCCTGCTCTTACTCTGCATAGCCTTCTGAAGAACGCGAAAACAAAGCGGGAGGGAGGAGGAAAAAGGCAGCATGCCAAGAATTAATTTGAAACACCCTGGAACACAGACGGGATCGTGATTCTCTAAATATTACTGAAGTCCAGCTTAGCCTTGGCCAGCTGTGTTTCCTCTCCTGTCCCCTACTCTACCCCAAAATTATAATTTGACCCTGTTCTTTAGAATAGGCAGGACAAGAAAGCACAGATGGAAACTACTCAAGGAGAGAAGCAACCTGGAATAAAAGAGAAATTTCCTGACAGTGAGGGCAATTAAGCAGGGGAACAGCTTGCCACCAGAAGTTCTGAATCCTCCAACACTGGGAGTTTTTAAGAAGAGAAATTTATCTGAAGTAGTATAGGTTCTCCTGCTTGAGCAGGGGGCTGGACTAGAAGACCTCCAAGATCCCTTCCAACTCTGATATTCTGTTATTTAGTAGATGGAAACTAATCAAGGAGAGAAGGAACTTAGAACCAAGGAGAAATTTCCTGACAGTGAGGACAATTAACCAGTGGAACAGCTTGCCACCAGAACTGGTGGGTGCTCCATCACTGAAGGTTTTTAAGAAGAGACTGAGCAGCTAACTGTCTGAAATGGTATAGGTTCTCCTGCTTGAGCAAGGGGCTGGACTAGAAGACCTCTGAGGTCCCTTCCAACTCTGCTATTCTCTTATTCTTCCTATTTTTCTGCTGCAAGAGCTTCTAGAGCTTCAGGAGGCTCCAGCTTAAAAAAAATGGGCTCAGTTTGCTCAGATTCTGGGGTCACCTGAGTGAACCCACAAGATGTTGTCTATTGTTTTCTTTTTTTAAACAACAATCAAGATAGATTTTAACAACATAAATATGGTGGTTTTTAAATGTTGCTGTTTACTATAACTTGATTCAAAGCAAATCATTCTTAAGTTTTGCTTGACGCTTGCAATTAAGTCCGTCACAACTCTAAACTGTCACTAAGTGACCGGACGTAAGTCAAGGACTACCTGTAGTCTAGGCTGTAATCTGGTTTTAGAAATGGAGGTAATGCTCGACTTACAACCATTCTCCTTAGTGACCGTTCAAGGTTACAGCAGCAGTGGGAAAAGTGACTTACGGCCACTGTGGCATTCCCGTGGTCATGTGAACAGGATTTGGACGCTTGGCAACTGGCATGTACTTGTGACAGTTGTGCGGTCTCGGGTTCATGTGATCAGCATTTCTAACCTTCACACTGGCTTCCAACAAGCAGAGTCAGTGTGGGAAGCCAGATTCGCTTAACGACCACATAGGTCACTCAGCAACTGATTTGCTTAACTGTGGCAAAAAAAGTCAAAATTAACATAACTCACTTAAGAACCTTGGTGGTGCAGTGTTTATGCTTAGAATGCAGCATTGCAGGATAACTCTGCCCACAGTCTGGAGTTCGATCTTGATGGAGCTCAGGGTTGACTCAGGACTTCCATCCTTCCGAGGTGGGTAAAATGAGGACCCAAATTGTTCGGGGCAAGAGGCCGACTCTGTACACTGCTTAGAGAGGGCTGGAAAGCACCGTGAAGTGTTATATAAGTCTAAGTGCTATCACTATTGCTCTAGATGGAGGATTGGATGGATAGAAGAGGATTGATTGGATGGAGGATGGATGGGTGGATGGATGGATGGATGGATAGATAGATAGATAGATAGATAGATAGATAGATAGATAGATAGATAGATAGATATACAGCCATGGTGGTACAGTGGTTAGAATGCAATATTACAGGCTAACTCACTGCCCACTGCCAGCAGTTCGATCCTGTCCAGCTCAAAGTTGACTCAGCCTTCCATCCTTCTGAGTTGGGTAAAATGAGGCCCTGGATTGTTGGGGGCAAGAGGCCGACTCTGTAAACCATTCAGAGAGGGCTGTAAAGCCCTATGAAGCGGTATATAAGTCTTAAGTAGCTATGGCTATTGCCTTGCTTTGCAACAGAAACTTTGGACTCCGTTGCAGTCATAAGTTGAGGACTACCGGTAAATTATTGTGTTGCTTTCCTTTTTGTAGGATTACTATGGAATCACATTCCCTGCTCCTGCGAACCTGACCAGCAGAGACGGAGCCCTTGCTAACAACCCTTACTCAGGTGAGGCAGTGTTCAGGTATGGCTGTGGACTTCCTCTGTCCATGCCAGGCTGCATGTTGTTTGATTGTTGCATTGTGATGGCTACCCCAGTGAGGAGTCCATTGCTTCCTAAGCCTTTTCTGTCAACCCCCGAGAAGACCAAAAATTCAGGCTCACATGGATGTCATCTCCAGGACTCTTGCTCATCTAGTTGGACACAAGGCTGCCCATCACCTGGACTATCTAAGTCCTCTTGTGGTCTTCTTCTACACACGCCTTCTGTTGAACCTCCCAGAGTGCAGAGCAGGGCTGCCCATCCTTGATAACTTTTAAGACTTGTGGACTTCCAACTCCCAGTTGGTTGACTGGGGAATTCTGGGAATTGAAGTCCATAGTGTCAGCGTCTCAGAACTGACATAGAAAGGGAAGGAGAAGCCTGAACTTTTGCCTGCTAAATCCCTTTGAAGATTCGGTCTCCTCGGAGATGGGGAGGGGGGAGACATTCCTGTGACCTGACGAAGAAAGGAATCAGGAAAGTGACTTGGAAGATAGCCAATGAGAAGCAGAGAATTGGGGATCGGAAAGGGAGGGATTGGGGGGCAAAGGTCAGTACTGACCGCGAAGAGTCAGGATCAGATGGCTGTGCTCGAATAAAGAGAAAATTTCCTTAAAGATCGGCAGTTTGGAAGTTCATTTATTTTGAGATAGCATCGAAACCTGACACATAGGTCTTAAAGTTGTCAAGTTTGGAGACCCAGCGGTGAAATCCAGCAGGTTTTGACAGGTTCTGGAGAACCGGTAGCAGAAATTTTGAGCAGTTTGGAGAACCGGCAAATATCACCTCTGGCTGGCCCCAGAGTGGGGTGGGAATGGGGATTTCACAGTATCCTTCCCCTGGAGTGGGGTGGGAATGGAGATTTTGCAATATTCTTCCCCCTGGAGTGGGGAGGGAATGGAGATTTTGCAGTATCCTCCCCCTGCCACACCCATCAAACCACACCCACCAAACCAAGCCACGCCCACAGAACCCGTAGTAAAACTTGGATTTCACCACTGCCCTGTTCTAAACGCTTACAGATGTGATGAATAACAAAGCACAGAATGGTGAAAAAGTGTTTTGGTGTATTGGTGGAAGACTTGAAACAGTATTGCTGGCTGGGGGATTCTGGGAGTTGAAGTCCACAAAGTGGTCAAGATTGGACACCCCTGGTATAGAGCCTTAGCAGAATAGACAGAAACCATCATTGGGTAACTGAGAAAGATGGGGACAAATTTCTGTGGACAGTCCCAGGTATTAGAGGCAGGCCCAACCAGCCATCAGGAGGCAGAGAGAGATTAACAGTCCTTCTAAGAAAGATTGAGCCTCAAAAACCAACCTGTTCAATGTCTGTAGAGATTCTCAGTCCTCCAGGTCATGATTCTCCCAAAGGTGCTTTTTTCAAGAGGCAACTGGACTTTCTGGTTTTTTCTTTTGAAGACCTTTCGCTTCTCATTCAAGAAGCTTCTTCAGCTCTGGACTGGAGGGTGGGGAATGGAAGGATTTATGCTCCCTGCAGACAGCTGGTCCTTTGCATCCTTTTTTAATGAGTCGTTAAGGTCACCTGGAGCCTAATCTGTGTCCTGAGAGTCACCTGAGTGGTGCAAATGGTTCCTGTAGTCTGCAATTTTTCTGGAAATCGGTTTCTACTCCCGCACCATTCCAAGCGTCTTCATCCCAAATTGCATAGCTCAAAGCCTGTAGAGATTCTCCGTCATCCAGGTCATGGTTGTCCCAAAGGAGCTTTTTTCAGGAGCTTCAACGACCCTCTAAAAGGACGCAAATGACCAGCTGTCTGCAAGGAGTAGAAATCCTTCCATTCCCCACCATCCAGTCAGAGCTGAAGAAACTCCTTGGATGAGAAGCGAAACGTCTTCAAAAGAAAATCCAGGTGTCTCCTGAAAAAGCCCCTTTGGGACAACTTGTTCAATCATCCCAAGGAGGAATTGCCACAGTCTTTAACGTCCGTTCCTGAACCGCTGTTTTGTTACTTCCTTCTTCCTGTCCAGGTGATATCACAAAATTTGGCCGCGGAGATTCAGCTTCCCCCTCGCCCGCCACCACCCTTGCCCAGGCTCAGCAGAACCAGACCCAGGCCCACCACACGGCTCAGCAGGCCTTCCTCAACCCCACGTTGCCGCCCGGGTACAGCTACACTGGCTTGCCATATTACGCTGGTGTGCCAGGAGTTCCCAGTGCTTTCCAGTATGGCCCCACCATGTTTGTAAGTCTCAGGTTCCCGAACTGTGGTTGGGCATTGGCTGCGATTCTTCCATAACTGTTGCATCTGAGGGGCCCTTGGTGCTCTCTGAGCTTGGTTGTAGTCTTAATAGATGATTTATTACCCAGCTAGGGAACATCATCAGTGTGAGGAGGAGGAGGAGGAAGAGGAGGAGGGGAAAAGGTGGAGGAGAGGAGGAGGAGGGAGAGAAGGAGGGGGAAGGGGAGGAGGATGAAAGGGGCGGAGGAGGATGAGAGGGAGGGGGAGAATTATGATTATGATTATGATTATGATTATTTATTGTATTTATATGCTGCCCTCTCTCCGAAGGACTCACGGTGGGTCACATCAAATGAAACAATCCCAATAAATACAAATTAAAACAGACTAAAAACCAATTTAAAACAGTAGAATTGTGGAGTCCTAGATGCGCTCCCTGCTTGGTTTGCTTGCAGACGTTTCATGACCCAACTAGGGAACATCATCAGTGTGAGGAGGAGGAGGGGAAAAGGTGGAGGAGAGGAGGAGGAGGAGTGAGAGAAGGAGGGGGAAGGGGAGGAGGATGAGAGGGAGGGGGAGAATTATTATTATTATTATTATTATTATTATTATTATTATTATTATTACTACTATTATTACTATTATTTGGATTTATATGCCGCCCTCTCTCCGAAGGACTCAGGGCGGCTCACATCAAACGAAACAATCCCAATAAATACAAATTAAAACAGACTAAAACAGACTAAAAACCAATTTAAAACAGTAGAATTGTGGAGTCCTAGATGCGCTCCCTGCTTGGTTTGCTTGCAGACGTTTCATGACCCAACTAGGGAAGATCATCAGTGTTAGAAGGGGGTTGGAGGAGAAGAAGGAGTGGGGGAGGAGCAGAGGTGGGTTTCAGCAGGTTCTGACCAGTTCTGGAGAACCGGTAGTGGAAATTTTGAGTCGTTCGGAGAGCCGGTAGTAAAAATTCTGACTGGCCCCGCCCCCATCTGTTCTCTGCCTCCCAAGTCCCAGCTGATCAGGAGGAAATGGGGATTTTGCAGTATCCTTCCCCTGGATTGGGGAGGGAATGGAGATTTTACAGTATCCTTCCCCTGGAGTAGAGAGGGAATGGAGATTTTGCAGTATCCTTCCCCTGCCACGCCCACCAAGCCATGCCACAGCCACCAAACCACACCCACAGAACCAGTAGTAAAAAATTTTGAAACCCACAGCTGGGGAGGAGGATAACTGTGGGCTCCTTGATGCTCTCGGTGCTTGGCTGTTTTCTTGCAGGTATTTTATGACCAACTAGGGTTATTTCTAGTTTTCAGCAAAAGCATGCCCTCGCGAACCACGGATTTCTTTAATGACCAGTGTCCTCTTAACGACCACTGCAAAAAAGGTCATAAAATCAGTTTAGATAAGATAACCTTTATTGTCATTTTTTACAGTGAGCACACTGGCCCACATTAAACGTAAAATTCTGTTGCCTCCCTTGATCTTCTTCCAGGTCCCTCCAGCCTCGGCCAAGCAGCACAGCGTGACCTTGAATGCCGCTTCCACGCCCTTCCAGCAGGCTGGCAGCTACGGCCAGCACAGTTATGGAGCAGGTGACGGCTCTGGCGCAGAGGGTGGCAGGTTCAGGAGGAGGGGGTGGTGGTGGTGGCATGTCTCCATCTTTGGGCAGGGCGGAAGGACCATTGCCAACCTGGCTCTGGGGGAGTGGGGAGGGCACAGGAGGAAGGGACGGTCCTGCTCCAGGGATGAGGGTTGTGGAAGAGACACCTGCCCTCTTTTGGCCTGGGAGGAGAGCAGAGCCCCTCCCCCCAGCTCCATTACGGGCGTAAATCGAGGACTACCTCTAAGCAGCTGTCCCTCTTGGATTAACTTGAGGGGCAGCAGGCCACAGGTAGTCCTCGATCTACGACCGTAATGGAGATAGACTTCTTTCTTTCTTTCTTTCTTTCTTTCTTTCTTTCTTTCTTTCTTTCTTTCTTTCTTTCTTTCTTTCTTTCTTCCTTCCTTCCTTCCTTCCTTCCTTCCTTCCTTCCTTCCTTCCTTCCTTCCTTCCTTCCTTCCTTCCTTCCTTCCTTCAATTTATATGCCGCCCTTCTCCAGAGACTCAGGGCAGTTTACAATGCGTTAAGCAATAGCCTTCATACTTTTGTATATACCTGCTTAGTAGGGCTTTTGCCTCCCCCCCCCCAAGCGGTGTTCTATTTTTTATATAAAGTCAGCTTATTGCCCCCACAATCTGGGTCCTCATTTTACCGACCTCAGAAGGATGGAAGGCTGAGTCAACCTTGACCCTGGTGAGATTTGAACTCGCAGTAATTGCAGGCAGCTGGCAGCTAAGTGCTACTTTAACAGCAGTTTTAGTCCGCTGCTCCACCAAGGCTCACCAAGGGATGAGCCTTGCTTAATAAAAGCCTCACCCCTTGTTCTCCCTGATGGAGTCATTAAGCAGAGCGGAGGCTGCCTCGGTTGGGGAGGCGCTGGGAAGTCTAGCCCAGCCCAGGACGGCTCTTAACTTGGCCCTTTGTGCTGGTTCAGCAACGGAAGGAATTAAAAAAAAAGTGTGGGGGGGTTGCTCTTTTTTAAATAGGGTCAGCTCAAGGGAGGTGGGGGGAGTCGACGACTTCAGTCCCCAAATTTGGTACAATCCGCTTCCTTTGAACGCCTTGCGAGGGGGGCTTTCTGGTTTTCAAAGCTGGGTGTAAAGTTATTTGAAACTCTTGTCTGTGGGGATTTGGCCTGGATGACCAGCTTCTCTTGACTTGTATATGGTGTAATGTGTGTATTGTTTCAGTGTAGTCCTCGATTTACAACCATTCATTTAATGACCATTCGAAGTTACAACAGCACTTATGACCAGTTTTCACATTTCCGACCGTTGCAGGATCCCCAGGGTCATGTGATCAAAACTCAGATGCTTGGCAAACCGACTCACATTTATGACGGTCGCAGTGTCCCCGGGGGGGGGAGTCACCTGATCCCCTTTTGCGACCTTCTCACAGGCCAAGTCAACGGGGAAGCCAGATTCACTTGACAACCAGGTTCCTCACTTAACAACCGCAATGATTCAATTAACAAATATGACAAGAAGAGTCGTAAAATGGGGCAAAACTCACCTAGCGCATTTCTCGCTTAGCAGTGGAAATTTTGAGCTCACTTGTGGTCGTGAGGCGAGGACTGCCTGTACTTGTCTGATACCCTACTTTTCCTTTAGAGTAGAGTTTTCTTCTGCCCTTTTTGTTTATTTCATTTAATTGATACTTTTTTTTTACTTCTGCTCCATGCTTAGTTTTCAAGATGGGTATGAAAATAATCATATTTATTATCATTTATATCCGAAAAATGTAAATTTTGGATGCTCCTACACTTTCGGGCTGCGATACTTGGTGCACAATTGCAATGGTGACAGCAACCATGAAAATGGCCTTTCTCCTTCCTTCCCCCCCCCCCCCAGGTTATGATGACCTCACCCAGGGGACGGCGGCTGGAGACTACAGCAAAGGGCCGTACGTTGCCGCCTCTCAAACACAAAACAAGTCAGCTGGCGGCGGAGCAGGGAAAGGTAATTTGGGGGTGCTCTTTTTCTAACGGGGGGGGGGGAGAGGGTTCAGAGCTCAGGGTTGAACTGTGGGGTCCTTGGTGCTCTCTGAGCATGGTGGTTTTCTTGCAGACATTTCATGACCCAGCTAGGGAACCTCATCAGTGCTAGAAGGGAGTGGGATTTGAAGAGAGGAGGAGGGGGAGGACGATGACTGTGGGGTGCTTGGTGGGTTTTTTGCAGATGTTTCATGACCCAACTGTGGAACATGCTAGAAGGGAGAGGAGGTGGAGGACTGTGGGGTCCTTGGTGCTCTCCGAGACTGGTTGTTTTCTTGCAGACGTTTCGTTGGGTACCCAACTAGGAAACCTCATCAGTGCTAGAAGAGAAAGGGGCTTGGCCTTTGTTTATACGTAAACGGCTTGCCCTGCCAGTGTTGGGGGGTAGTGTTCTGGGTACCCAATCAAGGAACCTCCAACTCAGATAATCAGTCAATCAATCAGCAGGGAACTGCCCAATCCAGGAAACCAGCAAGACCCCTCCCACCAACACTAAGAAGGCAAGCCATCTGTAGAGAGAGAGCGCGCGCGCAAGGCCCCCTCCCTTCCAGCACTGAGGATGCTGCCTAGTTGGGCCTGAGGGTTGACAGCCCTTGTCCTGATGGGTATTCCAGAGGGCATTGGAGACCCAGCTGCTCTCCTTGGCCTTGAACTGACTGCATTGGGCATCTTGTTTCTTGTTTTAGATCATCTTTTGAGAGTTATTTTGCTTTTATGCTGTTGGGTGGCACCTACGTCAAATAAAATATAGTAGATAATAAATTAAACCAGGGGTGAAATCCACTTACCTTCGCTACCGGTTCGCAAATGTGCGTTTACTTTGCTCATGTGCGACAGCTCTGCGCATGTGCAGGACCTTTTGCACATGCACAGAGTGTCCAAAACTGGATGTGATGATGTCTGGACGGATGGGCGGACTCTCCCGCCACCGGCGCTTTTCGCCCAAGCTGGATAGAACCAGTTGCATTTCACCACTGAATTAAACAACAGAATATAATATATGGTAATATAAACTTAAAAGGGGCACGGTGGCTCAGTGGCTAAGACACTGAGCTTGTCGATCGAAAGGCCGGCAGTTCGGCGGTTCGAATCCCGAGTGCCGCGTAACGGGGTGAGCTCCCGTGACTTGTCCAAGCTTCTGCCAACCTAGCAGTTCGAAAGCACGTTAAAAAAAATGCAAGTAGAAAAATAGGGAGCACCTTTGGTGGGAAGGGAACAGCGTTCCGTGTGCCTTTGGCGTTGAGTCATGCCAGCCACATGACCACGGAGACGTCTTCGGACAGCGCTGGCTCTTCGGCTTTGAAACGGAGATGAGCACCGCCCCTTAGAGTTGGGAACGACTAGCACACATGTGCGAGTGGAACCTTTACCTTAATATAAACTTCCACCAGCATGGAGAGAACGACCATCGTTTTAAGAACTGGGATTATGCCCCATTTCATATGTGTTACATTGTGGTTGGTTGGTTGGTTCATTCATTCATTCATTCATTCTAGATTTTAGTGCTCTGCAGACAGGAAAAGGCAAGGTACCAATTGGAGGAGTAATACATTCCAGTTTGTTCTCCTCCAGAAGAAAAATGGAAAGTGTTTTCTTACGGCACGAAGGGAGCATCAACTCTGCTTCACTCCGTGACCCATGGGGCTCTTCCACTCGAAGGGAAGCTGCACTCGGAGGGTGTCAGAGCACGTACGGCCCAAAGAACGTGGTTGCCCATCACCTTTTGACGTTGTGGAGATCCAGTCATGGGAAACGCTCTCACCCCCTGGCTGTTTGCGTAGCTGACCCAACTCTCTCTCTCTCTGTCCCCAGGTGTTTCTGTGAACTCAAGTAACACAGGTGTGCCTGACATTAGTGGCTCTGTCTACAACAAAGCTCAGGTGAGTTCAGCGTCTTTGTGTCCGGACTGATTTTGTGTTCGGCTTCCTCATCAGGGATGGTCCTGATGAGAGAGAGTGACCTAAAACATCAAGATGGCAGCCACGGAGCAGCAGGACTGAAACTCCACCTGCGTTTTATTTGCGTTGTTGTCGTCACCATGTTTTTGACCACACCCTGTCCTGTCCTGGGGGCATTTCAACATCCCATCCAGTGGTGGGTTGCTACTGGTTCTCCCCGGTTCTTGCGAACCGGTAGTGGGAATTTTGAGTAGTTCGGAGAACCGGTAAATACCACCTCTGCCTGGCCCCGCCCCCAATCTATTCGCTGCCTCCCAGTCTCCCAGCTGATCAGCTAGAAGGAAAAAAACAGGGCTCACTTGACAACGAAGAGAGAGAAAAAAACAAGACACCGTCACTTTAAATTGAGAAGCCAAGAAGTCTCCCAACTGATCGGCTAGAACCGATCCGCTCCTTGTAAACCGCTCGGTGGTGGTAGATTGGCAATTGAGGCCAAGCTGCCTGAAAGCGGTTTCCGATGCTCTCGGTGGTGGCAGAGCGGCAAAAAACTGTTTAAACTCTTGCCGTGGCGCTTCAAAGGGCCGCCCTACAGCTGATCAGCGGTAAAAGGCAGTGCAGTGGTAGACCAGTGCGCTCCAAAAACAAATGGGTAGACCGGTACGGCTCTGCAAGCAGTTAAAAGCCTGGTAGACCAGTACCTCTGCTAGATCCTAAAGAACTGTTTGTCACATGACCATCAAACCACGCCCACAAAATAAGCCACGCCCACAGAACCAGTAGTAAAAAAAATTAAAATCCACCCCTGATCCCATCCCATCCCTACTCTCTTAAAGGGTTCGTAAGCCGAGAACCAGGCCCTCTGTCCTGCCCTGGAAATATTATGACCCAGGTCACCTAGGTAGAGGCCGGCCTTGGGAGAATTATTTATTGCTCTGTTAAATTTAGAATAACAGAGTTGGAAGGGAGCTTGGAGGTCTTCTAGTCCAACCCCCTGCTTAGGCAGGAAACCTTATACCACTTTAGACAAATGGTTGTCCAATATCTTTTTAAAAACTTCCAGTGTTGGAGCATTCACAACTTCTGGAGGCAAGTTATTCCACTGTTTAATTGTTCTAACTGTCAGGAAATTTCTCCTTAGTTTCCCCCCATTGCTTCTTGTCCTGCCCTCAGGTGCTTTGGAGAAATAGCTTGATCCCCTCTTCTTTGTTTGTTTGTTTCACAACAAACGACCCTACAACACCCCACACTACCCTGAAGGCAGCTTCCCAGAGTCCCACAAACCAAAGCTAGTAAGCAGCAAACCAATTTGCAAAGGCAGAGTCCAAAAACAAGGTGGAAGCTCACGGGGCGAGGTCCAGAGTCCAGGGACAAAGGCCAGAGGGAACTCCACGAGGCCAAAGGCAGTCCTCAAGGCAAAGGCAAGTCACAGGCAAGAGCACGAGTCAAAGCCTGGGGAATGTAAGCCAAAACAAACAATGGTCCCCAACAGATTCCCCCCCCCCCTGGCATCTCCTTAAGTCAACCCACGCCAGGTGTTCCTTGTGAGGAAGGAGAGGCGGCCTTCTCGCCCGCAGCCTCGCAGACCTCCTTCAAGCTTGCCTCCGCTCTGCTCTCGTGCCCTTGGATCGAGCGGGGGAGGCAGCTGTTCCTCGTCGGAGGGGATCATCTGTCTCCCAACACCGCAGCCTGTTTGCAGCCGATCCTCCCCGTGTCTGTGAGGGCAGGCAGCTCTCCGCCTGGTCAACTACCCCTCCCAATGCCTGAGGGGCCCGGGACAGCATCATCCTCAGCCCCTGGCCTCTCCAAACATGCCGAGGGAGGTGTTGTGACCTAGGCTCACTTAGTCATTACAAGACACAGTTAGTCCCAAACAAACCTATTTTATTATAACAGCTGAGAATTACTTCATTCCCTGCTTAGTCCAAATTAATTGCAAACCAAGTCTTTCAGAATAAGTCCATCCGGTTTATCACAAACCTTTATCTTCTTTGGCATTCTGCCAAAGGCCTTTCTTGGCAAAGCCCCACAAAGTTCAGAAACAAGACACGCCGACTGGAAACAGATTTAGCAATGTTGCTGTCCTACAAAGAGCCCAAGAGCCTTTGCTGCTCTTTTAACCCTTATGGGAGGGGTCAATCATCTCCTGGCCTTACTCCCGAGTTGTCCTTTTTGCTTTAGCTGCTCTTGCTTTCTGGCAGCTCTGCACATGCGTGCACTAGGAACAGGCTCCTGTTCCTCTGCCTCTCTGCTGTCCGACTCTGGAGGCTCTGGAGTCCGCACAACACTTCCAGATGACCCTGGAACCATCTCTGCCTCCGACGCAGAGCCCTCGTCCGGGCCTTCCCCTGACTCCAGGACTGGTCCATTGTCCTTTCCAGCTTCCTCACTGTCTGACTGCTGCCACCTCCGCAGGCTTCTGGTGGACCACAACAGGAGGTGTGCCATCCCCGTCAGACGGTCCTGGTTCCTCCTCCTCCTCCTCCTCCTCTTAACTGGGATCCAATGGGGCCATGACCTCTGAGTAGCCCTTCTCTCCAGCCTGCAGGGTTTAATGCTCCACTGCTTCTCTAACCTCAGTTTCCTTAAACATAGCTAGTCCTCTACTTACAACTGCAATGGAGCTCAATGTTTCTGTTGCTGAGCGACACTGCCACGTTTTGCCTCATTTTACCGCCTTTCTTGCCACAGTTGTTAAGTGGAATCATTGCAGTTACTAAATACTTAAGTCAGTCTGGCTTCCCCCATTGATGTGGCTTGTCGGAAGGTCGCAAAAGGGGATCACATGACCCCCCCTCCCCCGGGGACCCTGCAACCATCACAAGTGTCAACTTGCAAAGCTTTCAAGTTGCCATGAGCAGGAGGGAGGGAGAACTGAAGTGAATTCCATACATTCTTTCTGACCGCAATCAGAAGGAGGGTGTTAGGTTTCACAGCCAGCCAAAGTGGCTAATTGGAGAATGTGATTTATGACATGGCCAGAGAGGAGGGGAGAGACAGGATCATAGGCGAACGTAAATCTACGTGGGGTCAGTCCTGACTGCATCCAAGTATTGCCGGAATGTTGCTCCTAGTAAATGACTATATTTCCTTTGAAGTTTGGATCATGGCTCATGAATTAATTAGGGCATCTTTCGGAAACTTGACAACAAGTACATGTCAGTTGCCCAGCCTCTGAATTTTGATCACGTGACCATGGGGTCGTCAGTGTGAAAAACAGTCATAAATCACTTTTTTTCGGTGCAGTTATAACTTCCAAGGCCATTAAACGAACAGCTGTAAGTTGAGAACTACCCCAACTTGCCTATAAATATAAATATACGTATAAATATTTGTATAACAACTCAGCAAGTGGCAGGGACCACAAAGCCTTGAATTTAGCCAGTCTAGAGGGCCCCAAACTGGGAAGAAAGTCAGCCTCATGGACCTTCTTGAGTTGGGTTTCCTTGTCCTGCTCTTCAGCCGCCTTCTGGCCTTCAGATGATGCCTCTCTGCCCACCACCCCACCCTGGCTTTTTAAAGGGTGCAAGTTTCAATTTTTGTTCCCCTCTCTCCTCCTCTTTCCAGGCTTTTGACAAGCAGGGATTCCACGCCGGGACCCCTCCCCCGTTCAACCTGCCCTCGGCCCTCAGCTCCACGGGGCCCCTAAACCCCGGGGCTGCTGCTGGCTACGCTCCGGCGCCCTTCCTTCATATCTTGCCTGCGCACCAACAGCCGCATTCCCAGGTGCTGCACCATCATCTTCAACAGGACGGGCAGGTGAGTGGCTGCATCCCTCTTGGTAACCCGTCGTCTTTTCTAACCCTGGTTTTCTTTCTGGTCAAAATGGGTGATTTCAACACAAAAGGATTGAATTAGAGGATTTGAGAGGGTGCCGGCTGCCACTTTATGCTTGCTTGTCCTTTGTGGGACAGACTGCCACGAAGTGTGGGGAAGGGGAGCGAAGGCGAATGCTTGGGGAAACGGAAGTAACCGCTGTATCTCCTCCAGGCACTGCCTCAAGGTCTCCCAGGTGGCAGGAGGAAAGAGGGGCCCACATGCCAAAAGTGGGCTTGGACCAAGCTTGGAAACCTATTTCCTGAACCTGATTGGTTCCATGGGGTGGGTGATGAGAGACAGCTAAAGGGGGGAAGAGTTGAACTAGGGGGTTTGGGCACACGATTCTCAGCTCTGGCTTTGCATTACAGTCAGTCCTCAACTTACGACCAAAATTTATGCAGGTAAGTGAGAAATTTGTGAAGTGAGTTTTGTCCCATTTTATGACCTCTCTTGCCACCGTGGTTAAGTGAATCACATCAGCTGTTAAGTGAGTTACACAGTGGTTCAGGTTTATCTGGTTTCCCAATTGACTTTGCGGGCCGGGCGGTCGCAAAAGAGGATCACATGACCCCGGGTCACTGCAACCGTCATAAATGCGAATCTGTGGTGAAGCATCCGAATGTCAATCCCGTGACCATGGGGATGCTGCAGCGGTCGTAAGTGTGAAAAGCGGTCATTAAGTCACTTTTTGTAGTACCGTTGTAAACGAGCGGTCACTAAGTGAACTGTCGACTTGTGTCGAGGACTGTCTATACTGCAATACTTTCCTCGTTGTGGCAGGCCTGACAGAGGGATTAAGAGCCGTCATTTTAGAAAAACTTCCACGCTGTGTTGGGGAAGAAATGAAACCTACGGCTATTCTAGTTTTCCCCCTTTTTGCTCAGGAGACAGGAAATCCTTGCAGGCCGTCTATTAAAAGAATCCTTCCAGTTCGTCTTCCAATTCTCTGCACCCATCAGACCTCCATTTTCAAAACACAGAGGGGAAGGCCTGTGAAGCCCCTTCCTTTAAATTTGGCAGCATGTCAGCACTTCAAGCTGCATTTACTCTAGTGCTGACATAAGAAGGAGAAGCGGAGGCGTCTGGAAAGGGACGTTTGACTTTTCACCTACTTATTTTCCCTGGAGATAATATCCCCTAGGAGATGGGATGGGAGGGGGGAAATTCCTTTGAGCTGGAGTAGATTAGGGGTAGAATGACTTGGAAGATGGCCAATGAGTGCAGGGGAGTGCGGAACGGAAAGGGAGGGTTTTGGGGCTGGAAGTCAGTGTTGGCTTCGATTGGAATTGGGTTAGAATGTCGTGCTTAATAAATAGGAGTTTTTCTTCATGCATGCGCGCCACCTGCCAGCCAGCTGGTCTTTGAGCCTCTGCCGTGCATGTGCGGGGGAAGGCAGGGTGCAAGTGGGGTGCCGCACACGCATGCATGGGGGCATGCACAGGTGGCGTGCATGTGCGGGGGGGCAAGGCACATGGCAGAACACACACGCATTGCATTTGGGGGGGGGGTTCACGTGCTTTGGGCACTTGGTCCAGGAAAGGTTAGCCGTCGCTGGCCTAGGATGACACTCCACGTGAATGGAAACTGTGCCCCCACAAGGCTCTGTGGAGATTCTCGATCATCCAGGCCACGGTGGCCCCCAGAGGGTTCTTTTCCCAAAAGGCAACTCGGTTTTCTTGGGTTTGGATGTGAAAATGTTTCAGAACTGAAGACGCTTCGAGTTGGAAGGGACCTTGGAGGCCATCTAGTCCAGCCCCCTGCTCAAGCAGGAGACCTTATACCATTTCAGACCAGTGGCTGTCCAGTCCCTTCTTGAAAACCTCCAGTGATGGAGCCCCCACAACTTCTGGAGGGAAGTTGTCCCACTGGTGAATTGTCCTCCCTGTCAGGAAATTTCTCCTTAGTTCTAGGTTGATTCTTTCCTTGGGAAGTTTCCGTCCGTTGCTTCTTCTCCTGCCTTCTGGTGCTTTGGAGAATAATTTGACAAACCCCCCCCCTTTTCAGGCAGCCCCTCAAATACCGGAAGACTGCTGCCATGTGCCCCCTAGTCCCTCTTTTCTCTAGACTGGCCAAACCCAAATCCTGTAGCTCTTCTTCACATAGTTGTATGTGAAGTTCTCCAGGCCTTTAATCCTCTCGGTTGCTCTTCTCTGCACTCTTCCCAGAGTCTCAACGTCTTTTTTTTATACATTTTGGTGACCGAAACTGGATGCTGCATTCCAAGGGTGGCCTTACAAAGCAATAGAACCAACTTCTTGTCCTCTTGGATGGGAAGCAAAACATTTTGAAAGAAAGAAAGGAAAAAAAACACCCAAGAAAGAGGAGCTGCCTTTTGGAAAAAACACCTTTGGGGCGTTCTACCAAGTGCCTTCACCTCCTGGGATGGAGCTGGGGCCATGACAGGAAAAGGAGGAGGCCTTGTGTGCTATGAGGGAGAGAGCATCAGCCCAGGGGCGGTTGGGGAACTCCAGGACACAACAGGTTTTATATAACTGTATTTTAATATTTGATTCATTTAATATTTGATTCATCCACCGCCCAAAGGAAATGGCTGCCGTCTCAAATAAATGATAAAGAAAACTTTTCCCCTCCGTTTCTCCGTAGGGCGGATCTGCCCAGCGCAACCAACCCAACGCCCTGCAGCAGAAACCTCAGGCTACAAAAACCACCTACGGGACTTCTCCGTACTGGACGAACTAAGCTCTGGCGCAGAGGAAAGGCAGGGAGACCGTCCGGAGTAGCCCAGGGTCCTTCTCAGGCTCCCACCGGAGACCGTCGACTGCGGAGGGAAAAAGAGACGCGCCCCCCCCTTCCTCCTCCTTCCTGGGGGAGCTCGGCTCAGACACCCCGTGGGAAGAATTGGCAGACACTCCCCTCGTTCGTGACTCTTCCCGATTTGCTGTTTTCTGTAAAATATTTATGTATGTACTTGTAAAGGTAGTAGAGCCTAACCGTGGTTCCTGCATGTTTCCGAAGACTTTTTTTAAATTTTTCTTCCCGATAAGGAGGGCTAAAACAGACCGGCTCCCCCTTCGGGCCCTCTGGCAGCTTCTCTCTCTCTCTTTTGTATAGTTTGGAGGATTTTAGCGCTTGTCCAAGGGACAGGAGTGTGCCACTTTTTAAAATTATATATATATAATTTTCAAATATTGACCCCGGAAGCCTTTTCTGACTTTAAAAATACTACTTCGCTCAGGCAAGCAGTCAGAGACTCGAAAAAAAACCAGGAGTTTTTATCTGTTCTTTGTTTCTTTTTCTTTTAAAAAAATAATAAAATACAATTTTGGCGTTTTCCGAAGGGCCCTGCTTCGTTTGGCCCCCCGTTCCTGCCAGCCGGAAGGTTGGTGGGCAGCCTAGTTATAAATTGCAATGTTGCACTTTTCTTGGGACAATTAAGAAATAAGCTAAAGGTTATTAAGTCTCCCTTCACGCCCATGTTCCGTTTTTTTGTTTTTGGTAGCCGTTGCTTGGACTGCCAGCGTCTCCCCAAATGGTGTCTGCCGATCCTGAGCTCCCTTTCCTTGGCCAGGACACCCTCCTGCCTTCCACGGCCGCGTTCTTCCTCCCCTCTTGAGAGGGGCACCAAGACTGAAGGGTGTGGGTGCCAGAAAACTTCCCCTCACCTTAATGAAGGTTTCAGAAATTTCATTTATTTTTTAGCTCAGACCCTCCTCTAATAAAGTTCTAAGCATATCAACAATGTTTGCGGTCTCTGTTTTCCAACCGGATTCAGTGGGTGGTTCGGTAACTGACCTCCCCAAGACTATCCAACTCAGCAGCAGCTCTAAGGGGCCCCATGTGCCACTGCCAGAAGGTAGAAGCCAACTACCTCCTTCTACTTTGGTCTAGAAAGGAGTATACGGAGAACAGAAGCTTTCTACGTCGTTGAGAGTTGGGTCTCAGAAGATGAGGAAGAGATGGGTCTCAAAAGGTTCATGTAGGCATCTTGCTCACCTTGGGTGGATGGAGACCCAGCACTTAGGGAAGGGGTCAACACACAGGGATTGTTTGCTTGGGTAGATTGAAATTTATCAGTTTACCACCAATAAAGGGAACTTTCAGCGCCTCCAGAAATGGTAGAAGGTAATTTCTATAGATCATCGGCAATTCAAGTACTACTACTACTACTACTACTGTTGTTGGGAGTGCCGAAGCACTTCCATGTTGAAACGATTTCAACGGTAACCTCACCATTGCCTGGAGGACGCCCAATTAGGGGCTCCTTTCACGTCCCCATTAAGTTGCCCATCGAAGTGGTACCTGTTTATCTACTCGCAGTTGTCTTCTGTCGAACTGCTGGGTCGGCAGGAGCTGGAGCGAGTGACGGGAGCTCACTCCTGGCAGCAAACGGGTCTCGAACGTGAACCTGCCAATCATCAGCCCAGTGTCTTAGCCTTGTGAGTTTCCGCACCCTTCGATTTTAAGAACCAGCGGAGCGGTTCTGGGACTTGGCCTGAGGTGGGATGCTTCTGGTTATCCAAAAAGTCACACTTCGCTCACTTGCTTCTTCAAGTAGCGGACTGCAACAACGGGCAAAGAGAACTAACCTACAATGGCCGGTGAATCATCTGGACCAGGGGTGTCGAACTCGATTTCATTGAGGGCTGTATCAGGGTTTTATTTTAACCTGGGTGGGGGGTGGCCAGCTCGACGTCACTCGTGTTGGCGCTTATGGCGGCCCAAGCGCTCTGCCAGTGAAAACAGGCTCCCAAGCTCCGTTTTGGCTGCGACGGCCTCCGGCAACCCTCTGCCAGCGAAAACAGGAGCTTGGGAGGACTGCACAGTCTGGTCCTTCGCTGTTTCCAGGGCGGCCCTGCGGGCCAGAACTAAGCGTCCTGCGGGCCAGTTCCGGCCTCCAGGCCTTGAGTTTCACACCCCTGATCTGGACTATTGTATTTCAGAAACCGCCAAAGTTGTAAAAGGTGGGGTTTGGAGCAGTGTAGTCGCTCCAGATCTCAGAAAACGAGGAGTTGTCGGGAGTGATTCCGGAGTGGCTCAGTTTCCTTCTCGTATCCTGGCAGTGAGCAGCCTATCCAGCACCCTACATTTCCCATCATAGCCACCCGGGGCCTGTTTTTTCTGCCACCAACACAGCCAATGCTTATCTTAATGCCATAGCTTGAAGACTATTCCTGAAATGTTAGGATCTCAAAGGGCGGAAATAAAATAAAATAAAAAGCATTGGAATGTAACTTCTACACTTTGTTCCCTTTCGCCATTGTTGGCTATTGCTTTGCTTGACTTTGCTAGCAGTGAGTGGGATCAGGCTTCTGTGGTCCAGCTTAAAATTTCTATTAAATTAAAGTTTTGCCACGCAAGGAAAAATACTGACTTGGAGCCTATGGCTGGAAGCTGTGAAACCGACAATATTTGTCCAAAAAAACCTCCCATCCGAGCAGGGACCTTCAGTGATAAATTATTCCAATTTAAAACTGCAAACCCTTTTTTAAAATCGATGGGTTAGCTTAGGAATGACCGCTATCCTGCCATCCTGTCTTGGCTGCCATTTTCGCTGCCATTTCCACTTTCAAAGAGCCTTGATAGTACAGTGGTTTAGTGCACCCTGTTATTAACACAGCTGCCTGCAATTTCTGCTGGTTCGAATCTCTCCAAGGCTCAAGGTTGACTCAGCCTTCCATCCTTTCTAAGGTAGGTGAAATGAGGACCCAGTTGTGGGGGCAATAAGCTGACTTTGTATAAAATATACAAAAGTATGAAGGTTATTGCTTAACGCATTGTAAGTCGCCCTAAGTCTCCGGAGAAAGGCGGCATATAAATCAAATTAAAAAAAAAAAAAAACTGTGAAGGGATGTAATTAACAGAATGACAAGAGCTGGAGGGGACCTTGGAGGCCTTCTAGTCCAACCCCCTGCTCAAGCAGAAAACCTTATACCGTTTCAGACAAACGGTTGTCCGTTAATCTCTTCTTAAAAGCCTCCAGTGATGGAGCATTCACCACTTCTTGTGACAAGCTGTTCCACTGGTTAATTTTTCTCACTGTCAGGAAATTTCTCCTTAGTTCTAAGTTGCTTCTCTCCTTGGTTAGTTTCCACCTATTGCTTCTTGTCCTGCCCTCAGGTGCTTTGGAGAATAGCTTGACTCCCTCTTCTTTGGGGCAGCCCCTGAGATATTGGAAGAGAACCAGAAAAAATCTCCCCGAAGGAAAACCTTAAAACTGCCCTGCAAGCCAAGCCTGCATGAATCCACAAACACACAGCTCCTCTTTTTGTGCAGTTTGTGGTGGTTCCCAAGACGTCTCCGACGCAGGGCCCAGAGAACTGAGGGAACCCAGCAGGCGTTACCTGTAGCAGGAGCCTCGCAACGATGGACACCGCAACATCTCGAGAACTTCGGCAGCCCAGCGAACCCAACGTGGCTTTTGAACACGCAATCAGCAAGAAGAGCGCTACTGTATTCCACATTTTATTAGTTAGACAGATGTGCAGAAAAACCAAAACTAAATTACCATAAGGAGGGAGAGAGAGAGAGAGAGAAGACAACACAAAAGAAAGAGGGAGGGGGAAGAGAGAAAAATAGGCCTTTGTTAACCTGGTCTAAAGGAATTGAACCAACCCAAGAAGAGAACGAAGGAAAGGAAGAAATACTTAGAATTTCAGCAGTGAAAATTTTACCCAAAGAATCCTAGTGTGCTCCCTGCTGGTTTCGGAACGGGTTTAGGAATTGCAGGTTCCTTTTCGAATCGGACAAATGTAAACGCAGACAAAAGGTAGAGAGAGGAGAGAACCAGGCGAGGGATGGCTCAAGTAAACATTTGTCCTCAAATCTCTCGAATCCGCATTTTCAGCAAAATCGGTTGGATCCTGAAAGGGGAAACCAGCAAGGTGCTAAGCCGGAGAGGAACGTCCCCGTCTGTCGCAGGGGAGGAGAGGCAGCCCTGGCTGGCGGGATGGGGGTTCCCCAGCCCCCCTCCCCGTAAAAACGTAGCCCAAGGGAAGGACGGAGGTCTAATAACGCATCTCGCACACCACCAAGCTTCAGCGTACAAGTCACTGGAGAGAATACAGTCAAAATACAAGACAGCTGAAAGACGCGGCATCCTCATTTCAAGCCGAGCCAAGGATGCCAATGCCGGACCCAGCACCCCTCCCTCCTCCTCGAGAACCCCCTTCAAGGGCTGACATTCGTGGGTGCCCGTTGCAACAGCGCCACTCCTGCACACTTTTCAGAGTTTATAACGAGTTCCTCTCGCAGGAGGGAATGAAAAAAAAATAAAATTAAGATTGTCCAAAGCAGGCTCTTGGCAACCAAACGTTACGCATTTGGATCGTTCTGTCCACCATTGTCTTTTCTTTTCTTGGGGTTCATCCGAACGGCCCTCCTTGTCCAACAGGGGGGACCCACCCAGAGTTACCCTTCTTTCCACCAGGGGGCCAGAAGCAAAATTGAAGGGCTCCGTGTTTGAGGAAGTGTTGCAACCATCTCTCTGGTTCTGAAGGGCCATCCAACCTGAGAAGACCCAACTGCAGCTTTGGGTCAATGGGGGTCAAAGCGGGCCCTTCCTGGCTAGGATCCCGAGAGGCTCAGAAATGGGGCGGATGAAAGGCAAAGCCAGTGTTTGAAGGAGAAGCACAATTCCTGGATGGGTGTCTGGGACCACTCCAGCAGCCTCTCTTTTCCTGCAATCGGATGGATGGGGGTACCCCAGAAACACTCATTGGGTCTTGGCTGGTTTCCCTTGAGATCATCACTGCCGAAATAAACTTGGACCTCCTGCCGTCGTTCCCCAAAGCACTTAAGTCTTCTTATGGGGAACCCTTCATCTGGGCAGTGGGACTTGATGGAGCTGCCAAGGAGCCATCGCTCCGACAGCATCAGGTCTACCGCCCAGAAAGGAATACAAGCAACGTACCCCAAAGACTCCCCCCCCATCACCTCTCTGTTTTCTAATGGCTCTTCTGGAATTTGCAACCGGCGACCCTTGTTTCCTTTTAGACAAGTCTATTTCTTGCTTCTCCAGCATTGGGGTGGTCTAAGACAGGGCTCTTGTCCAAGCTTGGCAACTTGAAGACTTGTGGACTTCAACTCCCAGAATCCCTCAGCCAGCATAACTTAGCTGCCTGAGGAATTCTGGGAGTTGAAGTCCACAAAAGTTGCCAAGGCTGGAGAGCCTCCCTCGGTTTAAGAAATGCTTTGGGGCAGCCCCCCTCTATCTACCCAGCCCCAGAAGTGATGCTCACTTCTTCCGAAGACAGACCCGTCTGCGGCAAGGCGCCTGTTGCAAACCTACAGGTGCAGAAAGCCGCTGGGTCTCGCGGAGAGAAGCCGTGTTCCAGATCCCATTCCTGGCCTCGTATTACAGCGCTGCTCTCCGCCATCGGGGAAATAGGCAGCCGCTCCCTGGATGCAACCCTCTGTAACTCGGGACAGAAAACGGTGCGCGTTTTGACGTGTTTATTGGAAGATTCATATCACAAGACAACTGCTCCCCCACTCGGACGATCCCCCCCCCTCGATCTGCCTCGGGAGGTTTTCAGCCCCCCCTTGCCAAGCTGCCAATCCCACCCACCTCCCTCGTCCCGCCGTGAGCTTAGCAAACTTGAAATTGGAACAGCGGGCCTTTTTCGGCACCAGGTCTGGCAGCGGCCTAGTTCAAAAACACAGAAGCTTTTCGCCCTCCGCCTTGAAGTGGGGGGGGGAGAGAAAAAAAATAACAAAAAAGGAGTAAAACCACCACCGGCACCAACCACCACAAGGCTAAACAAGTGCGCACACGAGGAGCAGCGAAGACGACCCCGGAAAAGAAGAAGTAGGGGGGGGGGGCTCTACGCAAGCTCGTGGGGGAGTGTGCCCCCCCACTCCACGGTCTCCGCCGGGCGTTAAAATACATCAAAACCTCTTGATGAAAGACTGGGTTTAATTCGAGAACCTAAACACAGAGCCAGACTGTTTTGCTGTACTGTGAACTCTCCGGAAGGGAAGAGGGGCAGGCAGGGAGGGAGGGAGGGGGGGTGGCAGGGAGAAGGTATTGTCTTTTTTTTAAAAAAAAAAAAAGGAGAGGAAGGGAGGGAGGGAAATCAAAAACACAGTGATGGGACGGGAAAGGAAGTGCGATCCAAGATCATCCGCGCAGGTCTTTCTCGCTACGAGGCCAAAAGGACCGGGAAGTGATGGAGGGGACGGACGAAACCAAGAATCCGTACGAGAGGAGAAAAGCAGGAAACGCACGTTTTGGTTGGGGTCTTTTCGCCCCACCCGCCCGCCCCTTTGAAGGTATATCTCTCTCTTTTTTTTTTTTCCCTTCTTCTTTTTTTCTGAACGGTCATTGGATTTACCGCTGCGTCCCCTCTGGCAAAACTGGCGGGGCAGTACGATTGGGAGGCTGGGCGGGCGGGTGGAAGAGGGAGGGAAGAAGGGCCAGAAGGGGGCAGGTCACGACTCCTCGTTGCCGGAATCATCGTCGTCGTAACAATCGGCGTCTTCCTCTTCCTCCTCCTCCTCGTCTTCGTCGTCGATGTCGTCGTCGTACAGGTCGTCGTAAAGCAAGTCGGAGCTGTTGTCGTTGGAAGGCACTTTAGTTTTGATACAGTACTCGGCCAGCGTGGTGGGCACCTTCACACCGTCCTTCTCCGCCTCCGCCTTGGTGGCCTGCACTTGTTTCCTGCAAGGGGGAGGGGAGGGCAGGGGAAGTTAGGGGAGGGTCAGCCTCACCAGCCTACCCACCCCCCAATGCCCGCCCCCTCCCCCTCTGACACGTTGCACCCAGGTCTCCCTTGCCCCACGGATGCCAGCCGCTCAGACCCGACTCTTCCAATATCCACATCCGAGGTGTGCCAGCCAATGCATGAGAACTCTCCTTAATACAGGCAGTCCTTGACTTATAACCATTCATTTAGTGACCATTCAAAGTTATACCGGCACTGAAAAAAGGGACTTGTGATGGTCTTTCACATCTATGACCTTTCCAGCATCCTCACGATCACGGGATCGAAATTCAGATGTTTGGCGACCGGTTCACTTTTATGACGGTCGCAGTGTCCCTGGGGGGAGGGTCACATGATCCCCTTTTGTGACCTTCTCACAAGGAAACCCAATGGGGAAGCCGGATTCACTTAACGACCAGGTTATACCGTATTTTTCGGACTATAAGATGCACCTTAGATTTTGGGGAGGAAAATAAGAAAAAAAAAATCTGCCTCTGCCTACCAGCATCCATCGGTATTCATCTGGCTAGCGTCCTGTCAGTGTGCGAGAGAGTTGAGGGCTGTTTGGAAACTGAATGAGGAACAAGGAAGGGGACAGCAAGGAGCCTGGGTGTGGCTTAGCTCTGCAGCTCTTTGTCTGTGCTGAGCTACTGCTAGTCTGCTGCTCAAAACCGAAACTCCTCTCCTCTGCTTGTGTTTTGCTTGTATTTACTACCACATTGGAAAACCTGCTTTTGGCACTGTATATTTACTTCATGTGTTATATTATATATAAAGAGAAGTTATTGAATCCTGCTGAATCAGTTACTTGTGTGTGCTCTCTGGATGTGATTGCTGCTGCAAACTCTGACACGTCCTTGCAGCAAATAGCAAACAGCCAGGTCAGCTTCAGCACATTATTGCAGCCTGATTCAGCACGAGCAGCTGATTAGCGGGTGGATCAGCCTCCCAAAATACCCTCAATCAGCTGTTCCAGGCTGCAGGGATTGCCACAGACCATCACCTACTCCGTGCCTCGTGTTTTTGGTTACATTTGGTGTATAAGATGCACCCAAATTTTCACTCTCTTTTAGGGAGGGAAAAGTGCATCTTATACTCCGAAAAATACGGTAACTTATCAGCTGCAGTGATTCACTGAACAACTGAGGCAAGAGAGGTCATAAAGCTCACCTAACAAATGTCTCGCTTAGCAACATAAATTTGGGGCTCCACTGTGGTTGTAAATTGAGGACTACCTGTAATTCCAAACCATGTTTTGGTCCAACTGGCCAAAGGCTTGAGGGAGCTGGGCCTCCCTGGCTCTGCCCAGCAACCTTTAGTGCCCCCCTCACACCCGCAGGACCAGGAGAGCTGAACTCTTTGGACTGAGGGGTTGCCTCACTACCAGGAAGGGCAGAAGTCAAGAAACTCAGAGGAGAAGTTCAGAGTTTCTTCTCTGCCCCGAGATATTTATCTTCCTCTAGAATATCTGTGACTCAGGGTTGGACTGTGGGGTCTTGCAGACGCTTCATGGCCCAAGTAGGGAACATCATCAGTGCTTAAATAGAAGTGGAGATTTGGGAGAAGAGGAGGAGGAGAAGAGCAGGAGGAGGAAGAAGAAGAGGAGGAGGAGGACTTTGGGGCCCTTGGTGCTTTCTCAGCTTCGTTCTTTTCCTGCAGACGTTTTGTGACCCAACTAGGGAACATCATCAGCGGTAGAAGTCCCCCACCTTTCTAGCACTGATGATGTTAGCTAGTTGGGGTCATGAAACGTTCTACAAGGAAACCGCCCAGCTCAGAGAGCTCCAAAGACCCGCCACATCAAACGGGCTCCCCTTCTCCACCAGCCGCTCCCCATCTCGGACTTACCGGATGATTTCCGCATATTCTTTGTCTTTCCCTTTGCTGTCCCTCCATTTCCTGAACATAACGGAGGCGTCCACGTTTGCTGGAGAGAACGTGTTGGGCTCATTAAGCAAGGAGATTACGCTCAGTAGGATAGTCCTGGGGAAAGAGAGAGGAGGAGAAAGTGTACCCGGAGCTCAGACACACATAAGCAGGAGACACAGAGTTGGAAGGGACCTTGGAGGTCTTCTAGTCCAGCCCCCTGCCCAGGCAGGAGACCTTATAACATTTCAGACAAATGGCTGTCCGATCTCTTCTTAAAACCCTCCAGTGATGGAGCAGCCACAACCTCTGGAGGCAAGTTGTTCCACTGATTAATTGTTCTCACTATCAGGAAATTCATCCTTAATTCTAGGTTGCTTCACTCTTTGATTAGTTTCCATCCGTTGCTTCTTTTTTCTGCCTTCTGGTGCTTTGGAGAATAGCTTGACTCCCTCTTCTTTGGGGCAGCCCCTGAGATATTGGAAGACTCTGCTATCCTGTCTCCCCTGGTCCTTCTCTTCATCAAACTACACAAACCCAGTTCCTGCAACCGTTCTTTGTATGTTTTATCCTCCAGTCTCCTCATCCTCTTTGTTGCTCTTCTCTGCACTCTTTCTAGAGTCTCCACATCTCTTTGTACATCGTGGTGACCAAAACTGGATGCAGGATTCCAAGTGTGGCCTTACCAAGGCATCATAAAGTGGTATTAACACTTCACGTGATGCTGATCTTATCCCTCTGTAAAGGCAGCCTAGGTCTGGCTTTTGGGGCAGCTGCAGCACACGGCTGGCTCAGATTTAAGGGATTGTCCACTTGGACTCCCAAGGTGCCTCTCACAGTTACTACTAATGTGTTTTCCCGAAAATAAGACCGGGTCTTATATTAATTTTTGCTCCGAAAGACACATTAGGGTTTATTTTCTGGTTAGGTCTTATTTTGGGGGAATCCAGTACCGAAAGCGTCGGTCTGGATGATGATCTTAACTGGGGCTTATATTTGGGGTAGGGCTTATATTACGAGCATTCTGAAAAATCATGCTAGGGCTTATTTTCTGGGAAACAGGGTATTAAGCCACGTATCACCTATTCTATACCTGAATATTTGGTCTTTCTTGCCTAAACACAGGACTAAACTTTTCTCCATCATTGAGCTGCATTTTGTTTTAATAATAGGGACATTCCTCTTGCATCCAAGACTGCACAGCTGCAGCTGCATTATCGGCTTGGGGGGAGGGGGCAAGAGGGGGGAGGGGTGGGGGGGGAGGTGGGGGGAGGGGCGGGTGGGGGTAGAGGCGTTCCCCCACCATCCTTTCTTGTTTCTCCTAGATCTGGCCTGAAGGCAGAATTCTGGGGAAATGGGCATTTATCGCTTGCTATCCAAGCTATCTTCTGGTGCGACTCCTTGAAAAGGGCCATGCGCAGATATGGTGGAAGTGTCTTCATTAGCCTCCCCCTCAGTTTATTGTTTTTCTCAATACAGGTAGTCCTCAACGTACAACAGTTCATTTGGTGACCAAAGTTACGACGGCACTGAAAAAAAGTGACTTATGACCGTTTTTCACACTTGCGACCGTTGCAGCTTCCTCCCCCCCGAGTCACGTGATCAAAATTTTGGATGCTTGGCAACTGACTCGCATTTATGACAGTCGCAGTGTGATCCCCTTTTGAGACCTCTGACCACCGAAGTCAACGGAGAAGCCCGATTCATTTAACAACCGGGTTGCTAACTTAACAACTGCAGGGATTCGCTTACCAACGGAGGCAAGAAAGGTTGTAAAATGAAGCCAGACTCACTGATCTATTGTCTCATGTAGAAACAGAAATTGTGGGCTCCATTTTGGTCGTAAGTTGAGGATTACCTGTTATACTACATGCTGAAATTTGCTTTTTCAAGGGGAAAATTAAATCCAAATGCAATCTTTTAACTATCAGTTTTGCAAAACGGCGTTTCACATGGTCCAGTTTTTATAACCCATTTCTGAAGAGCCCGTGCACAGTGTGACAATCTCCTTTAGCCAAGAAGGACCCTGTGCAAAATGGGTCAGTTGTTGTGCTTTGCGGTTTCTCTCTCTCTGTTTAGCACATACCCTCCGTTTACTAAACTGAGCCCGGCGTCTCTGAACCGGCAGGGCCAGGATGAACTTCAAAGTTTATTTATTTGGGTTATTTTTTCGGAATGGCAGGTTAGGGGCTGCACGCATAAGGGGGTAGGATGGAGGGCCCTCCCTGGACTCCTCAGGTAGTCCTTGACTTACAGAAGTTTGTTTAGTGACCGTTTGAAGTTACCACAGTGACTTAGGACCGTTTTCTGCACTTACAGACATTTTTCACACTTATGACCACTGTAGTATCTCCATGGCTATGTGATCAAACTTTGGGTGCTTGGCAACTGACTCACATTTATGATGGTTGCGGTGTCCCGGGGTCATGTGATCCCCTTTTCCGACCATCGGACACTGGGGACAGTTAAATTCACTTAACCACCGTGTCACTAACTGAACAAGTGTGGCGATTCGCTTAACCACCGTGGCAAGAGAGGTTGTAAATTGGGGCAAAATTCACCTAACAACTGCCTCGCTTAGCAGATTGAAATCTGGGGCTTTATTGTGGTCGTAAGTCGAGGACTACCTGTACTACAATTGGGTAGAAAAAAGTTTTTGGTCTCGGAGGGTCTTACCTGACATTCTGGGTGGGGTTCCACCTTTCCGATGGCAGCTCTCCACTTTGAGGATCATCTACAGGTGGGTGAAGAATTGAAATACATACATCCCCATTCTATGGAAAGAAAAGTGGACGGTGGTTATGAAGAGAGACAACGAAGTTAAACTATGCAGCAAACAGACCATAAAAATCCTCTCTGCCTAATTTCTAAAGATCAAGTGTAAACTTCTTTCACTTCAAGCAAGGCACATATTTTGCTACACAAATACACACACACACACACACACAGTAGCTGCGGGCTCTAAATCCCAACACATCTGGGACTTACAATACTTTACAGAACTGAATGCGGCTTTTCAGGCTTCAGTAGGAATAAAGCTGGAAGGGCTCTTGGAGGTCTTCTAGTCCAGCCCCCTGCTCAAGTTGAAGACCTTGTACCATTCTGGGGCAAAATGATTCTTCAATCTCTTCTTAAAAGCCTCCAGGAGCCTGAGTGGCGTAGGAGGCTAATGCCTCCTAGTAAGGCAGCATTTAACAACCAGCTGCCTGCAATTACTGCGAGTTCAAATCTCGACAGGCTCAAGGTCGACTCAGCCTTCCATCCTTTCTAAGGTGGGTAAAATGAGGACCCAGTTTGTGGGGGCAATAAGCTGACTTTGTATAAATATACAAAAGTATGAAGGCTATTGCTTAACGCATTGTAAGCCGCCCTGAGTCTCCGGAGAAGGGCGGCATATAAAAATAATAATAAAAAAAATCCATTGCTGGAGCGCCTACAACTTCTGGAAGCAAGCTGTTCCACTGATTCGTTACCAGAACAACAGAGTTAGAAGGGACCTTGGAGGTCATCTAGTCCAACCCCCTGCTCAAGCAGGAGACCGATTCAAGGGGCTGCCCAGTCTCTTCTTAAATCCCTCCAGTAACGAAGGACCCATAACTTCTGAAGAGAAGCTCTTCCATGGTTCTCACTGTTAGGTAGTTTTCTCCTTCATTCCAAGTTGTGTCCTTTGTAGCTGTAGGGGGGCTTCTCAACACTTACATAAAACTTAATTCTCTTTCTTGAGCCCCAGCGTTATCAACACACCAATAACCCCCCCATTTAATTGACTTTATTTACGCCAAATAATTCCACCAGGGGGAGCCAGAGCTCTCAACGAGAAGCCCCAGCTGCCAGCCCTGCCTTACGGCTGGATCTTCACAAGCAGATTCTCCGAGATTCGTGATGGCGAACCTATGGCACGGGTGCCACACGTGGCACACGGAGCCATATCTCTAGGCACGCGAGTGCATGTTCGCGCTGGCCAGCTGATTTTCAGGCCTTCCGGGCCCACTGGAAGTCAGGAAACGGGCTGTTTCTGGCGGGCCTCTGGAGGGCCTCCAGGAGGGTGGGGAAGGTTATTTTTGCCCTCCCCAGGCTCCTAGAAAGGCTCTGGAGCCTGGGGAGGGCAAAAAAATGGGCTGACCAGGCCCACCATGTCATCACGTGCCAAAAGTGGGGGAGGGGGAGAGCGGGGGGGGGGGGTCATGTATGCATGCATGAGGGGATGGGGCACATTGAATTATGGGTGTGGGCACACACACACGCAATTCACCCCCCCCTCCGCCCGCTTTTGGCACACGATGGCAAAAAGGTAAGCCATCACTGTCCTAGATGAAGGGTGTCAAACTTGATTTCATTGAGGGCAGCATCAGGGTTGTGTTTGACCGGGGGGCTGGGGAGGTGGCCAGTTCAATGTCACTCATGTCGGGGTGGAGGCACCTGTGGTGGCCAAATGCTAAGGCAGGACTTCCCTCAGACCCTCCCTCCCACTCATTATCTACGGGACCGCCTGCTACCACCAGTAGCCTCCCACTGGCCGGTACGCTCCCATAGAGAGGGGCTCCTCCGGGTGCCGTCGGCCAAACAATGTCGACTGGCGGCCCCCAGGGGGAGGGCTTTCTCTGTGGGGGCACCCACTATCTGGAACGAGCTCCCCCCGGAGATATGGAGGATCCCAAATCTGCGCACCTTCCGTCGCGCGCTTAAGACTTTTTTATTTCATCAAGCCGGCCTGGCCTAAATCTCCTCCCCTTTTTAAATGTAAATTTTAATTTGTTTTTAAATTATGGGGTATTTTAAATTTGTTCAGCTAAATTATTTAATTCGTTTTATTTTATTTTAAACTTTTGTATTTATGTGTTTTATCTTGTGGCTCTTCACCGCCCTGAGTCCTTCGGGAGAAGGGCGGTATAGAAATTTAATAAAAATAAATAAATAAATAAATTATAACCTTCCTTCCTTCCTTCCTTCCTCCCTCCCTCCCTTCCTTTCTCCCTCCCTCCCTCCCTCTTTTTTCCTTCCCTCTTCATTCTTTCTTCTTCCTTCCCCTCTTCCCTTCTTTTTCTTTCCCTTTCTTCTTTCCCTTTCTACTTCCCTGTCCCTTCTTGGATGCTCAAAAGGGGCAGAAACGTTTCTTCTTTTGTGTTTTGTTCTTAGTTTGTTTTTCTAGCCCTCTGCCAGCGAAAAACAGAGCTCGGGGTCCTGCAGCCCTCGGCCAGGGCTGGTCCTTCCCTGTTCCCAGGGTAGCATTGCGGGCTAGATTGAAGCTAGATTGATTCCTGTGGGATCTGGCCCTTGGCAAGTCTGGATTCCCAAGTTTTGAAGCTTGCCAACCTGCAGCCGAATTTAAAGGATATATTGCAGTGGTGAAATCTGAAGTGGTTTACTACCGGTTCGCTGGCTGCGCGTCTGCAGTGCGCACCACGCACCAAATGCAAGGTGCGCACACATGCAGTGCACGCCAAAAGGAGGCATGCGGTAAGTAGAACAGCGCGCGGGGGAGGGTGATCAGTTGTGGCGCGCAATCTTTTTTTTTTACTTTTAAAAGCATTTTTTAAAAGAAGCGGCAATCGGGCGACCGGGGGGGGGGGGGGGGGGGGGGGGGGGGGGGGGCAGGGCAGGGATTTTTGCTACCGGTTCTCCGAACCACCCGCTGCCATTGCTACCGGATCCGGTCCGAAACGGGAGCATTTCACCCCTGATATATTGCCTCCGATTCTGCAGAACCAATTTTTTAACCCTCAAGACGTGATCCCTGGGACCTTCCTTCCTTCCTCCCTTCCGCTAAAGCTAGAGGGAGAGTTCCAAAAGGCAACTGAGGCTGTGCAGAGGAAACCCTCAACTTGCAACAGTTCGTTTAATGCCCGTTCAGTATCGATGCAAGCAATGCCACGTACAATTAAAAGGGTGTAATTCAAGCCAGACGTTTCACAAAAATAGAGCAGGGGCAAATTAATTCAGCCGGCAAAACATTCGGAAGAGGGACCTTCACCGGCTGAATTTATGAATTCAGGATAATCCTGGACTTACAACAGTTCATTTAGAGACCGACCAAAGTTACGAAAGCACTGGGGGGAAAAAAAAGGGAACTTGTGACCGTTTTTTAACATGACCACTGCAGTGTCGTCGTGAACAAAATTCAAACGGTTGGCAACTGACTCGTACTTATGACAGTTGCAGTGTGTGTGTGTGTCACGTGATCCCCTTTTGGGACCTCCTGGCGAGAAAAGTCAATAGGGAAGCCAGATTCGCTTAACGACCGTGTCTCTAAGCTAACAACCGCAGTGATTCGCTTAACGACTGTGGCAGGAAAGGTCGTAAGAGGGGGCAAAATTCACTGAACGAACGTCTCATAGTTAGCAACAGGAAAGTTTGGGCTCCATTGTGGTCGTAAGTTGAGGATTACCTGTTCTGCTGGGGACACAGCTCCCTACCCCTGCTCTGAAGAGTTTTCCCTTAAGGATGAGATTCCAGAACCTGCTCCTTGGATTGCAAAAGGGACCTTTTCTGGATTTCTCCTTTCCAAATTTCTGGAGCACCTGTTGTGGCCTGTCGGCCGCCGGCCCCTCCAGCACCGAATCAGAGGAGGAGGAGGAGGCGTGGGAGTCAGGGCCAGCATCAGGGCAACCTGAGACCCCCAGAGGAGGGGGGAGAGGGAATGGGGCTGGCAGAGAGAGAGAGAGAGGGACAGAGGAGGAGCCTGGGCTGTCTGTCAGTCCTCGGATGGAGAGTCAACAGCCCCCAGGTCTGGAGGTGGCTGATGAGGAAGAGGAGGAACAGCTGGGTCCAGTGCCTGACGTGTGGATGTGCAGAAGGCAGAGGAGAGGAGAGCCGGGGAAATCTATGGGCCGGTCCTTGGGACGGAAGAGACACCGCTGCTAGCGAAGCCCCACCCTAGCTCTGGGGATAAAAGGCAGGGGGCGGAGATGAATAGATGTGGCAGACAACTATTCTTCTCCCTGCCGGATGGACTTCTTAGCCTGCGGTGAGAGAGAAACTTTTTGTCGGGGCTGCCGGCTCTCCTCATAAAGGAGTCATTGCTTCAACTACAGAGGGTTTGTGATGTTTGGGTCAGAAGAGCAGCAGAGAGAGCACTGCCAACAGAGCCTCCATCTTACTGGGTCTCCACGCATCCCTTTTTGAGGACGGTGGAAGGAGGAGAGGAGTCCAGAGCTGGGCGTCACAAAGCATGAAACATGCACAGGAATTCCGGCTTTGCAACGAAGGCGGGTGCTGCAAAGGTCTTTTTTAATGACACCCACTCCATGCGCTGAAGTCAACCTACCTCGTAAATGTTCGGGTGCCACATTTTGGTCAGAAATCTGAAGGTAGGTGGTGAATACGGGTAATCTATAGGAAATTTAATATGAGCCTGAAAGAGAGAAAGAGGGAGCCACATTAAGCATTGATTAAGTACAAACAGAAGAGAAGATTTGTAGTTCAGGAGTGAACTGTGGGGTCCTTGGTGCTCTCTGAGCTTGGTGGTTTTCTTGCAGACGTTTCATGACCCAACTAGGGAACATCATCAAGGCTAGAAGGGAGTGGGGTGTGTGGGGAGGAGGAGGGCTGAGGGATCCTTAGCACTCTCCAAGCTTGGTGGTTTTCTTGCAGACCTTTCATGACCCAACTAGGTAACATCATCAGTACTAGAAGGGAGTGGGGTTGGTAGAGAAGAGGACGACAACTGTGGACTACTTGGTGCTCCTGAACTTGATTGTTTTCTTGGCAGACATTTCATGACCTAACTAGGTGACATCATCAGTGTAGACGAGAGTGGGGTGTGTAGGGAGGAGGAGAGATGGAGGGACGAACAGGAGGACGACTGTGGGGTCCTTGGTGCTCTCTGACCTTGGTGATTTTCTTGCAGACATTTCATGACCTAACTAGGTGACATCATCAGTTTAGTTTAGTTTACTGTCATTGCACATGGTACAACGAAATTAAATGCTGTCTTCAGTGTACATGATAGCTATAAAAATAAAAACACAAACATACATCCCATTCCGGTGGGACCGGAAGTTGGCAAATGGGCTGTTTTCGGCCTTCGGAGAACCTCCGGGGTGGGGGGGAGAGGGGGAAGGCCCTTTCCGCCCTCCCCAGACTCCTAGAGAGGCTCTGGAGCCAGGTGAGAGAAAAAAACAGGCCTTCCCCCCCACCACCCCGGAGGCAGGAAAGAGCCTGTTTCCCTACTTCTAGTGGGTCCAGAAGGTCCGAAAATCAGCTGGCGCACCGGAGCTGAGCTCACGTGCCCACTGATATGGGCACGCGTGCCATAGGTTCGCCATCACGGCACTAAGGGAATTAACTTTTTCTCTGGGTTTACACAATACACCGACTCCTATGTAAACCAAACAGCCTGGGATGCACACGACAGCTAAGCTGCAGAAATCTCTCTGAAGGCCCCGGACGCTGCGTAGACGTTGCAACTGAGCTCCTGAGGGCTCGGCAGAGAATTCGAACGACTTTTCACAGGCTCCTAAAAATCAGCAGAAAAGTACTTTGGGGGGACACAGCCCAACCCCTCTTAGCTACGTCGGCCATCCACTGGTGGTCAGGACAGTTATTGGTGGGAAAAAATAAGATTACAAATCTGAGAGAGTTCAGGGCTGAACAGGTAGCATGCAAATATTTTAAGTCAGTAAAGAGCCAAATTGGGTCAGAAGGTTGGATATCAGGTGAGGTGCAGGCACGGTGGATCATACTAGGCAGATAAAATAACTTTTATGGCCGTTTTTCTTTACTGTGAGCACACTGGCCCACGTTAAAAATGGAATTCTGTTGCCTGCTCTCAAGGGAAAGTATATATCTACCCAAACACATACATAACACACCTATACCGGTGGTGAAATGTAGAATTTGTTACTACCGGTTCTGTGGGGGTGGCTTGGTGGGAGGGGTTAATATGGCTGAGTGGGCGTGGCCAACTTTTTAAAAAAAAAACTTTTTAAACCATTTTTTCTACAACCTCTTCGGCTGAAGAGGTTGTAGGAAAAATGCTTTTAGAAAGCTTCTGACGATCCCAGCTAAGCTGCGCGATCATCAAAGGCTTTTTTTTTTTTTTACTTTTAAAAGCATTTTTTCAGCCAAAGAGGTTGTAGAAAAAATGCTTTTAAAAATAAAAAAAAAAGCCTCATGATTGTGTGGCTCAGCTGGGCAATGGAGGGGGGGGGCAGGGATTTTTGCTACCGGTTCTCCAAACAACTCGCCTCCATCGCTACCGGATCAGGTGATCTGGTCTGAACCGGGAGCATTTCACCCCTGACCTATACCACATGCTATAGACATACATATATACCTGCACATATATGGATGGATGGATGGATGGATAGATGAATCATTTCCAATGTATTTTAACAAGCACTCAATGCAACAAGCATTAAAATACGATATTTATGCCAAAGAAAGACAAGTTTTTCCATCCCCCCCAAACATCCCAAAGCTTTTTTCAAGAGGCAACTGGACTTTCTTTGAAGACGTTTCGCTTCTCATCCCAGAAGCTTCCTCAGCTCTGACTGGTGAGGAATGGAAGGATTTATGCTCCTTGCAGACAGCTGGTCATTTGCATCCTTTTTATAGGATCATTGAGGACACTTGACACACACAAAGAAAAACACACACGCCACCACCAAGCGTCCCTTATCCACCACTTGCAACATGGCTTAGACGGAGAGCTTGCAACCTGCCTAAATCCCCCAAATTCAGCACTCTAATGATCCTCTGATGTTCAGCGGTGATAAAATCCACAACATTTGGGATTTTCCTTCTATTCCCCTGGGGAAGGGGGGAATTCCCCATTAATGAAAGAAAAATAAAGGATATTCCTCAACTGCTTCCATGGCAACTGTTCAAAGCTTCGGCTTTCTGCTTAGGGTCGAAGAAATGCACCAAGCGCTCGGAGCCGCTTCCAGCTTCAAAGGCTGGCAGTCCTCGGCTTACAACACATTCAAAGTGTGTCTCAAGATACGGTTCCCGAATGGCTGGCTGGGGAATTCTGGGATTTGAAGTCCACCAGTCTTAAAGTGGCCAAGTTTGGAGATTGCCCCCTGATCTAAGACCCCAAAACCCAACAGACAAATACAGAGGCCCCCTACACTGCCTATTTCCATATCAATTCCTTCCCGTTTCTTCCAGCGCCATTAAAGACTGAGTGTCATCAGCATATCGGAGGCACCCAATCTTAAAAGTCTTGATTGACAGCCGCCGCTGGCTTTGTACAGTTGTTAAAACCGCATCCGAAATAAAGTGGGTTAAAAGCAGGGTGGATAAAAATCAATGATTTTTTTTAAAAAATCAAAAAAAAAATCGGATTTTTCTGATTTAAATCGGATTTTTTTTTATTTAAATCGGATTTTTTTGATTTTTATTGAATTTATTTTAATAAAAAACTTTTGGGGCAAAAATCTATCGTAAGATAGTTTTCTATTTAAGATACATAAATAATTTAGTTTATTCAGCATGAAATGGAGCTTAGTTATGTAGCAGGAGGCTGTATATTCTGCAACACTGGGACGATCGGTGAGTCCACAGTGGGTCAAAGGAGTAGCAGAGATGACAGTTGCTCTTTAAAAATTAGGATTTAAATCGAGTTGATTTAAATCAAGCCTTTTTACTAGTGATTTAAATCATGATTTAAATTGTGATTTAAATCAACTCGATCAATTCACAGTAAATCAATTCACTGGTTAAAAGTGAATGAAATTTATGAGACCATCCCGTTAAAAAAAAGGGGGTATCTCTACAATAGTGGATCCAACTCAGGCGTGAAATGCTACCGGTTCGCACCAGTTCGGGCGAACCGGTAGTAAAAAAGAAGCTACGGGTTCCGAACCGGTATTTCCGACGATCAGCTGTGCCGCACAATTTAAAATATCTAGAAAGCAGGAAATCCTGCTTTCTATTGAATCTAAATCACACAGCACAGCCGTTCCCCCCCCCCCGCTGTTCGGCTTACCTTCCTAAGCCTCCTTTTTCCACGCAAATCGCGTGTTTGGCATGTACTATGCATGCGCGCGTGTGCAGTGTGCGTTTGGTGCAGACTGCATGCGCACGCAGCGTGCTTTTTGCACGCATTGCGCATGCGTGCGCAGTGGGCACTTGACACGCACCGGACATGCGCAGGCAGTGAACTGGTGGCAAACCAGGGAAAATTTCACCACTGGTCCAACTCATAGGAACGGCTCAGGAGAATAGCGTGTTCCTCTTGGTTTTAGGGTTTTCTGATTGTTTTATATTTATTGGTTTTATTGTGTGATGGACAGCCATACAAATCTTTGAGGAAAGACAGAAAAAAAGAAGGAAGGAAGGAAGGAAAAGAAAGAAAGAAAAAGAAAGAAACAAAGAAAGAAAGAAAGAGAGAGAGAGAGAGAGAGAGAAAGGAAGAAAAGAAGGAAGGAGCAGTGTGGATAAAACTTGATTTTTTAAAAAAAATCAAAACAATCAGATTTTTTTTAATTTAAATTGAATCTTTTTGATTTTAATCAAATTTATCTTAATAAAATGCTTTTGGGAGTAAAAATCTATCTAAATATACTTTTCTATTTAAGATTCATTAATCATTTAGTTTATTCAGCATGAAAGGGAGCTGAGTTATGTAGCAGGAGGAGGCTGTATATTCTGCAATATTGGGACTGTCGGTGAGTCAAGAGCCGGTCAGAGGAGGAGCCGCTGCGGGACAGAGACGACAGTTGCTCTTTAAAAATTATGATTTAAATCAAGTTGATTTAAATCAAGCCTTTTTACTAGCGATTTAAATCGTGATTTAAATTGTGATTTAAAATCGACTTTGATTTAAATCAAATCCACCCTGAAAAGAAGGAAGATGAGAAAGAGGAAAGGAGGGTGGCTGGGGAATTCTGGGAGTTGAAGTCCACACCTCTTAAAGGGACCAGGGGCCGCTCCCTTCTCCTTGGAGCTCCAGGGATGGGTGGAAAGAGTTGGCTTTCTTATGCGCACCGGAGTCCGGAGGCGATTGGAGCATTGCAAGAGGAATGTGTTGTGAAAGCAAGAGCCCCTGCCAAATTTGCCAGAGTGCGAGTTGTGTTGGCTAGGAACACAAACACAACGGGCTTCGAGACAAATTCTCCGCCCCGTGAATTCTTTCCAGAACAAACCCGACTGCCTTATTTGCAGGGTTTCTGGAAGAGCAACCGAGAAAACCCGCTGGGTTGATTCGCGGCTCGTAATCCAGCCGTCGTGCTAAATCCCGCCTAACAGATCTTTTTTTTCAGAGTGATCCACTCTTCTTCGGAATGTGGTGCCAAATTTACTGAGAGTATCATCGCGGAAATACAATAAAATAAAATAAAATACAGATAATCCTCAATTTACAGCCACAATTGAGCCCAAGATTTATGTCTTTAAGTGAGAAATTTG